AGCCATGGACACCGCCCTGCCTCCACACATGCTGCTGTCCTGCCGCACTGGAGCCGGCCTAGACAACCTCCTGCAGGCCCTCAAGACGGAGCTGGCTGTGGTGTGAGTCCCCCTCAGCCCCTTCAGCTTCCCCAACCCAAGTTCATGTGCAGGCAGCTGCTGGCTTTGGACTCAGGCCTGTCCCTCAGCCTCAGTTTCTCTCTCTGCAAAAGTAGTTCAGTAGGGGCGCCTTCTTAAAAGGTGGCTGCTCGGGCTGAGTGAGGCAGCAGGCCTTGTCTCTTGCAGGTGTGGGGACCCATTCACAGGAGCTCCAGTGCTGACCCGGGCTAGGCACCAGCACCACCTCCAGGGCTGCCTGGATGCCCTGGGACACTTCCAGCCGGACACAGACCTGGCTCTGGCAGCTGAGGCCCTGCGCCAAGCTCGGAGACACCTGAGCCACCTCACTGGTGGAGGGGGCACCGAGGAGATCCTGGACCTCATCTTCCAGGACTTCTGTGTGGGCAAGTGAGGTCCAGAGCCTGGGACTCAGCCTCAGAAGGTCTTGATTCAAGATGGCAGAGGCAGCAGAGGGCAGGAGAGATTACTGGGGTCCTGTTCCCTCCACAGTGAGGAGAGACTGGTCAGGGATCCGAGGACTGCCACTTCCCACGCCCACCCTCATGTCAGGATTAAGGCCTACATCCCCATGCCAACTGTTTGTATGTAGTGCTAGAGATAAAAACCAATGAGTGGTAAGTGCTGAGCTACCGCCCCTGCTCCTTACTGGGGAATTCTACACAAGGGCTCCACCACCCTGAACCACATTCCCCAGTCCCTCACTGGGGGTATTCTAGGCAAGGGGCTCCATCTCTGAGCCACATCCTTGGCTTCATAAAGGTTTCATTGGTGGTGGTGGGTTTTGTTTTGGTTGGTTGGTTTGGTTTTTTGAGACAAGGCTTCTCAGTGTAGCCTTGGCTGTCCTGAAACTCACTCTGTAGACCTGGCTGACCTCAAACTCAGACATCCACCTGCATCTGTCTCCTGAGTGCTGGACTAAAGATGTGCACCACCACACCAGGATCATAGCTTTATTTTTAAATTCCAAAGGAGTATGAAGAGTTCGGGTAATCCAGAAATGTTTGTTCACAAGGATCTGTCAGCCTTACCTTCCAGAATTTTGCCTAACTGTTTCTGTCTGTGGCATCATAAAGTGTGTGTGTGTGTGTGTGTGTGTGTGTGTGTGTGTGTATTTCACTTCTGTAGCAGCATGTATTATCTGTAATAAGTTCTGCTGTGACATTTTATCTGAGTATCTAATGTGTTCTGATCATGTCTTTACCCATATCTCGCCCTTGTCTCCACTCCCAATCCTGCTCATTTTCTCCTAAACTCAAATTGTCCAGTCAGTAGCTACACCATTAAAGAAAATGTCCTACACACACACACACACCAGGGCTTTTGTTGCCTGAAGAGGCTGATGTGGACCAGTGCTGTTGTCGTGCCTCTGCCACCCTTGGGGGTCACAACACACATAAGGGGTCAGGACAACTTGCAGGGGAGTTCTACATTGGCAGTGTGGGTTTTAGGGATTGAACTTGGGCTATCAGGCTTGACAGCAAGAGTCTTCACTATTTTTGATTATATGTATGTGTGGTGAGGGAGGGTGTGTGAGAGCAGACAGACAGACAGACATGCAATCTCCTAGAGCTGGGGTTACAGGAGGTTGGGAGCTCCTGAGTGCTGGGAACCAAACTCAAGTCCTGTTGAGCAGCCAGTGTTTTTATCTGCAGAGCCATCTTTCTCAAGGCCCTTATCAAATATTTCTATTTTATTTATATTTTTTTAGATTTTGCGATAGGATCTTACGTGATAGGTGATGCAGGCCCTGCGTTCCAGTTTCACAGATAAGACTCAGGAAAAGCGGGCTCTCTTAATGACCTCTGGCTTTGGGTTTGAGCAGTCAGTTGCAGCCCACCTTGAACTTTGTCAAGGACCTTCTGTCACCCCCAGTGTTGTAGGGTACAGGGGACAGCACTTGGGTCTTGTCCTGACAGTAAAGCATGGGACTTGAGGGTACAGACCCTGCAGAGACTTCGGTTCTATCCTCTGGAGGGGAACACCACTAGAGGCAGGATGCTCAAAGGCCCTGAGGCGTCATTAGATGCTGGGACAGCTGGTGTAGTCGCAACTGGCCAGCAGAGGGCGGGAGTCCCCTAGCAAAATCCTGATTGACGAGCTGTCCGCACGCCTTTCACCCCATCTAGGCTGGGTTATAAAGCAAGATCCTGTCCTGAGGAAAAAGGGGAAGGGTCCTGAGCTCCCAGGAGGACCTGCGACGCCTCGAGCTGGGCGGGGCCGGAGCTCTGGGCAACTCGCCCGCTGCAGGCCGCCTACCTCGGGCCTGGCACACAGCTGCATGCAGGCCTTGGCCTCAGTCCCTTTTTTCCAAGAAGGGTGAGGAGTTTGTGGGAAGCGGCAGGGGGTTATTTATAGAGGACGCAGGAAATCCCCAAAGAGTCAGGGCCTCACCCAGCGGAGGCGACCAGGCACTGGGCCCCCTTCCGCCCAGGAGCACTGCCTGGGGCCTGGGAGCCTGGATGAGGCTGGGGGACCAAGGGACCAAGGGTTATACCTAGGGAATCCAGGAAAGGTACCTGGATGAGTCTGGGCAGACAAAGCTGAGCCAAGCCCCTGCCTCGTGGTATTTGTGGGTATGAGTGGCGCTCAAGCCTGCACGGGGATCCTAGTAGACATACAGGCTGGCTGGAGGAGGACACAGATCAGGTCTCAGCGCTGCTGGCGAGTGTTCTGTATGCTCCTGTCTACCCACAGGGTTACGGGTGCAATGCTACACCCAATTTTCTGTGGGCGCTGGGATTGAGGCTCAGCTAGTTCCTCCTGCTTGAGCAGCGAGTACTCTCACCCACGGGAGGAGTCATTGCCCTGTCATGATTCTAAATGTATTTTACAAATCTTGGTTCCATACAGCTTCTCAAGCAAGGGAAGGTAAAGCCAGGTCTGTTAGTGCACCTGTGAACCCAGCATCATGGAGACTGAGGCAGTAGGAGCGCTGGAAAAGGTCAGCCTCACAGAGGCACCTACGGGCTAGCTCGGCATGGTGGAGCACATCCTCAGTCCCAGTACTAGGGGAGGCAGAGGTAGGAGGATCTCCAAGCTGGAGACCAGCCTGGGCTGCATAGTGCATGGGGGTCTGTGAGCTGAGAAACTAGACCTTATTCGTAGGAAAATGGGGAGCCATGGAAGGTGTGTGAGCAGCAGAGGAGCAGTTCAGACCCCTTGATGGAAAGACGGCTGTGGGCTAGTACAGGACTCCTCCAAGGCAGGGGAAGGGGTGTGGGACTCGTTCTCATGTCAGCATTGTAGTCCTGTGCACCTGAACACTCAGCACTCACTGTTACAACTGTAGCTGTTAAGAGGTGGGTATTTGCTGCGTGGTCCAGGTTGGCCTACAACATTTGGGTTTAAGCAATGCTCCTGCCTCAGCTTCCCCAAGCAGCTGAGAGTATAGTTTTGAGATGTGGTGTCTGGGAAGAGAAAACAGGCTGAGTTTCAACAAGGTCCCACCCAGGACTGTGGCTATCAGACCTTCACTCAGACTCTCTGGTCACCTGGTCAGCTTCATCCCAGGGCTCAGGGCCAGAGACACCCCCAGTTCCTTGGGGCTTCCATCCCAGCTGTCTGGCGGCTCCCAGGCTGACCCCTGGTAGCCAGATTGGCTTAGGCTCCAGGCGAGTGTTTCCTGCAGTGACAGGCTCTCGCCCGTGTTTCCGGATCCAGGAAATATCGCTGCTTTGTCCCCAGAGGCAGAGCATGGCACAGCGACTGCATGATTCATGCCTGCTCCCGCCAGGGTCAGCGCTGGAGAAAGCAGCCGCCTTCCGTGCAATGTTTGCCGGTCTCTTCCCTCGATGACTCCTGCTGTTGTCCGGATTCTTTGGAATGAGCTGCTGGGTCAGAGGGCTGCCATTGCACTTCACTCCCCTGCCTCAGCTCGAACACACCCTGCCATGGTCAGCTTGAGTTTGTTACTTATCAGCTAACTCATTTTTATATATAAGGGCCATGTTTTGTTTTGTGTCTGTGCCTAGCCCCAGAGAATGCTCCTTTGTTGTTGTCTTTGTTTTTCAAGACAGGGTTTCTCTGTGTAGCCTTGGCTGTCCTGGACTTACTTTGTAGACCAGGCGGGCCTCGAACTCACAGAGATCTGCCTGTGCCTGCCTTTAAGCGCTGGGATTAGAGGTGTGCGCCACCATGCCCAGCTAATGCTCCTTTCAGTGTCTGCACCAGCAGTAGGAAGTAATATGGCTTTAATTTTTAGTTTTGATGATTAAAACAGGGGCTTAGTAGCCCAGGCTGGCCCTGAAATCATGATACTCCTGCCTCAGCCTCAGAGCTGGAACAGCAAGAGTGCACTGCCACACCCAGTTTATACCGCGCTGGGTAGAAACTGGAGCCAGGAGATGGAGCCAGGGTGTGCTACACACAAGCACTCTAGCGGAGTTGCAGGGCTGGCCCAAAAGGCGCACATCAGCGCAGCTATTCACTGAAGACTCATCATTCTCTTCTATGTGAAGGAACACACTGTCTGCTGCCCTTAAAGGTTAGGACAGGGCATCGGATCCCTGTGTGCAGCTGGGGGCCACCATGAGGGTGCTGGGAACCAAACTCAGGTCCTCACCAGCACCTAACCTGCTGAGCCACTTCTCCAGCCCCACTGGGCACAGGTCATCACAGCCCTAGGGAGTCTGAGTTAGCAGGATCCAGAGTTCAAAGCCAACCTGGGATACATATTGTAACCTTGTTTACAAATAATAGCACATAAATAGGAACCAGTCAAGCATGGTAGGCCTTTAGTCCCAGCACTCTGGCTGAAGGCAGAGGCAGAGGGATCTCTGAGTCCGAGGCCAGCCTGTTCTACAGAGTAAGCTCCAGGACAGCCAGGGCTACACAGAGAAATCCTGGTTTGGAAAAAACAAATAAACAAACAGAAACCAATCTTCAAAGGACTTCTTGGATATTTATTGTGTGCCAGCAATACCTTTAAGGGCTACAAGGAAGGCTGAATGTGGGAAGAATCACCCCAGGGCCCTATGAAATCCTCAGAGCACCCGCAACTGCAGTCTAGGCCCTTCATTGTGGGGAGGAGGGGAGCCTGGTGATGCTGGAAAAGGCTTTAAAGCCCAATGAAAATCCTGGGGAAGGAAGCTAGAGCCCTCCAGGGGAAGCCTGGAAACTCTTAAGGCCTTTACCTTTACGGGAGCCTGGAAACTCCCAAGGAAGCTGGAAGCCAGGCTTCCTTCTCTTACCTCCAGGCTCAGGATGGGGGAGATAGGAAGCCTGAGAAGTTGCCTGGAGTGGATGCTTTGTGCACGGATCAGGTGCCCTGCCAGTCACTGCAGAAGAGGTTGATGTGACGTCACCTCACAGCAGTATGCACCTTAAAGCCAGTGTCTGGGGGACGGCGGGGACTGTGGAGAGGATGGAGGTTGCTGGTGGGATGGGAGTGGGTACAGCGGGTATCCTGCGCCACTGGCATCTGGCTGCCCCATCCACAGGTGAGTCAGGCACCCAGCGTCCTGCAGTAGCTGCTTCCTCAACCACTGGGAAAGGAAGAGGCAGAAAGCTCAGAAGTCAGCAAGAGCTGAGAGGCCCAGGGGCTCGTCTGCAGCAGGGGCATGGCATGGCTCTGCTGTCTCCTGCGTAGGCCTAATCTGGGCCCCAGAATCCATAGCAATGTGGGGCTGGGGCTCCAGGTTAGACCCAAGCTCCTAAATCACCATGAGGTTTATCTATTCCACACAGTTGGAAGAGACTGAGGTTCAGGAAGCCCCAGTGGTGGGTCTCCATGTGCAGCCCAGGCTGGCTTCAAACTCAGTCCTGTGTCTTGTTTCTTTCTTTTATTCACTCCCTCCCAAGACAATTCCATACATTCCATGGTACCCAGAATACTGGGTACCCCAGTAACTCAGGACCAACCAAGCCCACAGCTTCAAAACTGACACCAAAGTCTCATCCCTCCAACAGGGCATCAGCCCCATCTAAGTGCCAACAATTCCAAGAGGCTTCCGCCCCATCCCCCCACAGCGTCCCTTGGACTGGAATGCCCTCCCCCCTGGGCCTGGCAGAGGAGCTCCAGTGGGGTCAGGAGTGGTGCTGAGGCATTTCCTGGTAGGGAGGGGGGTCTGCAGCAGAGTCTGGTTTCCTCTCCCCCTCCCTTCCTTCCCCAGCTCTTCCCTGGGGGCCCCAGGCCTCTCCTTCTGGCTGGCTCTGGTCCCCTCCCTGACTGCCTGATGACCTGTTCTTGCCTAGGTCACTCCCCCTACCCCAGTCAACCAAAGTGAACCCATGAGTCTCCATGTGGGCCAAGCCCTGTGCTGCCCATAGCTTTCTGGGACCCCCAAAGTCCTTGGATGGCCACAAGGTAAGTCTCAGTTTCTGTCACTTCACTGCCCTCCTCCCTGGCTTAGGTCCCTTCCTCAATGAGCTTGTCCTGACCCCTGTGGAGGATTCCAGTAGAGTCTTCCCACAATGTCAGAATCTAAAAATAAAATAGTAATAATAATAATAAAATCATGGGCCAGCAAGAGTACTCATCAGGTGAGTATGCTTGCAGCCATGCCTGGTGATCTGAATTTAATCCCAGACCCATATGGTAGGAGAGAATCCATTGCTACAAGCTGTCCTCACATGTGCTGTAACATACACACCATCATAAAAAGAAATTGTGGAAAAGGTCATAAGCTACATCTTCTTCCATGTAGCCTGATGCTTGGCTGGTATGATCATGGAGTTTTTTAGGCCTATCTTCCTTTGTTTGGTTTTGAGACAGGGACTCACTGTGTAAGCTAGGCTGGCCTCAAACTCAGAGCCATACACCAGCCTCTGCCTCCAGGGAGCGGCGACAGCCACAGGTCATCATACTGGTCCAGGTAAGGTATCTCAGAATATCAGGCCATTACGGAGTAAGTCTGTCAGCAAGACAACTGGGAAGTGGAGGCTGAGAGGCAGAGGCAGGAGAATGGCTATGTGGGACCCTAGGCCATTTCCTGACAAGGCTCCTGAGGTGCCAGGCCTCAGCCTGCTGCTAGCCTGTGGCTCGGCTGGTCTTATCTGGTACCCTACACTGTCCCTCGACCACTCTGCCTCTGGCTCCTCAGGGCTGAGACCTAAGGGTACCTATCAGGACTTACAATGGCAGAGGATGCAGGAGAATCAGGTGTTCAAGGCTCTGTGGAGAGTCTAAGGCTATGCTGGGTGACATAATACCTTTTCTCAAAAAAAAAAAAAAAAGAAAAGAAAAAAAAGAAAGAAACCAACAAAAGAGAAAACAATAAAAAACAATCCCAGCTGGGGGGGGGGGGGCACACACCTTTAACCCCAGCACTCATGTGACAGAGGCAGGTGAATCTCTGTAAATTTGAAGTCAGCCTGGTCTACATGGTGAGATAGATACTGTCTCAAAACAAACTAATTAATTAATGATACCAACTTGGATGGGTGTTTACCTTTTTTTTTTTTTTTTTTTTTTTTTTTTTTTTTGTATTTTTGTATTTCAAACTAGGGTTTCTCTGTGTAGCCCTGGCTGTCCTGAAACTCACTCTGTAGACCAGCTGGCCTCAAACTCAGAGATCCCCTGCCTCTGTCTCCCAAGTGCTGGGATTACAGACGTATGCCAACTTGTACTTTCAGAGTTGATGAAGGAGGGTTCTGAGTTTGAGATCATCAAGGCTGTGTAGCCAGACTTTGTCTCAAAACAAAACAGAACCTGGCTGGAGAGGAGCACCCACCTACAGAGTGAGATAAGGGAGGCAGTGAGGAGGGAGCAAGGCTGAGCACTACCCTCAACTCTGCCAGGTGAGGAAGAGGCCTCTTACAGCCAAGGCCCCAGCCCCCAGGGGAAAGCACTTCCTGGCACCCCAAGGATGACCGGGGCGGAGAGCAAGGCCTAAGTGAGCATTGTCCATCAGCATGGGCGCCACTCAAGGTAAACAATGTCAAAAGCTTCCCCGGTTGAGACCGGACAGTCCTGGGCGGGGAGCCCGGCCCTGTGCGTGCATGACCCTGGCTGGGTCCTCAGTTTCCTCCTCTGAGAAGTGGGGATCAGAATAGAAACTTCCCAGCCAAGAGGGCGGGTGGAGGTGGAGTAGCTTGCCAGGGTGCAGGCCACTCTCTTGTCTCTTTATTTTTTAGTATTTCCTTTGCTCTCTCCCACCTTCCTTCCTTTCTTTAAAAAACAAAAAACAAAAAAAACTAAACTATTTACTATGTAGTCTTGAACTTATAATCCCCCTGCCTCGTGTTCCAAGTGCTAGGTTTATAGGCCTGCACCTCCACAGCTGACTCCTTTCTGTCCTAACTTTTTGCAGGATGATTTGGAGCTGGAGATGAGCCCGGCTCTGTAAGTCAGAGCCTGGCTCAGCAGCAAGTCCCTCACTGGCCTGGAGAGTGCTTGACAGCAAGCCTGCTGCAACTGCAGAGGACCTGAGTCCAGGGCGGGGGACCCAGAGCCCTCTTCTGGCCCCTCTGGGCTCTGGGTCCACACATACACACACAGCAGATATGGTGGTGTATACCAGTCGCATATGCTGAAGTGGTAGAGGCAGGAGGACTGAGTTGGAGGCCAGCCTTCATACTGGGACATGGTGTGATACCACACACCTTTGATGCTAGCACTTGGGAGGCAGAGGCAAGCCAATCTTTATGAGTCTTAGGCTAGCCTACAGAGTAAGTTCCAAAACAGCCAGGGCTACAGCGGAAGACCCTGTTTCAAACAATAAATAAATAAATCTTTTAAAATCCAATCAATAGAAGGAATTCTCTTGTAGTTTACCACCAAGACACTGTGGCAGACACAGGTCTGGTGACCATGAAATGGTGGGAGAGAGCTGAAATCTAGGTCTTGAGACCCAAGAAGATTTGATTAAAAAATCCCAAAGACTGTGGCTGGAGATACAGCTCAACATTTAAGAGCACTAGCTGCTCTTTCAAAGGACCTGAGTTCAATTCCTAGCACCCACATGGTGGCTCAGAACCATGTATAATGGCATCCAATGCCCTATTCTTGCATGCAGACAGACAGGCAGACAAAGCGACCATATACATAATGTCCCAGAAGCTGCCTTCACAGATATAAGATTCCCAGGTAGCCCTGCATGGGCTTGAACTTGTCTTCCTGCCTCAGCCTCCTGAGTGTGGAGATGGACAGGTGGGCCCAGGACTTGAGTTGTGACCCAGTCTCCCAAGTGTTATGACCTATATCAGTAGCCAGAGCTCTGCAGGGGGCAGTGGCCTGAGTCACCTGCCCAGAAGACAAACATACCAGTGACTCCAACTGGGCGTTGACGAAGCATGAGGGGTGTGGGCATTGGGCCAGGACTTGACCGAGTGCCAGATGCCCTGGTCACACTCAGAGGACAGCCCTGGTCCCTCTCTTCACAGTCACCATTTAATGGACTTCATCCTACACTGCCTTTCTTATGCTGTGGCCGAGGCCTCCTGCCTCAGCCTCCAGAGTATGACACCACTCTGGCTAAAATGTCTACTTATTTCCTTATTTTTATTGTATATGGGGTACACCTATGCCATGGCTGGAGTATGGAGGTGGCAGACAACGTTTGGGAGTCCGTTCTCTCCCAACGTGTGGAACATGAGCGAAAATTTGGGCTGTCAGGCTTGGCAGCTCTTTCACCTGCTAAGCCTCCTTGCCTCTCCAACCTCCATTCTGTACTGGGAAGCCATGAGGCTTCTGGGGCACAGGAGGCAGCTCAATGACAAGCTTGCTCGGGGCAAAAGGACCTGAGTTCCACCCCAGAGCCCAGGAAAAGGAGTTGAGTGTGGTGGGTGGGGCACACCCCCGTGGCACTCTTAGCTGTGCAGCTGGGCCTACTCAGAAAGCTCTAGGCCAATGAGAACCCTGGATCAAAAACCATGATGGCTGGGTATGGTGGCACACGACCTCAGCCTTGGCATGCAGGGCCAGATCTCTTGAGTTCCAGGCCAGTCTGGCCTACATATAGACCCTGTCTTAAACAAACGGCAGTTTGGTATGGTGGATGGGCCAGCAGGACGGCTTGGCAAGCAAAGCAGGAGCCACTAGGCCTGCTAATCTGGGTTCATTTCCCCGGGACGGGTATGGTGGGAAGTTGTTTTCTGACTTCCACATATGGCACATGTTGGTCCACACACAGAATAAATAAATAGGGAAAAAAGTAAAACCGTAGTGAATGACTACTGAGGAGCCAAAGCCGCAGCTACATCTTCACATACACATTTGGGACACACAGGCTATGAGACTCATATCTCACCATCTCCACTCCATCCACGGAGCCTTTGTGTTGGCTGTTCCAGCTGCTCGGGACACCATTCCCTGCAGCTGCCTCCTCTCCACCCTCCAGCTGGGAGGCATTCCCCTCCCTCCGAAGCCCTGCCTTGCCTGTCTAGAGTATGGTGGCCTTGGCATACCCGCCACGCCTACCATACAGCAGGAGTGAGCTCTGCCTCTCTCCAGCCTGATCTGGCTTCCATCTTCTATGGTTCCGGGGCTGAATTGCTCACCTGGGTGGGACAGCAGGGTTGAGCACCGGGAGCCGCTGGGACTCCAAGATCCTTTTCTTGAATTCCTCCAGGCTAGCGGGATCTACAGAAAAAATGAGGGTCTGTGTGAGCAGCCAAGGAAAGGAGAGCTGGGCTGGGGACCCCTCTGGCTATCACTCACCAATGGGCGGAGGGTTGGGGGCAGGGGCTGTGAGTCTCGGCAGGATTACTGGCTGCGACTGTGGGAGGAACCGGAGAGAAGTTTGAGAAGCTGGTCCCTTCCACAAATGCCTAAGCTACCTAGCTGGATGGGGTTTTGTCGGGGACGTTTCTGTTTGTTTGTTTGTTTACAGACAGTCTCTCTATGTAGCTCTAGCTGACATCGAACTCACAGATGTCCTTCTGCCTCAGCATGCTGAGTGATGGAATTAGAGGGGCCCCGTCGCCAATCCCACCCTAAGGAACTTAGGTCCTAACCCAAACTAACCTGAGACACCATCGGGGAAGCTTGACTTAGGCTACCACAGACCCGAGGTCACCTGCAACCGTCACCCGTTCCCCCTAGTCCTTCAATTGTACTCAAACCCACTCCAAACCCGGTTTCCGCCATTCCACCAAAGCGGAAGCCTACCCGACCCAGCTTCCCTCTCGCATTGGCATCCTCCGGCCTCAGCTCCCACCTACCCCCAGGCTGACTTTTTCAGGACCCCAAGCTAAACCCGGGGCACCCGACCCCACCCGGCGAGCCGGGCCCACCTTGGCCTTGAGGCAGGTGTCCAGTGCGTTGATGCGCACGTCCACCTCGGTGCGCAGCTGCTCCAGCTCGCGCTTGCGAGCCTCCAGCTCGCGCTCCAAGCCTTCGCGCTGCGCGCGCAGCGCCGCCTTCTCCTCCAGCGCCAGCTGCGTCTGGCGCGCGCACTCCGCCCGCAGCTGGCTCTCGCGCGCCTTCGTCTCGGTCGCAGCGCGAGCCTGCGCCTCCTGCGCGCTCTGCGCCGCGCGCTCCAGCTCTAGCTTCTGCCGCCGGAGTTCCGCGTTCTCGCGGGTCACGCGCTCAATACCTGCGCGCAACTCACGCGCCAGGTCTCCCACCTTGGAGCTCATGATCTCGGGCAGCTGATCGCACAACCGGCGGACAGACGAAATCTCGGGCACCAGCGAGGGGTAGTGGTAGCCCAGGTTATCCAGGGAGCGCCTTATCAGGGAGTCCCGCCACACGGCCAACGCGTCTGCGTGGAACTTGTCCTGGTCCAGGGGAAGGCACAGGGCCTGTACCTTGCGCAGCTGCTCCTCCGACACCTGCTGCTCCTGCTGCTGCCGCTCCCGCGCTTTGCCACAGGCCTCCAGCTGCTCCTCCGCCAGTCGCTTTCCAGCGTGCAGGCTCTCCTTATCCTTGGCACATACCGCCTTCTCTTTGGCCACCTCCATTTCCAGTGTCTTAGCCTTCTCACCCAGCTTGAAGAGCAAGGCTGGTGCCGGGGACAGATGGAGGATGAGCGGGCCACTGAGCTGCATCCCTTCTCCCTTCCCCGCCAGGACCCGCACTCACCTTCGCACGTCTTGTTGGTCTCTTTCAGCTGCTCCTGGCACTGTTTCTCGCTCAGGATGATGGCGACAATGAACTGGTTATAGGCCTTGTAGGTGATCTGCAGGTGTGGACACAGCACAGCTTAGCACCCATCTCCAGGGCTGCATACACAGTAACCATCTCAACACCCCTAGAGGAATGTGGATCTAAGGAAGCTCCAAAGGTTATACTAGAGCTGGGGCTGAAGCTCCATTGGCAGAGCGCTTATAGCTCAGTTGTTGGAGTGTTTGTTGGGTTTGTAGCTCAATGTGTTAGGTGCTTGTAGTGCAGTTGGTAAGATGCTTGCCCAAGATGCACAAAGCCCTGGGTTCAATCCCCAGTGCCTCATAAACCAGGTGTGGTGGCTTTTACCTGTAACCTCAGCACTTAGGTTGAAGGGGGACAACTGCCATGATTAGAGGCTAGCTAGCCTGGGCTACAGAGAAAGACTGTCTTTCTTTGTTTGGCTGTATATCTTTGTTTCTGTAATTCTGGCTGTCCTGGAACTCCTATAGAGACCCTAGGGTCCTCCAACTCACAGAGATCCTCCTGTCTCTGCCTCTCAAGTGCTGCTGTTGAAAGTTTGCACTACCATGCTGGGCAAGACTCCCTCAAGACACAGTTGGCAGAGTGCTTATAGCTCAGTTATTAGAGTACTTGTAGCACAGTTGCTAGAATACCTGCCTGGCAATCAGACAGCCCTAGGTTTTGTGCCTACCACCACAAAGCATGTTGTGTATGCCTGTTCCAGACAAGGAGACCATAAATCCAAGGTCATTCTGGTCTACATAGCAAGAGTTATCTCAAAACAAAACCAAAAAGAGAAGAGGCCCAAAGTAGAAGAGGAAGGAAGGCAGAAAAATCACATTTCTTTGTGCCATTGAGAAGTAAAAGCCAAGACAGAAAGCACTAGGGTTTGATTCAGGTGGCTTCTGGGCTCCTCTCCACTGTGGGGAGGCGGCTTGCCAAGAAACTCAGTGGCCTGAGTCAGATGATCATGTACCCAGGCTGGAATTTTTTTAAATGTAGAAGGAGGGTTGGGATGTAACGCAGTGGTAACGTTCCCATTTAGCAAGGAGGAGTCTCTGCGTCAGGGTCAGGTTCCAGGAACAGTGTGTAAATTAGTTAACTGAAAACCAGAAGCCTGGGCCCAATGTTCTCCAGAGGAAGTCTGGGAAACCAATTCCGGTGGGTGAGTATGTCAGCCATGATGCTGACCTGGGCAGTAAGCACCAAAGCCCAAGAGGCCACAGGCATCTGTCTGAGAAGGGGCCTGGGCTTCAGGGTGCCTATTTTGTCAAGCTAGTCTGAGGGAGGACAGTCCTATCCTTGTGTCTGAGGGAGGAGGCTGCATCTTGGTGATGGTCTGAGAGAAGAGATCGCCTCTATCCTCAGGCAGTTTGGGACCCTGTCCTCTACAGGGGAGTCCTTGATTCACCTCTAATTTAGTGGCTGCCAGCACCCCTGCTGCTGGACCAAAAGCTACCGCAGCCTACAGCCTCTTGTTCTCCCTGTGAACAAGGGGGAGCACGTGTCCGGGGCTGTGTGGGAATAGCTGTCTCCGGGATCAAAGCTCTGTGACAGTTCCAGGGCCCAGAGGGCTCGGTCCCTAGAAAAGCTTCCTGCTAGGGCCTCTGATGACCCACCTGGGCAAGGGCACAAAACGTCTTTTTACCACGAAGTAGTCAAAGACAAAACAATCTCCCTCTCTCCCCTTTCCCCTACTCTCTGACAGTGTCTTCTCTAGTTCAGGAGACCCTAAAGTCCTGCTTGCTGCTTCAGCTCTCAAGCATTAGAGTGGCAAGTGTGTGCCAGCGTGCCTACTAGTAGCATTCCTTTTAGTTGTGTGCTTGTGTTGGAGTGGACACAGGGCGACACACATGCTGGGCCAGGGCGGAGCTCTGACCCACGCCCAAGGCTGTTCATCCTTGCTGCACTGAGGGAGAGCCAAGCCTTCTGAGTCTGTTTACTGTCCCTGTGAAGCTGCCTTGAGCAGGCACAGGGCAGGCACAGAGTCATAGAACCTGTGAGTGCCCAGGACACCCAGCTAAACCCCAGTTGCAAGCAGACAGTGCTAGAGTGCTCCTGCCCCCACTTTCACCCAGAGCTCTGCCTCCGAAGTGGATCGGCCTAGCCATGGATTTAATGAATTCCTTGTTTATTCCAAGAGACATTTTGTTATTACTCTAAATGACCAGAGAGCCAGGCACAGGGCGTATGCCTTTAATCCCAGCACTCGGGAGGCAGAGGCAGGAGGATTTCTGTTAGTTTGAGGCCAGCCTGGTCTATATAGTGAGTTCCAGGAAAGCCAAAGCTACAACCTCAAAAACAAACAAATAAATTGAATGATCAGGCCTGAGAGGTGAGTCAGCTGGTAAAGGCGCTGCTAAGGGTGACAACCTGAATCGAACCTCCAGGCCCCACAGAGAAGGTTGTCCTCTGACCTCCACACACAGGTCATGGCATGTGGGTAAATGCATACATGTGCAATAAATAAATTTAGCTTTAACAATCAAGCCACCTGAAGCAAACTCTTTCTCGGCAGGCAATGTTTGCCATCATGAAATCATTGTCACAAGAGTATCACCTATATGTTGAGATTCCTCTCAGCTCTATGGGGTGACACACATCTATCCACGCAGCCCTCAGGAGGCTGAGGCACAAGAATTGAATTGACACAAATTTAAGGCAGGCCTGGGTTATATAGTGGCACCTTGACTAGGGAGGGGGTTAGGGAGAAAGAAAGGCTGTAGATCAGTGGGGTAGCCTATACCACATATATTAGGCTGAACCAATGGCCTGTCATTCCAGTGTTGGGAAAATGGAAGCAAGATGTTCAGGAGCGTAAGGTCATCCTTGACTACACAGCGAGTTCTAGACCAGCCTGAGATGATGTTGTAAATTAAGAAGCAGGGAAGGGAGTATCAGATTTCTTCACATAGAGCTTAGTATTTGGGGGGTGCCCAGGGCTGCGGCCCAGGGCGCACAGACCGCCTCTTACCAGTTCGCTGTGGCACTGGCGGAAGCTGGCATTGATGCGCTCCAGCTCGCGCCTCGCGGTCAGCAGCTGCTGCATGACGGAGTCCTTGGCGAGCACGGTGATGTTCAGCTGTTTGCTCAGGTTAGCCTGTGTGGCCGACAGCCCCATCAGCTGGCTATACAGGTTGTCGGCTCGGATCTCGGTGGCCCGCAGGCTGGACTCGGTGGTAGCATGCACGTTGCCGTAGATCATGAAGAGGACCAGGCCCAGGATGATCAGGAACTGGATGAGAGACACGAAGAGGAAGAAATAACGCAGGTAGTACCAGCAGCCGCGCGCCCCATCCCCAGTGCGGGAGTACGGGCTGCGGTCCATGGCGAGCCCCATTTGCTCAGTGTACTCTGGACGCGCTGTCCCGCCTCGCCTGCCTGGCCAGATCTGGGCCGCGCCAGGCAGAGGGGAGTGTTTATATTACTTCTCTTAATGCTTCCTCTGCCCGGCTCCTTCCTGGCCAGGAGGAAATGGGGGCTGTGGGTTATCACAACACTCCCACCCGGGCTGTTGAGGACCTGGCGGACTGAGCAGCCGTGATAGATGGAGGGTGGGGCTCCCCACTGGGTGACCAGTCCGGCTTCCTCTGCCTGGCCCGGCCTCAGTTTCCACGACCGCCACCTCCTTAGGTCAGCCAGACAGTGCCCTCTGCCCCTGGGATGCGTTATCTCACTTAATCATAGCCCCGTGGCTAGGCCTGTTGTGTGGAAGAGGAAACTGAGGCACAAGTGTGACAAGAGACTGGCCCAGGCTGTTACTCTGTGGCAGGCTGGGTTCTAAAATGCCCAGGTGACTTGGGTGCCACCGATCACATCCCATAAAATACACCGGTCACCGTGGGACAGCTCCCAGGCACAAAGACATACTCATACTCACACAAAGGAGTTTTGGATTCAAGGCAAAGGATTGTGGGTGGGCCTTCCCCACCCAGGAGCTCCAGGGACGTTTCCCAGAACACACTGGCTAGTGGTGCTCAGTCCACAGAAGGACCTCACTAAGACCTGATTCTTGAGCAACAATGGCACAACCTCCTTCAAATATTCCACCAGCACACAAAGTCATCTCCAGAGTGCACTGGGATTAGAGTCTGGTTCAGCAATAGAGGCCCTGCCTAGATTACCCCAGTGAGGGGTGGGGGCCAGTGGCTCAGGGGTGGAGCCCCTGCCTACATTCCTACAAAAAACAAACCAACAAACAAAAACTGTGTGGTCCACAGTGGGTCTTGGAGTGGGAAAAGGGAAGAGAGGCCTCATTATCTCTGGCTAAGGCTGCTGCAATCTGCCTCAGTTTCTCCCTCTATGACAAAAGTGTCCTTATATCAGCTGGGCACAGTGGCACACGCCTGTAATCCCAGTGCTCAGGGAGGCAGAGGCAGAGGCAGGCAGATCCCTGTGAGTTAGAGGCCAGCCTGGTCTACAGAGTGAGTCCAGGATAGCCAGGGTTACACAGAGAAACCCTGTCCTGGGGCGGGGGGTGCTTATGTTCTTAGCCTGCTGTGATTTCAGGGTCCCAAGAGATGTCAGTGACCTTTGTTGGTTGGTGAAATCCCATGTGGAGATTTCTAGGATCTTTGTGGGACGATGCCCAGACAGGTATGAGATTTCAGGGTCACACAAAAGGATTGTGGGGGTGCTTTGACCCCCAAAAAACATCGGAAGAATCTTGTGGAATCCTTTAGCTGCCTACTGCACTGCCTGCTGTCCCTACTTCACAGGCAGCCCTGACCTGTTGGGGGAAGGGACAGGATCTGGGTAGGTGGCAGATGTCCTCTCTGCGGTCCAGCAGGGAGAAAGCCATCAGGACCCAGAAGCCGAGGAAGGGATGGGATGGAGATGGCGCTGAGCGGGCGGGTGTGGGGTTGGGAAGGAGGAAGTTCCCAGGGGCGGGCAGGAAACCCTTTTGACCTTTGGCCTTTGCAGCTACCCGGAGATTCTTGATTCTAGACCCTTCCTGGCCAGCCGCCGGGTGGGGGTGGCAGGGCTAGGGGCTGCAGCTGGGGCCCAACCGGCTGTGGCTTAGGTTTGGTCAGACAGGCGGGGTCCTGCAGATGGGGGCAAGCACAGGTTCTGCCTCAAGTTGGGGTCTGGCATGCCACCTGGCCAGCATGTGACCCCAGAAAAGCAAGTTTCTTCCCTGCGATCTGGTTGTATCTTGTGTACACAGGGCAGGCTTTTGCCCCCTGCAAGATGGAAGGGAGTCTCCTGTAGTCCAGGCTGAGTTCCCTGTGGTTGTGTAGCTAAGGATTGCCTTAAACTCCTGTCTCCACCTCCTAAGTGCCAGGGTGACAGCCATGCACCACCACCCCTGACTTACGGCCTTGGGGGTGGAACTCAGGGCTTCTCTCACACTAAGTGAGCACATTACCAGTTGAGCCACCCACAGCTTGTTTCTTTCTGACCTTTGCTGTTGTACATCTGTCATCAGGGGACAACTCTGTGGAATCAGTTCTCTTCTGCCTTCAAGTGGGTTCTGGGTTCTGAACTCAGGGCTTCGAGTTTTGAGGCCAGTGCTTTTATTCGCAGAGCTATCTTCCCAATGCACAGCATAATGCTGAAGGCTTTCTTACAGTGACTAGAGCAATGCAGCCTTAACCTGAAACACAGCTAGAGACAGCTCAGCAGTGCAGAGTCCTGTCTACTTTCCCCAAAGACTTGGGTTCGAGTCCCAGCTTCTAAAAAATGGCTCAAAACCATCTGTAACTCCAGTCCCCAGGGATCTGACGCCTGCTTCTGGCCTCTGAGGGCACTATGCACATACATGGTACACAGTCATACATGTAGGCAAAAAATCCAGAAATAATACAATTTTTAAATAATACAATTTTAAAAATAAGAGCCAGGCGCACGCCTTTAGTTCCAGCACTTGGAAGGCAGAAGCAGGCAGATCTTTGTGAATACAAGCCAGCCTGGTCTACAGGGCAAGTTCCAGGACAGCCAGGGCTACACAGAGAAACCCTGTCTCAAAAAAAAAGTAAATAAAATGAAACAGTCAAGTACTGGTGATGGACGCCTTTAATCCCAGCATTTGGAAGGCAGAGGCAGGTGGATCTCTGTGAGTTCAAGGCCAGCCTGGTCTACAAAGAGAATTCCAGGACAGCCAGGGCTGTTAAACAGAAAAACCCTGTCCCAAAAATAAATAAATAAGCCCAGTTAATTAATTAATTAAAAATAAATAAGCTGTGGAACTTTTGTAGGTACTGAATAAACTCTCACCATATGCCTTATGGCTGCCATAGTGTTGAGGGGCAGGGGGAGCACTGTCTGTAGCTGTTGGTGCCCTGAACCCAAAGACAGGAACAATGATGGGTGGAAGGTGAGTGACAAGGGTCCTGTGGAGGACCTCAGGCAACAGACAGCGTCAGGGTCAGTTCTAGAAGAGCTGACAGTGTTTTATAACACATGTACTTACAAACATGAAGTCAGTTACAGACCAGTGAGATGGCTCAGTGGATAAAGGTGCTTGCTGCCCAGCCCAGGACCCACATGGCGGAAGGGAGAGACTAGAATCTCACAGATGCTGCTCTGACTTCCATATGTGTACTGTGGCACCATACACAAATAAATACATACAAATGTACTGCAAATAATAGAGCTGTGAGTTGGAGAGATGGCTCAGCAGTTAAGAGACTGCTCTTGCAGAGGACCCTTGGTTCCATTCCCAACACCCAAACAGTTCAAAACCTTCTGTAACTCCAGTTCCAGAGGATCTGACGCTCTCTTTTGGCTTCCATGGGCACTGTCCAATGTGACAGAAACACATAGGCAGGCAAAACCACCACCCACATAAAATAACAAAATGAATAAACAAAGTTAGAAAAGAAAAAAGAAAGGCAATTGTAAATGCTCAGAAAATCAAAAAGCCGTTCTAGACCATGTGGCATGTGATAGCATGTGGGCAATTGTTTAATTTTAAACATACAAACTAACTTCGTTTCTATCAAAAGCAAAATTATATTTTCTTTCCTCATGGAAATCCAATTTCAGAGTTTTGATTCATTTTTTTTTTTTTGAAGCAAGGTTTCATGTAGCTCAGGCTCCCTAGGAAATGCTGGAGTAACAGGAGACAGCTAAGCTGTGTGTGAGAGAGAGAGAGAGAAAGAGAGACTGTAGAGGTCAGAGGACAACTTCTAAGAGTCAAATCTCTGCTTCCACTGTGTGAGTCCCAAGGATGGAACTCAGGTCTTCAGCTCAGAGGCAAGCACCTTCAGAGAGCCATCTCCTGGATGCTGAGGATGGACTCCACACATGCTCGGCTGCTCTGCTGGGAGCCTCTGAGGTCTAGGTGCCTTTTGCCTTTCTGTTTGGTTCTCCAGCCCCGTACTGGCCATGATTCATTGACAGCACCTCCATTTTTTTTTTCTCTCAATGAAGAGAAAGATTGGCTGTTAGTGTGCCCAGATCTAACCTCCTGTCTCAGTAGCACACTGGACACAACTGCCACCAGAGTGCCTTTAAAAGTGGTTATTGCTCTGGCCACTCCTGCCCTGCTGTATACAATCTCTAAAAATAGGCATTCTGAAGTTCTTCTGCCAGAACCCCTGTCCAGGTTGTCCCTAGATAGGAAGAGATGGATGGAGGGAGGGAAGGAGGCAAGACTCCTGCCAGGGCAACCTCACTTCCCTGATGAGACCGCTCTGGGATTTTCCTGAAAACAATTTGTCATGGTCACAGGAAACTTTGCCCATGGCTGCATCCTCATCCACTCAGATGCTCGGCCCAGAATCCTCATGGATGCTCTCCTTTCCCCTCCCCCCTTCTCTCTAAATGGAAAACAATCAATTCTGCCTGAGTTGTTTGTTTAGGTGGAAACCTTTCGAAGGAAGTCGCCACTTGCCACCAGTTGAACAGCTCAGTCTTTACAGAGACAGGAGGTTTAAAAAAAGTCATTGCAGTGGTTAGAAAAAAAATTTCACTGTTTGTTTTTTGTTTTATTGTTTTGAGACAGGGTGTCACTATATAGCCCAAGTACTGAGAGGCTACTTGAAGGCTGGCCTTGAACTCACAGTAATCCTCCTGCCTCTGCTTCTGGGGTGTTGGGTGACAGAAGTGTGCCACCAGGGAGATTATAAAGAAAGAAAGAATTGGCTTTTTTGACTTTGTTTTTTCAAGACAGCCCTGGCTAGCTTGTAACTCTTGATGTAGACAAGGCTGGTCTCTGATGTACAGAAATCCTTCTGCCTCTGCATCCTAAATTCTGGGATTGAAGGTGTGCACCACCAAGCCTGAGGGAGGGAAAGGTTTTCCTGCCAGTGGGCCACACCCTCCCGCTCAGTTTTCTGTTTTAGGAGAAAGTGAAGCAGAATTGGGTTGAGATTGGAGGCAGCTTGGCAGCTATTCTCTTCAGGACTCTGAGGTGAGATCCCAGGGGATGTCATCACCACCTTAGGGCTTCTGTTGCTGCCCACACCCCCACCCCACTCCTGTACTCACAGGAAGGACTGTTGTCCCTAGGTGTGTGCTGGGGACAGGGGGGAGAGACAGGGTGGGAGAGGTGGCTCAGAGGCTAAAGGAGCTTGCCACCGAGTCTGAGGACCCTATTTCCAACCCCAGAGCCCACCTGGTGGAAGAAGAAAACCCACCTCTGCAACCTGTCTTCCGGCCTTTGCATGAGCACCGCTGCATCTGTATGTGCACATAAGAATAAAGATGTAATATTTATTTAAAGCAAGAGACTCATGACTCAGGGTGGAGTGCTCGCCCGGCTCTGCAAGGGGCTGGAGCCTCAGCCCTGGAACAGCAAGAATGCTTCGAGGCTGTAGCCGGCTGGTAGAGCCTGTCAGCATGTGTGACGCTCTGGGTGTACCCGTGTACCTGCCTGTCAGCCCAACACTGTGGGAGAAGTTTAGGACGGGGTGTAGGTGGCAGGAGAATCAGCAGTATGGGTTATCTTCAGCAACATAGCAGGTTGGAGGCCAGCCTGAGCTACATGAAGCCATCTCAAAGCAATCAGAGGAAGAAAAAAGCAGGCCTAGAGCTGCCTGCAGAGAAGCAGGCCGGTCACATGACTCAGTTCTGTGGCACTAATGGAGACTCAGCGCACAGTCACTCCAAGCCACCCAAATGCCTTGGCCCCTTTCATCCCCCTCAGAGCCTCCCATAGCTCCCAGACACAGTCTTTTCTGACAGTTTTTACAGCAGAGTCTAGTCTCTAGAGTTCTGGGATTACAGGTGGGAGCAACTGAAAGACCCCCGGAGGGTATCTTTCGTCTGAGAGACCCCCTCCCAAGGAACAGCGAGGCCAGGCGTTCAGATGCAAACAGCAAGAGGCTTTATTGGATACACGGGTACCCGGGCGGAAAGCCACTCAGATGACTTTACGCGTCTTTCCGGGTGGAAAGCTGGGTTTTTTATAGGGTTTAGAGCAGAAGCACTGATACAGAAGCGAGAAGCATAGTTACAGGGAGCTGATTGGGTCTTTCACATGAAACCACAACATGAATCAGGGTTAGGCAGGGACACCAGAATTCCAGGAACTCGGGGTCAAAACAATTATAACGATCTTGACTAGTGCCGCCATATGTTGTTTTTCTCAGGACTCCTATCTCAGCTGGACCACCTGTCAGATATCCCATGAGGGTGGTCAGGACAAGTTGTTTTTAGCTCAGTTGGGGCAGCCTGACCGCAGATATCCCGAGGGGGTGACTTAGCTGGATTTCCCAGAGTAATTTTTAGTTCCCATCCGGCCTTTACTATTTTTCCCAGAACTGTGGTATACCACAAAATGGCGTTAGCTATGTTTAACTCTGTTTGACTCAGGGTGATATGGGGTCTTTCACAACAGCAACGCAGTCTCATGTTAGCTCAGGCTAGTTAGTCTTTAGCTTCCTATGTAGGCAAGGCTGACCTTCAACCTGCTCAACTCCCTCCTCCATTATAGTTTCCCAGTTCTCAAGGCTGGGGGCGTCTGTCTCACCCTCGCCGCTCTGTAGGCTTCGGAATGGCAACTATGAACTCAGCTCTGACTTCCAATTTCCAATTTCCAAACGGGATGGGGGGAGGAGTGACGGGGTCTTTTTTTCTTTCATTTTTCTTTTTTTAGATACTGTGTCTATGAATTCTCACTCACCACTCCAACACTGAGCTACACTCCCCAGTCTCCCCGCATCACATTTCAAAAACGTATTATTTATTTTATGTATCTTTGTGGTTATGAGGTGAGTTCAGCAGCAACAGAGGCCAGAAGGGGGAGTCGTATTCCCAGAGGAAGCTGGAGTTACAGGCGTTGGCGAGCTGACATATTTGGATGCTGGAGACCGAATTTGGGTCCTCTGCAAGAGCAACCAGAGTTCTTGACCTCTGTGTCATCTTCAACCCCCTCTCCCCCAGAATGTGTTTCTATACATCCAAACACAATGTGTTTTTGGGCTTTGTTTTGGTTTTGTTTGATAATCAGTTTCACTGGATAGCTCAGGCAGGTCAGGATCTCAGCTTCCTCGTTCCCCAGCTTTGGGATTTGGCGCCCTCTCCATACAGTGTTTTGAGTTTGTTGGATGTATAAGAGTTTTGTTTTGTTTTTGGCCAGGCCTGGTGACACATCCCTTTAATCCTAGCACTCAGGAGGAAAAGGAAATGGATCTCTGAGTTCCAGAACAACCTGGTCTTGTTTGTTTGTGTTTTTGTTTTTTGTTTGTTTGTTTGTTTTTGACATAGGGTTTCTCTGTGTAGCCATGGCTGTCTTGGAACTCACTCAGACCAGGCTCTGAACTCACAGAGATCTACCTGCCTCTGCCTCCTGAGTGCTGGGATTAAAGATGTGCACCACCACTGTGCAGAAGGAAGGCATGTGGAGTGAGTACCAGGACAGCCAGAGCTATTTAGAGAGATCCTGTCTCAAACAAACAAACAAACAAACGTTTTGAATTTTCATTTATTTTGTATATTATCTGCTTGCATATATGTACACAGCTAAGCCTATAGTACCAAAGTAGGCTAGAGGGGGGTGCTGGTTCCCCTGAGACCAGAGTTGATTATTGATCTTTCAGTTATTCTTTTGAGCCCCAGAGAGAGCCCTTTCCCTCTGTGTGACTCACCAGATTCCCTTCCTACTTTCTGTCTTGTCTTTTCTTGCCACGTGGGCATCTCCTCCAAAACATGCTCCCTTTCCAGGCCCCAGCCACCCTCACCTTGGCTCCTATCCTCAAGGCTTCTTAGGATCTGTAACTCAGATTTGCACGTGCCTCCGGTTCTCTGTTGAAATCCCGTCTGGAGCTGTCCACGCTCCTACCGGGTGAGCTCAGCCTTGCCTGTGGGGTGAAGATTGTGTCGCGGTTTCCAGGAAGATCAGGGCCTGAACAAATGAACCTCAGTTTCCCTATGTGGTAATCTAGCACTGTGCGCTCCTGGAGGGGACGGTTGAGTCTGTGTGCTGTCACCTAAGCGGTCCTGGGTGGAAAGCTGCGCGTGGACGCTGTGGGCCACTCTTCTCACGCACACTTTCTGTCCCGGCCCGAGGTTCCCATCCTACTGGGGATCACGAGGTGGCCTCCGGCAGCCCTTCGTGGGTCCAGACTTCAGACGGGAGCGGATGCTGGGCTTAGACCTAGATCCTGAGCGGAGTCTGGGGCGCGACTCTCTCCTTAAAGTGCCGAGCTCGGCTTCCAGGGCATAACTGCAGAAAGTTTTGCAGAAAGGCATAACTATGAGCCCCTGACACTCCGACAAGTGTCTCTCTGGGGAACTCCACCTTAGGGACCCGCACCCTGCCCATTCCCTTCCAAACTCTGACGTCTTAGAGACCCTTGCCCAGGGATTCCGGTCCTTTCCTTGCAAAATCCTCCCCAAATCCCTAACTCTTCTCCTTCCATATTCCTTTTCCTTTCAACCTTGTGTTTTCTCCCTGCTTCTCCCTCCCTAGCGCCTCCCATCTATTCCCCATATGACACCTTTAACCTGGGGACCCCACCCCCTACAACCTATCAGCTCACCAACCTCTGCTACTTTCAACTTCACCTCCACCCTCCCCACCTACGTTCTTGGCCACGACTGTCCTTCTGCCCCCGCGACCCGCCCTTTAACTTACACGTGCTCCCTCAGCGCCACCTCGCGGCTAACGCAGGCCTCGCCGACGGCCTCTGCTGCGCCTGCGCGCTGGAGCGCCTCTTCCAGCTGTTGCTTGGACTCAGTGGCTACCGCCTCCCATCGCGCCAAGGCTTCTGCAAGTGACAGAACAACGGTAGTCTGCGTACCTTGTGCATACACATGACTTTCAGCCGGGCGCGGTGATGCACGCCTTTAATCTCAACACTCGGAGGCAGAGGCAGGCGAATGGATCTCTGAGTTGGAGGCCAACCTGGTCTACAAAGTGAGTCCAGGACAGCTATGGCTGCACAGGAAAACCCTGTCTCGAAAACGCCAAAAGAGAAAAAAACATGCACATGATTTTCTTTCTTCATCATCGTCGTCGTCGACACCGTCGTCATTATTTTAGTAGTATTATTGCTTTTTTGGAGACAAGGTCTCATGTAGCCCAGGCTGACATAAACCAAGACTGGAGACAGCCAGGAATGGTGACCTTCGACTGTAATCCCAGCACTCAGGGAGGCGGAGGCAGACGGACCTCAGAGAATCTGAGCCAGCCTGGACTACAAAGTGAGTCCAGGACAGCCAGGGCTACACAGAGAAACCAACCCTGTTTCGAAAAACAAACAAAACAAACAAAAAGACTGGACACTGACTCGGGACTCCTGATTCCCTGTCTCTACCTCCTGCGTGCTGGCATAATAAGCTTCCACCATCACACTGGGGTGCATGCAGCCTTTGTTTACGTTTGTTTTGTTTGGTGTTCTGAGGCAGGGTGAATACAGGCCTCCACGCACACTAGGCAAACTCTCTACCAGCGGGGCCACAACCACAGCCTAGTCCGTGTTATTTACAGGTCTTTTGCAGGTCTATTTCTGTTTTCTTGCCCTTGTAGGTTGTATCTGAGATCCTTTAATGTCTTTTTTAGATAGTTTGCACAGTAATTACAGGCCCACGCACTGTGCGAATCATTTTATGCTTCTAGGGACCTGACATTCCCTCCCCCAGGCCACACACACACACATAAACACACACATACCTGCCAGCTCTCCATTCTCCAGCCCCATCTTCGTGCCTAGGGCTTTCGCCTGGTCCATCTCAATCTTCTGAGTCTTCAGTTGGGTCTGAAGCCGGCTCTGCAGACAGAAGAGAGGGGAAGAAGACAGGGATAGAGGAGGGAGCTCACTGAGTTCCACCGAAACTCTGCAAAGCAGAAAGTGCTTGGTTTTGTGGACTCCAGCTAGGACTCTCCACTAGCTCAGGCAGGTTTAACTGATGAGTGACAACAGTGAAGGCTCACTCACATTGGTTCCTCCTGCAAAACAGACCAGGCTTCCTCAAAACATCTTACAGCAAGCAGGGCAGTCAGAACTCACATTCCAGGTAGTTGTGACCTCCACTGCCTCAGGCCCTTCTACTGGTAGGCAGAGAGCAGGCAGGCGTCATTCTGACCTTCGCCATATTGGGGTTCGAGCCCTGATGTTTTGTACTCCAAGCTGGCCTCAATGCTGTGGTCCTCCTGCCTCTGCTTGCCAGGGCATTTTGAGTTTTAAAGTACAGATGTTATCTGGACACGGCAGGATACTCCAGCCATCCCGGCACTTGGAAGGTAGAGGCAGAAGGATCAGGAGTTCCCAGCCAGGCATGGCTACAGCCTCAGTTCAAATACATACTGGGCACCTTAGGCAGCTCCTGTCTCAAAATTAAAAGTAGAGGGCGCAGGGCTTGGCTCAGAGGTGGAGTCCCTGCCTAGAATTTCCCGGTGATGGGCTGGGGGCGTGGCTCAGGGGTTGAGTCCTGCAGTTAGGGGCTGTGGGCGAGGCTCGGGGGTGGCGCTTGCTTCTGTCTGGAAGGGTTTGAACTCCCGTGATCTCCCTGCCTCGCCACCCTTGTGCTACGATGACAGATGTGTGACACCATTCTGCCAATGACTGGATTTTGAGCACTCCGTTTTGTGAGCCTGTACAGTCAAGAGAGTTAAAAAAAGAGTCTGAGGGGGTAGCCCCAGGAAAAGGGAGGTCCTGCTGGTACCACCCTAAGAGGCCAACTTTAGTCTCCTAATTACAGGTGACATAAGTGTCTCTCTCTCAAAATAGGACTGATGGAACCTGGAGTCGGGGTGAGGCAGCACAAAGAGATCCAACATAGCGTCTCTCAAAGCTCCAGGGTCTGGGCTTTTTCCTTGTGTTCAATAGCAGGGATGAGTGTCATCGTGGATTAGAAGTTAGACTCCGAGAGGAACTGGCATTTTGGAATATAGAGAAATTGAGGTAGTCCTGTACTTGCTCTCCATCCGTTGGGGTGTTGGGGGACGCTGAGGCCCCAGAGATGGGCATGCAGACTCTCTGCGGAACTTCCCCTGACCCTACCTGGCGTTCCTTGCAGGCCTTGAGCGCCGCCTCCAGCTCCATCCTGTCGCCCTCTGCTCGCTGAAGCCGCCCGACCAGGCTCTCCTGACGCTGCTCAGCCTCCGCCAACTGCCGCCACAGTTCTTCGACCTCTGTCGCCGAGTCTGGGGGCCATATCGTGGCGTTCACCTGCTCGGGTTCAGGGCAGCTGGGAACCCGGGCCGTGGTGGCCGCCAGATTCCAGGCCACCAGCGCCCCTCCGGCCGCGGCCGCCGCCAGGAACACTGCAGCACCGCACAGGGCCAGTAGCCGCCACGCGAGCCCCGGCTCTGGGCCCGGCTCTGCCATTCCGCCGTGGCTCTGACCCCAGACGGGCCACCAGCACTTAATTGGCACCTTGGGGCTCCAGGGACATCCAGGGTTCCGCCCCGCCCGGAGGTGGCTTCCTGAGGGGTGGGGGTGAGGGGAGTGCACAGGAATCTCTCCGGAACAGACGGGGGACCTTTACATCAGACCCCCTCAGAGCCTCAGGTTCCCCGAACTCAGTGACTGGGTAAAGTCAGGAGCCCACGGTGGGGAGTGGGGGAAAGAAACTCCAAAGACCAAATCTAATTAGGAAGATGGGGAGGTCAGGTGAGCCCATTCTGTTGATGGGGAAACTGAGGGCGGAAGGTGGGAGGGTAGATGCGAGCGGATCCTGCAAGGGCTTCATGCTGGCTGTGCTCAGCGATAGTGAGCACTCTTTCCATGTAAGTGGGAGTCAAGCAAGTTTTTTTTTAAGTTGTTTAAAATTTTGTTATTACGTATAATTTATTTTGGGTGTGCATAGGAGGTGTGGGGTCTGTCCAGGTTCCGACAGCTTAACTCTCATTCCAATATGTGGGTCCTGGGGTACCTCAGGTCATCAGACACCACGGCCTGCCTTCATTTTACTGGAGACTCCTTCCTTGGCTGCCCCCACATTCCAACCGAGGCCCTGGAAAGCAGAGTCTAGCATTTTGCTTCATCCTTTACCTTGTGATCACATGGATCCAGCACACAGTAGGTGCACACTAAATGTAAGCTGAAGGTGACTTGCTGTGTGCCTCTTTAGTTCATGAAATGGAAGCTGTGTCTGGTATTACACAGCTGTCAGCACTGGTGGGGATTGGAATGTAGTTAGAGGGCAGCCAGGGCTACCTGAGACCAGCCACTGGAGGTTCAACACTGATCGGAACATAAATAGAAGGTGGCGTTAGGTCAAGCCTGCTGACCCACGCCTCTGATCCCCACACTCCCAGTCAGAGGCAGGCGGAATCTCTGAGTATGAGGGCAGCCTGGTCTGAACAAACAAAACAAAATACAAGATATTAAATTACATAGAAATATGGATGAAGCTGGAAGACCCTGTCTCACTCAAACCACCTGGGCAGGTCAGGGACGCTCTGCACTTGCCTGGTCAGGCCTCCCTTCTTGTCAGGAGGAGCCAGTGTTGGTCACTCAGAGCAAGCAGGGCCGACCTGACTGAATCTCCATAGGTGGAACCTGGAGCCACAGTGTGAGGGGACTGCCTGTGCAGATGGACCAGCCAGGAAGGTCATCTCCTCTCTACAACTCAACACAGTACAGCCCTACTGCTTCTCCTTCACGGCCTCCCTAGGGAAGTCAGGGCTTCTCAGACTGAGAGACTGATAACCTGTCCCCAGTCTGTCAGTGCTGGGATTGAAATTCCCATTGGTCGAACAATTCTCATTATATCACAACAACAAGGAGGGGAAGATAAAGAAGGAGAGAAGGGGAGGGGTGGAAAAAAGAAATAAAAGGAAAAGAATGAAAAAACTTGAAGAAAGGAAAAGGAAGGTGAAAAGAAAAATAAAAAAATTAATCAGGCCCAGAGAGGCCTCTGTACAGCTTGATTCCCTCTGTACCAGAAGCCTCTGTACAGCTTGATTCCCTCTGGAGACCCACCCCCAGCCCTCAACTGTGCAGCAGGGCACAACTTGGAGGTCCAGATCCAGGCTAGAAGAGAAAAATGTTAGAAACTAGGGCAGAGGTTAGCGGCCTTCATCAGCCATCTCAGTGCTGAGGACCTGGGGCCTAGTAGATGCATGGAAATTTTCCAGGAACCAAAAGGACAGAGGTCACAGGTTACAGTAAAGTGGGGAGGGGATGAGGGTAGTGGGGAGGAAGGCCTCACTGCTAGTCACCTGGGAAACCCACGAAAGCTTAGTGCTTCCCATGCTTACTGAGTATGAGTGTGTATGTGTACAAGAGACAGACAGGGAGAGGCAGAAAGAGACAGAGAGAGAAAGAGGGACAGGGAAAGAAAGATGTAGATGACTGTGCAGCTGTCTCCCTTGTCTACTTCCTCCTCAGCCTCCAGGGTCCCCAGTATGAAGAAGACAGAGAGCAAATACAGGAAGAAGAAGAAGAAGAAGAAGAAGAAGAAGAAGAAGAAGAAGAAGAAGAAAAGAAAAGAAAAGAAAAAGAAAAAGAAAAAGAAAAAGAAAAAGAAGTCCTCTCCCTCGTCCAAGCCTATCACCCCCTTGGAAGAAAATTTTCACAGCTAACACCCAAGGAGGAAGTGGCGAGCTTCGAACATGTGTTACTTACAAAACAGGGATTCTGCCGAATGTTTGCCCAGGAGGGACAGTCAGCCCCCACCTAAATCTTCACCCTGTGAGGCCTGTTCCTCTGCTTCTACCATTCCAAAGTTCATCCCAAGAGATCTATAAGTTTGTTATGCTAACAATGGGCAAACGATCTGGAGCAGGAGTGGGACCAGAGGTGACCCATAAATAATGACCTTTCAAGCTACTCTCCTTCTATGAGAGAAAGTCAACAGTCAACAAGCCAGCTGTGATGATACTTTACAAACAGGCACAGATGAACTTTTGAAGATATGGTATGTCAGCCTCAGAGAAAAGACCTCTATCTGGCCCTCCAGAGAAGGGCACCTAAGTACAACCAGTGAGGGCTGGAACGTGTCTCAGTGGTGGAGCCCCTGCCTAGAATCCCCAAGTGAGGGGCTGGGTGTGGCCAGCCTACTCGGTCAGGCCTTATGGTTGTTCCCAGAACACACATACAAAACAGGACTGAACCTCTCTGACCTCCAGAAAACTCAAAAGTGAGGATCTAAAAGAGCTGGCAGAATTTGCACAAGGCTAGGAAGAGCTTGATAACCACTTGTGTATGGAGAGAAAGACAATGAGTAGGGCAAACAAGAATCAAGGCACAGAAAGATTCATAGGTGCCTGTGAAGGGGCATTTGGGCATCCCCGGAAAGTACTGTCTCCAGTGGGTACTGTGGGGTGGAGAGAACACAGGACTGTGAACCTCAGTACCACAGGCAGGAAATAGTAGAGACAATAGCTGGATCCCAGGAGGATGTGGAGTAAGGAAGCTAACAGAGGAATGCGTGTTGGGTGTGGGAGGACCCCAGATGTGTGGGGACCAGGTCTGTGGGGTTGTAGGGCTCAGTGTGGAGGAGTAGCAGAGATATCCCAAAGAGGGAGGGTGTAGCATAGCTAGATACCGCAGGACTAAGAAGAGTGTAGGAGGCAGCTGGCATGACAGTGTAACTGAGTGGAAACCCCTCCTAAATCATGCAGTGGTTCTTCTTGCTTGTCACCTTGACTATGTTTGGGAACTAAAACCAAGCAGCTGGACACACCTGTGGAGCATCTCTCTTAATTAAGTCATTTGAAATGGGAAGACCTACTTCTAATCAGGGTGTCTGGGCCATACCCTCTCCTGGCAGCCTGGATAAAGAACATGGTGGAAGGGAATGCTGCCTGCTTGCTCTCCCTCTCACTTGCAAGTCCATTCCTGTGGTTGGTCTTTGTTCCTTTATGGGTTCTTCTTTTCCCTACCCTTTATCCCCCTGGCTCCACCCTGTATCACTAGAGAGGAGAAAAACAAGGATAGAGCAGAGAGGGGTCCCTGAATCAAATTTCTGTCCTTTTTTTTTCTCTCTAAAATATATTCGCCGGGATCAGCCAACAAAATAATCATCCATGTAATGATAAATAATGGAAATTGCCTAGGAATTATTTCTAGTAGTTATTGAACAAAATATTGACATAAAGTTGGACTGTTTAACATTTCCCCAGGGAAGAACTTTGCACTGATATCTGTAAAAGATTTAATTATCAACATTGTCAAATGATTTTTGTTTTGTTTTTGAGACAGGGTTTCTCTCTGTAGCCTTAGCTGTCCTGCACTTGCTTTTTAGACCAACCTGGCCCCAAACTCACAGAGATCTGTCTGCCTCTGCCTCCCTGAGTGCTGGGATTACAGCCATGTGCCAACCATGCGCCTTTTGGGATCTCTCGAATTGGGCACAACAATGCATCAACCCTCCCTTGTTCTTCTGGTAAGGAGTGATTGCTAGCCCTACACCACCACAACAATAAAGACTTTTGTGTTCCTGTCATAATTATTCCTTAGACTTATTTATATGAGCAGGAGGAAGTGGTACACCTGCTCCAAAACTCAAAAGAAAAGAGATATTCATCCCTCTGTTGGTCTATTCCCCAAGACTGTGCTGGCACAGATGATGACTCAGCCCCATTATAAAAAAACAAAGGGGGAGATGTGGGTTCCCAAGCCAGGGACTGCTGCTCATACCCCAGACTTCTCTCAGAGAGCACACAGGAGAGAGGGGCCACTCCCTACCCAAATCAGATCTGGGCCTACTCAACTCCATAGAGACAATGGCCACCTCATGATAAAGTCAGTTAGGCTTCTATTTCCCTTGCCAGAAAACTGGCTTCTCAGTAATCATGTTACCAGCAGTCTTACAATATGCTTGGAAAGTCCCTGCCTCCAATGCAGGGACTCCTGCATGCTTTGGTATCTCAACTGGTATGTCATTAAGTTTGCATGTCTTCAATCAGGTCTGCATTGGCAAATTAAGGGCATTTCCTCCCTTGTTCTTTGGTAGGCCCCTCAACTCAGACTCAGGCTCTATAAACTGCTCCTGTGTCTTTATATCAACTGTACTCACCAGCTCCTGACATCCTGCTCCCCAGCACCTCTGCATCCGGAGACCTCCAATGCACGACGGCCAACTGGGATCAGGGGACCCACACTCTGTTCGGGTTGTTTGTTTTGATTTTTTTTTTTTTTTGAGATAGGATTTCTCTGTTTAGCCCTGACTGTCCTGAAACTCACTCTGTAGACCAGAGATCAAACTCAAACTCAGAGATCCACCTGCCTCTGCTTCCTGAGTGCTCAGATTAAAGGCGTGCACCACCCACTGCTGATGAAGGAATTTTAAGGCTCAGGTGTTGCAGTAAATAAAAAATAAATAAATAAATGAGTGTCGAACTATATAATGTTTATTATTAGCCCTAAGATTATTGCAGCACACACACACACACACACACACACACACACACGTTCTAAAAATATCTAGAGCTCCTTAACTAGTAGAAATCCCAGCCCAGAACTTACTGTGGGAGACAGAGGAGACGCACAACACCTGCTTTCTCCTTAGAGCATCAGTCATGAGCAAGAAGCGTGGAGCTAAGAGCCAGCAGCGGCCCTTTCCCCAAGACCTTATGATAATGCTAGCAGAAAAGGCGGATGGACAGGTGTGCTCAGCAATCATGTGTCCACCTCAACTTGTAGGGTGGCCCCTGACAGTGGGGAAGCAGGGTGGGGAAGCAGGGGACCCAATGACTAAGTTCTAGCAACTTAGAAGCAAGCTCTTTCTTTCAAATTACTTTATTTTTCAGGGCTCAAAGACATCAGAAATAAGTGACCTCTTCCCCAAAACTATGAAAGCAATAAAGCAGAATCCCCACCCCTACCCCCGCCTCCCCACCCCCATCGTAAGGCTGCTTGGAGGGAGATGCAATCTGGGCTCCACTGATCAGTTTATACATTCTCAGGGCTGCCATGACCCCTCCAGGGCCACTATGAGCCCCAGTGACCTCAAACAGGTGCAACTGTATCCGCATCAAAACAGGCTGTGGCCTAGAGAGAGGGTAAGAATCTGATTAACTACCACCCCATCCCGCCCACCACAGGTCACGCCCCTTCGCTGAGCTGGCTCCTCTCTGAGCCCAAGTACCACCCATATGTCAACCTCCCCATCACCACCCCCTCCCTTTTGTTCACAAGTTCCCCTGGACCCAGTTTCTCACCTGCTAGCTAGCTATTGGGTCCTCAAAAGAAGAGGAACATTGTCACCAGGAGGATCAATGGGCTGGAGACCACCATGTAGCTGCCAGAGTTCTCCTGTTCTGTGCTAGAAGTTTCCTGGTTCCTGGGTGGAGAGGGAATGACTCAGGCAGAGGTCACCTGGTTTCTGCTAATCAGCCTCCTTTATAAATGTTCCTGGGCTGGAATGAAACTGGGGGATTCTAGGCAGTGGCTTTACCCCTAAACCATACCCCCAGTCCCTCATTCGGGGATTCTAGGCAGGAGCTCCACCCCTGAGCCATGCCTCCAGCCCCTCACTGGGGAATTCCAGGCAGGAGTTCTACCAGATCTTTAGCCCTACTTTTAGTCTTTCAAATTCATATTTTCTTTTCTTTGATTTTCTTCTTTTTACATTTTATTTTGTGTGTGTATGTATACGTGTGCACGTGTGACGTGTATGCATGAACACTCACATGCCATGACATGTGTATGGAGTCAGAGGCATGTTTGCGGGTTCTGGGGATCAAGCTCAGGTTGCCAGGCTTCTTCTGCGGGCACCTTCTCTGCTGAGTCACCTGCCCTCATTTGTGTTCTTTTTGTTATTGGTTTTTTGGGTTTTGTTTGTTTGGGCTTTTGTTGTTGTTAGGTTTTTTTGTTTGTTTGTTTTTTGTTTTGATATTTTCAGGACAGGGTTTCTCTGTGTAACCCTGGCTGTCCTGGACTCACTCTGTAGACCTCACCTGCCTCTACCTCCCAAGTGCTGGGATTAAAGGCAAGTGCTACATGCCTGGCTTCACCTTATTTTTTTTATTAATTATTATTACTACTATTCTGGTAGTGAACTTTGGGACTTTATTGTGCAATAGGGAAGGCTACAATTTTATCTGCACCCTCTCTTTTTTAGCTTTTGAGACGGGGTCTCCCTGGGGATGAAGCTCACTGTTTGGGCTAACCGGTGTCCCTCAGCACCATAGTTACACTCATAGAACTCCAGCCAGTTTGTAACTGGGGATTTGAACTCAGGTCCTATTTAAGCCTTCTTCATAGCTCAGACCTGAGCTATGGATTGTATGAGCCAAGTGGGTTCCAGGTCTTGAGGAAGAAAGTGGAGCAGTGAGGGGAGGAGGTGGCAGTGGGCAGAGAAGGCTGTGTCTCTAACCTCAGATTCTCCAGCTCTTTCTTCAACTTCATGACTTCATCTGTGATGACATAAACAGAGGGGTGGTCAGCACACTGCCACAGTGAGAGTGAGCACCCCGAAGGAACCACTGGAAAGTGTCTAACTACCAAGACCACTCAGCAGCCAGGGCTGTCAGGTGGGAGAGGTGCTGATGACGAGAAGGAGGCATCAAAGGAAGGGCCAGCCTAAGCCGCTTCTACATGGTTGTGGAAGAACTGGCTTAGAGACTGCCTGGGGATCCGCCAGCACCCTCCTAACAGGATGTTTCCCATTTCCTCTGCTCTCCACTTTCATAATCGCCCATTTCTACTCCTGAATCTTTACCCCTTAATTCTTGGTGTTCAATTTGTCTCTGGAAAGAACCCAGACTCCTGAGCAGCCAGGCCATGCACCCTCAGTCTGGACAACCACCTCTCCCTAGGTCCCAATCTGGAGGCCTGCCCTGTTCCCCCATAGTTCCCTCCCAACTCCACAGGACCCCTTCTCCTGGCCCCCTCCATCACCCACCCCAACCCTCTCCCAGGCCCCTTCCACTCCCCCACCCCAGCCCTCTCCTGGTCCCCTCCACTCCCCCACCCCAAACTTCTCCTGGTCCCCTCCACTCCCCCCACCCTTTCTCACTCTCAAGCTCCTGGATACGGGCCTGCTGCTGCTGGGTCTGAAACACCTTCTTCTCCAGGGACTCCTGAAGGGTCACCTGAGTTAGAAAAGAGTCAGGACATGGGTTGGCTGTTGTCCTGGTCCCTGAAATCCTTCTAGGCCAAGTAATTAGAGGACCTTATACGCAAAGTTCTTCAGGTTCCTCCCCAACTTCCCAGTCTTACTGACAAAAGTGTTATCTCCAAAATAGTGGTTTTTAACTCTCTCTCCCCTGCACTTTAGCAAGCCTTCTCAAACACTCAATGGGGTTCCCAGCCAGTCTCTCAAGAGACACATTGAAAGTTTCAATAATTTGGTGGGGGTGGTGGCCCACGCCTTTCGTCCCAGCACTTGGGAAGCAGCCTTCGAGGCCAGCCTGGTCCACAGAGTGACTTCCAGGACAGTCTGGGCTCTGTAGGAGACCTTGTCTCAAAACAGAAAAGTTTCAGTCATCAGTGATTGAGTGATGTCCCCTGAAGCGGAAGACTGCTGCCTAAGTCCGTTTCAAGCTCTCCAACTCCAGCACCCTCCACAAAATGTAGAGGCCCCTTCAAGTCCTGGAAGGAGGGTAGATTGAGGGTGCGGATTTCGGAGCTGTCGGAAGTTTTAAGGTCCCCCTGGATTTCATAGTCCTTAGTCGCTGGCCTGCGGGGCGTGGGGCGGAGGTGGGAACATGCTTGGCGGTTTCAAAGCCTCCTCCGAGTCTTGGGGCACTGGAGGGGACGGTTTCCAGCCTTACCACGGTCCGTTTGCAGGATGTTGCCTGCGTCTCCGCTTGCAGCAGGCTGTCCTGGGAGCGGGTGAGCTGGCGCTGCAGCAGGTTCGTGGTGTTGCGGCATTCTTCGCGCGCCCGCAGCCCGTCCCTGCAGGCTTCGCTGTTGGCTCTGCCGGCAAAGTAAATGAGCAAGGTGACCAAGACCACCAGGAGCAGGAGCGCCAAGACCGCGCCCACCGACAACCACCGGCGGGCGGTCCTCCCCTGTTCCTCCGACTTCTCGACCATGGGCACCGGCAGATAGTGGTAGAAAGTGGGTGCCATGTGGTCTGTCAGCTGGAGCTTCAAAGATGTCAGCAACCCTCTCCAGACCACTCCCCTCATTAGCATGCACACTCCACCCCAAGGCAGCTTTTGGCCAATAGCAACTTCCAGAGCCAGCGGCAATCCCAGTGCTGCTGGGATGCTACCCGCCTGAGGAAACGAGGGCTTTTCAGTTTCATTTTCCTGGAAGGGGAGGGATTCCTGTGGGCTCTGTGAGGAGAGGGTGCTGTGGAATCTCCCTGGAAGAAAATGAAATGTCTGGAACTCAGCTCAAATTCTGGCCCGTTTTTGGGTGCCTAGCACTTGTGGGTTTGAGGCTCAAGTGAACCGTGGCTCTCTATAGAGGGTGTTCGTTTGGTCTCCGAGTAGGGAAAGTAACGCTGCAAGGATGTATTGTGGAATCCGTGGTGACCTTCGTACCCCCTTAATCCACAGAAGGATCATGGGGGTTTGGAGAGTCTGTGAACAGTGGCTGCACGGCCAGGCAGGGCAACTACACCTCTCTGCTCTTGTGCTGTCGTTGGGAGCATCCTGGTGGGAACACTTGCCATCTCAGTACAGCAAGCTCTGTGAATGGGGCAACACTGAAGAGACAGAAGTATATCCGTGAGCAGCAGGCACTCAGTGGGCAAAACAGACATACAGACTGCGGTGGAGCATGGCCCAGAGTTAGGATAGTGTTTTGAGGAAAGATGGTGGGGACCATTCAGGACACACGCGGCACAGAGCCAGGGAGAGCAGCCATCCCAGCACTCAGGAGGTAGAGACGGTAGGGTAAAGGCTCAAAGCCAGCCTCGGCTACGTGGTGAGTTCAAGTGCAGCTGGAGCTACATGAGACCCTGCCTAGACAGACGCTCCCTGCCCCTTCCCACACCTCCAAAACAAAAACAAAAAACAAAACAAAACAAAACAAAAAACCCAAAGGAGACACTGGGAGAGAGATCCAAAAGGGGTTTGGAAGGGACTTCCTGCCTGTCGGGCTAAGGAAGGCAGAATTTAACAGTCCTGATTGCAGGCGCCAGATCGGCAGTTCCAGAAAGGGGTTGTATGCTTTTCCAGATTTCTCAGCCACACCCTGACTACCATGAAAATTTGATTCGATGGGTCATTTCCAAATATTTGTTACCTTGTGGAGCCAAGGTGGGTCTCTGGGCCTCTGAGAAGGCCTGATGGGGTACCTGAGGCAGCAGACCAGCTCCCCTCTATCTGGAAGTTCCCTTTATGGTTGCCTAGCTTTCAATGGGCGAGCAGGGGGACAATCTTCCTCCAGGTCCCAAGAGGACTTACTTAGGTGCTTTGCAATGAGGGCTGTGATGGTTGAGACTGTTGGGTTAGGGGTAGAGGCAGAAAAAACTCACTTCAGATACAGAAGCCTAAGCAAGCTTTATTTTCTGTGCTCAGAGAGGCGGCCAGTTCAGGAGGTGAACCTCCTCTGGGAGGGGAAGCTGTAATGTATATTTAAAGGGTGAAAACTGAAAGGTGACTGAGAGATTGGTGAGTGTCAGGTCATCCAGTCAAATTTTAACATTATGGGTTAAGCAAGTGAGTTTCTGTTGGGGGCCTGATCCAAGGCCTTTAACTATTTTCCAATACATTTGTTCTGGAATCCAATGTTCTTAATTCATCCTCCTAGACATTTGGTCTAGAGCTCAAGGTGATGAGGGAACAAAGAAGTGGGTCATCTATCTGTGGTAAGTGGGGGCTTTGCAGGCTATGTACTTTTTACAATTTAGGCACCTCAGTTAAAGTAATAGCAATGTTATACTTTTTGTTCTTAGTTAACAAACAATTAGGCAAATGTTTCAAGGGACTGAGTAGGAGGAAATGGCTCTGCACACCTGAGGATATGAACCTAGTTTGACCCTGCTAACAAAATGAGGGAGCAAAATGGAAGAGATGCTTTGAGAAGCCAACTCTGGCTGCTGCCTCCTTACAGAGACTGGCCAAAGCTTATTTATTGGGGCAACCATATTCCTAGCCATGCAGGCAGCCTGTGACCCTGCAGTGGCCACAGTGTGCCTCTCTGGCCAGCTGTGACACATAGGCTGGGCATTTGTGGCCATTCCTCAGCATGAACCTCCTTGGATCTCTGAAGTGGCCTGTCTTGAAGGCTCACAAGCAGGCTGTCAGGGTTATATGGTGGCAATGTTCAGGTGAATCTCCAAGTCCCCGGGGAGACAAGAGGGCGACTGATGGTTAGCACTGTCCTGTGTCTGCTTTTGTCGTTACAGTTGCTCCGTCGTTCCTGCCAGCTGGCTGTGTAGCCCAGGCCTTTCTGGAACTTGTGACAATCCTCCTGCCTCACCTTCCTAAGAGCTGGGTGATAGGTGGGCACTGCCATGCTTGGGTTTAAAGCCTGTTTCTATGGTGCAGGATATGACCAGGGCTTGGGGCCTGCCAAGTGCTTTTGTAGAGATTACTGAGGACTTACAGAGCAGACCATGTTCAGTCAATGGTTCTCTTCAGGACTGAAGCTGTGTGGCCAAAGTCAGCTCTGGTGTATCTCAGCATGCTCCACTCTCTTCTTATGAAAACCAGTTTGCTTAATGACAACACAGAGATGAAACACATTTTTTAATGGATTTATTTTTGTTTCATGTGCATTGGTATTTTGTTTGCATATATGTCTGTGTGAGGGCGTTGGCTCTCCTGGAGCGGGAGTTACAGATAGTTGTAAGCTGCCATGTGGCTGCTGGGAATTGAACCAAGGGAAAAGCAGCCAGTGCTCAACTGCTCAGCTGCCGGGAGCCAAAGCTATTTACTGAATCCAAAGCTATTTAGTGGAGACAAAGCTATTTACTGAAGCCAAAGCCAAATAGTGAGCAAAGGTCATTTAGTGGAGACCTAAAGCCAATTAGTGGAAGAGTTATCTAGGACCCTAAGTCGTGGGCGATAGATTTGTGAGGACATCCATTTGTTAGTCTTAGAGCATCTGTGAGATATCCTAAGAAAACATCCTTACGGTATCTTGCAGGTGCAATACTCAAGCCATGAAAGCACTCTTGCTATCTTCTGGAGCAGTAATTAACCTTCCCCATTTCCTGACTTCTCCCTATATAAGTTGGGTAAAAATTTCTAATAAATGAGGCTTTGATCGGACAAACTGACTTGGCTTCCTTCTTCGCATCTCTTTCCCACCATTCTTTTCACACACACACACACCCTTAGGAACCCATTGAACTCCCGCTGGACGGGACACTCAGCCATCTCTCCAGCACCAGGACATTTTTCCCCCTTGAGTAGATCTAGATTTCTTTGGTTTTGATAAAGGTCTTATTATATAGCCCTGGCAAGTATGTAGAGTAAGCTGGCCTTCAACTCGAAGAGATTCATCTGCCTTTGCCTCTGCCTCCCAAGTGCTGAGATTAAAGGCGTGGGCCACCACTGCCCCGTTAAATTTATTTTTAATTAAGTGAGTATATGTCTCTGTGTGGATTAGGCACAGAAGAACAGATTTGAGCGGAGGTCAGAAGAAGGGGTCAGATCCCAGGAGATGGTTTCCAGGAAGCAAACACTGGTCTTCTGCAAAAGTAGTTTAAGCAAAGGCCTAATCCATCCATGCCCACATATTTTGGGGAAATCTCTGAATGTACTAACCTCACTATTTGGCTTCTGTAGTTCTGTTTCTGGCTAACTATTTTTGTTAACTGAAATATGGCAACACGGAAGATGGTTTTTGGCTTAAAAGCTCACCTTAAGAAAGGCTCAGGGCTACCACAATCCTGAACACTCAGTGTAGTCAACAGTTAGCTAATAAAAACCTTCTATTGGCTTAAGCCCATGTCCGTGGATGCCCCACAACAGTAACGAAACATGATGTTCTGGACACCATTCTCAGAACCTATAACTTCTCAAAGTATTCTTCTGACCACCACACTTGCACACACACAAAATACACCTTAACTTTTTTTTTAGAATTGTTTATTTTATTTCATATGTTTGACTATTTTGCCTATAAGTTTGTCTGTGTACTTTGTGCATGCCTAGTGCCTATGGAGGCCAGAAGAGGGCATAAGGTCCCCTGGGAGCCACCATGTAGATGCTGGGAATTTAACCTGGGTCCTCTCCAAGAGCAGCTGGTCCTCTTACCTGAGACTTCTCCAGCCCAAAAAATAAAACGAATTTTTCAAAAGGTAACGAATACAGAGACCTTCCCACTGCCATGCCAGCATGGGCAGGCAGAAGACACCCAGAGACTTGTCCATTGTGTGGCTCCCCACAATGTGAGCCACTACATGTGCAAGATGCGGTGGAGAGATGGGAAAGAAAGCAGGACAGTTTGAGCATTATGAAGAGAGGCAGAGCTGGAGACGTGAGGGTAGACAGGAACAGCCTGATGTGAGCAGGCTGCCCTGCCACCTGAGGCCATGGTGAAGTCCTAGCCCATTCTGCTTCTGAGAGCCATGTCTGGATCTGTGGCCATGCAGCAGCAGGGGTCTGCGTCAATGTTCGTGGCTCATATTAGCACTAACGACCGTGGGGACATCGCTGATCTGGGCTGGCACCTGGGATCATGTTGATGTCCAAGTATTGTGCAGAGCTGGCTCTAGGGTCAGGAGAGTGGAGAAGCTGCACCCCCCTCCCACCTGGACAGCACAGTAGAGCTGGCCCTGGGGGGGGCACAGGTGAGAGGGCCTTGAGGCTGTGAGCAGGAGGGTGTGAGCACAGGAGAGCTGTCCCTGCCCCTTGCCAGAATTGGAGGGCCAGCCAGGGCAATGCAGGAGAGATGTTAGAATGACCGGTGTAATGTAAGTTTTGGTTTCTTTGTAAACTCATGTTATGTTATGTAAATATGTTTTTGTTTAATCCCAAGTGTGAGATTTTTGTTGGACTATAGTCTGTCCACACTTTTGTTGGACTATAGTCTGCTGTCTCTTGTGGGGCGTGATCTGTGCCAGCTGGTAGAGGCCTTCTACCTGCAGCACAGAAAGGGGCCTGGTCTAGGGCTCAGAGGATATAAATTGAGAGCCAAGAACGAAAAGCTGTGGTGTTTGGTGTGTGGTGTAGCAGTCTGGGGAGACCAAAGACAGACAGAAATGCTTCCAGTGCAGCATCTTGGAGGAGACTGCTGGCTGTGTCTATTGCAATAGAGCTCTAAAAAACCCCTTGACCCTAAACAGCAATGAAAAGTAAAGAGGCCCTCTCTACTTGCTAACCTTTTCTCTCCAATATAGGGTTGGGAGGTTAGGAGGGGATTGAGGCCTAAATACCCCAAATAGAGTAGAGTTAAACATGAGTGCTGCAGACCAGCTTAGAACCCTCCCAGGCCCAGTTCCAGGGCTTTGAGTTGGCCTACCCCAACATCTACTGTAGAGGAATTTTAATTCAGAACATGGCTGTTCTTATAGGAAATCACATCCAAAGACTTTCTAGATCTTTGAGATCTGGCTAGAATACAGTCATACCATTAATCCCAGGAGACAGAGGCAAGGAGGTCTCTGAGTTCAAGGCCAGCTTGATATAGAGAATGTTTCAAGTAAAGAAAAGCTTAGGTCCAGGGCTTTAATTCCAGTACTCAGAAGACAGATCTCTGAGTTCTGCTCAGGCAACTTGTTTGAGTCAGTGAGTTGAAGGTAGTGTAGTGGAGTTGAGTTTGTGACAGTTCAGTTTGTGGCATTCATAGTCAGTTTTTAACAGGAGAGTTTTACAGAGACAGGTTGAAGAGATGAGATAACAAGTTAGACAGAAAAAGCTAGATGAGATAACAAGCTAGACAGGTAAAGACAGAATGAGCCAGAGAATAAAAGGGAGCCAGAAGATTAGAACAGATTGCTAGAGTTAGTTTGAGGCCAAGAAAATTCAGTGAGTAACTTAGAGAAGCCAGATTGAATCAGTCAGCTTGGAAAGGCGTTTGAGCCAGAATAGCTGAGTTGAACCAGCCAGCCAGAGTTCAGAAAGAACTAGAAAGGGTGAGCTTATTCACAGTAAGTCTCAGAGACTGAAGGTGACACCCCACCCCCACCCCCACCCCCAGGATCTTTGACCAGTATTGGTCTATGAGGGCAAAGGAAGCAGAGGCTATAGATAGCCCGTGAGTACAACTAACTCTCTGGGGCTAGCTCCAGTGAGACTGTTCAACTTTATTCAGGTGCAGCAGGAGCCAAACATGGCCCTCTCCCCTTCCTGAGGCCTGTCTGTGCATATCATCTGCATACATGCCCATCATGGCTCGGCTAAGCTGTTTATACTCTGATGGTCTCCATCTTTCAGGCACATTTTCCTTCTCTTAGTTTCTGTTTCTGAGTTATTATAAATCTCAGTACTGTAGTTTGAAAGCAAAAAAGAAAAAGAAAAGAAAGGGCAGGGGGGAGCCTTGCTTTATAAGAACCATAGGATCTCTGTGAGTTGCAGCCCAGTCTGGTCTACAAAATGAGTTGTAGGACAACCAGGGCTACCTAGATAGATCCTGCCTCAAAAACAAAATTGATGAGGCCTGCTCCTTTTGGGTAGCTTAACTATAGACATTTATGTTTCAGACTTAACAGCCCCAACATCTCAGCTTGTTGCTAACATAAGGAAAAGCTCTCTGTGCAAGGTCAGGATGACCAAAAACTCTGTTTATGTTCCACATACTCTATGGCCTTGCTACTCCCAGAAATTCCCCAACAAGTATAGCTAGGCCCAGTTGCCAGGCACACTTTCAAGGTTAGCTAGAACTGCTTTGTCTAATTAGCAAAAATAAGTTGAGTCAGAGTTCAGAACCCTGTTCCACTTCCCCCACCTCCACCATGTGAGCTAATTGTGTGTTTTGCCTTTATAAGCTAACTCCAAAGACAATCAATGTCACAGTTTGGCTCACGTGTCCACTGTGCCCCTGACCTGGTCAGTAGTCAGTCTTGGGGTGTGTTGTGTTCATTAAACCATCCATATCTTACTGAGATAGGTATCTGAATGGTTTTGTGGCTTTCTCTGGACCCCAACAAAAACAAACAAAAAATAACCCAAATAATAACAACCAAAACCCTACTTTGCCTGTGAACCAGCCTTCAGGTCTGTATTATTCCTTAAATCAACAGCTGCACAGCCACAGTGATTTCGTTTGTCAAAAGGCCAAGAACTGAAAGTGTTTCAAACTTCTCCTTTCCCCTCTATTTTTTTATGATTTATTTTTTTCGCCAATATTTTAAAGGTTTTTTTGTTTGTTTTTTGTTTTTGTTTGTTTGTTTTTTCTTGTTTCGCTTTTAAAGTTTTGTCTTTAAAGTTTGATTGCCTGGCTAAATGAGCTCATTTAGGCTATCTAAGTGACCTTCTGTTTTGTGCACGCCTAAACTCTTAGCCTCCAACTTGGGAGTAGCCACCCCTGTCATGGCAACTCTTTGAGGCTGTCATTGACTCTGACCTTGTCCTTTTGAATTAACCACATGTTTGTGCAAGCTAAAACATCAAACTAAAATAACTTGAGGAAGTGTAAATGAGAAATAATTATCTTGTGTCCGGAAAGTACTATCAGTCTCTGCAAAACAGATGTTACAAGTCTGTTCCCCAAGTCCCTGACATAGAGTTGTGGTTAAGCGTTTTGTCTTTTTTTTTTTGAGACAGGGTTTCTCTGTGTAGCCGTGGCTGTTCTGGACTCACTCTGTAAACCAGGCTGGCCTCCAACTCACAGAGATCCTGTCTCTGCCTCCCTGAGTGCTGAGATTACAGGAGTGGGACAACGCGCCTGGCAAGTGTTTTGTCTTTTAAAAACGCTGACTCCCGTAGTTTCAGCTACTTTTGGTCTGGCCATCATTAATGGACTCTTGTTGTTTTAACTGGCTTAATTAAATAAGCCTGGTTGTCGTAACTATCGCCTCTTGGAGTCGTTGGCATAACAGGTGAGCGCTACCTGCCCTTCTCTCTAGACCAGTTTCCTCGCTGAAAGGGATCAGTAGGTGATGCTGGATGGCATTCTAAGGACCGTAGTCCCGTGCGGGAGCTAAACCTCCATTTAGAGGACTGGGTGGTGATTAGAGGCGGAAGTTCTCATCTTTTTTCCGCAAACGACTCTCAAAGGCTCTCCTAGAGGGCGTGGCTCCACCGCTGCATCGGACTGGTCAGCAATGTCTACGCGTGCGCACTAGCTGCTTGCATCACTATTTTCTAAGGTGTTCTGGGAGTTGTAGTCCGTGTTTCCGGGCTCTCCCAGGGCGTTAGCTCCCTTTTGAGCTCCCAGGGAGAATGGATCCCGGGGCAGACGCGGCGCCGCTTGTTGGCCTGGTCTGGTCGTTGGCCTCGGCCCCGCCACCGCCGGGTTTCAGCGCCGTGAGTGGGGGCGAAAAAGGGCGGCGGGGCGGGGGCAGGCCAGGGACGGGACGAAGCCCGCTGACCCATGCAACCCGCAGATCACCTGCACCGTGGAGGGCGCGTCCGCCAATTTCGGCCGCGGCTTCGCGCAGAAGGCCGGCTATTACCTGTGCCTGAGCACGCTGGGCAGCCCGGAGGTGAGCACGGGCGGCCTGCGCCTCAGCCTGCCCCCGCCACCCCCTGCCTTCTGACATCCCTGACCCTCCGAGCTGACAACCACTATCCTTCCCCACTGCTTCTACCTCCACCCTCCCTGCTCACACCGTTCACCCTTCCCCTCCCTGCTGACTACCCCCGTCGCGCCCCCTCTCCTGCTCCCAGAACCCTCAAGACAATGTGGTAGTGGACATGCAGATCGCGATGGACAAGGGCCCTCTACCGTCAGGCTTCTCTACCGTCAACGACCCTCTGGATATCAGTAAGATCTGTGGGCCCACGGGAGAGCGACTGACCCAGGGAACAGCTGCCTGGTATAGAATTTGACCTAGCTGGGCAGGGAGACATATTTAAATGCAGAACTTGGGAAGCTGAGGCAGAGATGGTGGGGAGTTGAAGGCCAGCCTGGGGTACAGAGTGAGGTCTTGTCTCAACCCACTACCCCCAAATTAAATAGTTGACACACACCTGTTCATAGTTGCGCTCAGGCTGAGGCAGGAGAATGGCTGCGAGCTAGTGTCCAGCCTGGGCTAGAGTGAGACCTTGCCTTAGCTTTTCCTAAGAATTGCATAGTGGGGCACACCTGTCACCAGCCTGGGCTACATGAAACTCCGTTCCTAAACAACCACTCCAAAGGTTTTTGGGAAACCAGCCGCCTTCCTAACTGACACTGGGTCACTGCTGCTTGCCCTCTGCTTCTGTGGCGGAGCGAATCCTCGCCATTTTCTTTTCCTTTCCAGGCTTTTGCACAGCAAGTCCGCCTGGAGCTGGCTTTCCCTCTCTGCATAGCACAGCCTCCCCTTTCCCCCATCCCCTGCCTGACCCAGCTGTCCAGCTCCCCGATGTGCTTGGTTCTCATGGTGTCTTTAGTGACCGCTGGCAGGCTGCTATGCAGGGTCAGGTCAGTGTGCAGACAGGAGAGGCTTCTGCAAATTCTCCTATTCTCTTTGTAGCTGTTTCCTGACTTATGCATTTAATTGGTTTTGGGTGATGGGGTCTCATTGGTAGCCCCAGCTGGCCTGGAACATCTATCCTCTCTCCTTCTGGGATTCACAGGCATGAGCCATCATGACCAGTCCCTCATAACTGTCTTAACCTGCTGGGTGTGGGGCCTGCTGCTCTTCATCTCAGCACTTGAGAGGCTGAGGCAGGAGGATTGCTTCCAATTCAAAGCCACTTCAGGCTGGGTGGTGAATTCCAAGGCAGCCTAGGCTACAGAGTGAGGTCCTGTTCCAAAAGCCAGGCTATAGCTGAATAAGCAAAGTTCTCACCTAGTGTGCATGAAGCCTGGCTTCTGTCCCCAGTGCCACATAGACTACAGGGGCCATCAGCACTCAGGAGGCTGAGGCAAGAGCTGACATTCAAGGACATCCTCAGCTACATCATAATTTTGAGGCCAACCGGGACTACATGATACTGTCTCACAAACAAAAACAAATGCATATAATGGGGACACCCTTTCTGATTTCACAGAGCTACACAGAGCTGTGGGTTGCATTACTTATTTATTTTTATTTATATATTTATTTTGGTTTTTGAGACAGGGTTTCTCTGTGTAGCCCTGGCTGCCCTGGACTCACTCCATAGACCAGGCTGGCCTCGAACTCACAGGTATCCGCCTGCCTCTGCCTCTCAGAATGCTGGGGTTAAAGGTTTGTACCACCATAGCTGGCAGGTTGATTTTTTTTTTTTTTTTTTTTTTTTTTTTTTTATAGAGCAGTTTTGTGAGCCCCTGGGTTATATAGGAGGACCAGGGAAAGTGAGGTTGAGGTGCCAAAATGATACTTCACTTGAGTCCACAGTTACCCATCAAATATTTACCAAAGGCCAACCTGTTTCAATGATTCCAAAAGAGTTAGTGAATCTCCTCCTATGATTATACCATTTATGACTTAACCAGCTCCCCAGTGTTGTCCGCAAACAGTACTGAGCATCTCTGGGTGCTCCCATCCTGGCTCCATTCCCCTCTCTTACCCTGCTGCCCCCACTCCCAGAGGCCTCTGTGTCCAAGAAGAAACGCATGTGTGTGAAGCTGTTGCCCCTGGGGGTTGCTGACACAGTCGTGTGTGATGTGAAGCTGAGTGGGAAGACCAAGACAGTGCCGGGATACCTGCGTGTGGGGTAGGGTGGAGCATGCCGTCCACGGACTCCTGTCCCTGCCAGTTTACCCTCTTCTCTGCATGTGGGGATGGAGGTCTCATGGGCCCATGCAACCAGTATGCTGATAGGCATGAGGGTGAGATGCTGAAAGAAAAGTACCCCTCTATGGTGGCCACATAGAGACACACGCCCACTCTTCCAGCCTTCCACTCTTCCATGTTCTGACTGCTCAGAACAAGGGTTTCCTTTCCTCCGGCCCCACTCCAGGGACATGGGTGGTTTCGCCATTTGGTGCAAGAAATCCAAGGCTCCAAGGCCAGTGCCCAAGCCCCGAACTCTCAGCCAGGACATGCGAGGCCTCTCACTGGACCCACCCAGAGAGCCCAGGTGAGTCCAGGCACTCCAGTGGGCAGACAGGCCAGGAAGAAGCCTTCAGCCTGACTGAAGTCACTGTCCCCTGCTCCCTAGCAAAGGCAGCCACCCCGAGCGGACGCTGTCCAGGCTGGGCTCTCGGGCATCCACTCTGAGGAGGAATGACTCCATCTATGAGGCTTCCAGTCTCTATGGCATCTCAGGTGGGCACAGAGTGGAGAAACTGAGGCCTGAGGTGGGAGGTGTGACTCCCTGGGGTTGTGCCCTGGCATGGCACAAGGCTGGAGTAGGGCTCCCTGGCCTGTACCACCAAGCTTTTTATTTTTAAGATTTATTTTTATTTTATGTGTATGGGTGTTTTGCCTACATGTATGTCCATGTGTCATATGTGTGCATTGCTTGGGAGGCCAGAAGAGGATGTTGGGTTCCCTGGAACTGAGTTCAGAAGGGTTCTGAGCTGCCTTGTGGGTGCTGGGACCTGAACCCAGGTCTTCTAAAAGAGCAGTCAATGTTCTTAACTGCTGAGCCGTCTCTCCAGCCCCCAAAGTAACCCCCTCATCCATTGTCGTGGAGGGACTGGAACCTCACTCTCTGCAGCTGTGCAGAGGAGAATATAGGATGTGTTGTGACCCTTTTCCTGGGGTGACATTAACTGCCAGAGCCCAACTCAGGGAGCTAGAGTTTGAACATGCAGTTTGTGGGTGGGTTCTTAGGAGTGTGTGGAACCACAAAGCAGCTTCAGAGCCAGAAAATCTCAGCCTGCAGGGCTCTGACCTCACAGAGCTGCATAGGTGGGTCCCCTTCAGTTAATTTTCCACACTCTATCACATAAGATTAAGGAAGGATTACTTTCAGTGGTTGGAAACCAGCAGGAGGGAGGGGGAAATCTCTCAGGTGAGAGTCCGGCAACCTCCCCACCCTGTTCTATGAGGGACCACCTGTGATCTCAAGGGCACAGCCACTCTAATGAAGATCAGCCTGTGCTCCCTGGGTGGGCAGCTTACATGAGGAGGCTGTTCTGGGGTCTTCCCTCCCTGGGTTTTTTTTTTTTTTTTAATTGCAGCTATGGATGGGGTTCCCTTTACGCTGCACCCACGATTTGAGGGCAAGAGCTGCGGGCCCTTGGTGAGTGAGGGAGTGTCCCCGGGATCTGGGTGTTCTAATCAGTCGCTGTTCAGGGGGCTGTGACATTCCTGCTTTCATATGACCCAGCACACCATGATCTGAATGGGAGAGGGATAGAGGCCAAGGAGTCTCTGAGTAGGGATGTGGGAGTAGGGTGAGATTCAGGCTAGTGATGTGGGGCCAGTCCTGAAGATGGGAGAATTAGGGCCAGGCATGCTGGTGCATGCCAGACATCCCAGTACTCAGGCACTGTAGACTGCGGGGCCTGGGGGTTCTGTCATTCAAGGTCATTCTTGCTACATAGTGAGTCTGAGGCCAGCCTGGACTATGTGAGATACCATCTGGGAAGTTGGGGGCATGCTTGAAGAGATGGACCAGCAGATAAAGGCAGTTCACCAAGCCGCAGTTAGTTTCAGTCCCTGGGCCCCACAGAGCAGGAGAGACCAATTCTTGGGAGTTAACCTTTGACCTCATAGACCGTGATGCGTGAGCGTGCACTGTGATTGAGCGCACGCCGCTGCGCCATGGTTCAGTGAAACTCAGGCCTCACACTCTGTCCGCTAGAACCTGTCTGCCTTCGGGGACCTGACGATTAAGTCACTGGCAGACATTGAGAAGGAGGTAGGTGCAGGGGTGCATGAACTGCTGGGGCCCCACCCTGTGTCCTCTGGCCCCCTGACCTTTGGCCTCCTCCGGTACCCTGACTCCCCAGGGCTGGAAAGCTGTCTTTGGTCTGTCCCTATGCCTTAGTCACTCCGATGCCTGCCCAGCCACTCTTAAGCCCCCTCTCTCCACTCCCCAGTATAACTACGGCTTTGTGGTGGAGAAGACTGCAGCTGCGCGCCTGCCCCCCAGCGTCTCATAGTCCCCGCTCAGGTGCCACCTGCTGGCCCCCGCCTCAGAGATTGCTGATTGACACCCAGCCTCTCGGCCTGCCTGCTTGAAGATAGGGTCTCCTGCCTGATGGCGTAGGGGCGGCCTGGACAGGGCAGGGCTGTGCCTTCCCTTCTCCTGTCAGGTCTCTGTCTAGAGGCTGTGCACGCACCAGCACTAAACCCTGCCTGCTACACACTGTGTGGTGTCTTTTGTTTTCTTTGAAGATTTATTTTTGAATTATATGTGTGAGTGTGTGTGCATCTGTCTGTCTGTCTGTCAGTCAGGGTGAATGCTGGTGCTCTTGGAGACCAGAAGAAAGTATTGGAATCCCAGGTAATTGTGAGTCCCCCGACATGGGTGCTGGGAACTGAACTCGAGTTCTCTGTAAGGCCTTTATGTTATTTATGACATAGGGTCTCATGTAGCCCATACTGGCCAGAAACCCACCGCATAGCCTAGTGTAAAGCTCTGGTCCTGCAGGTGTGCGCTGCCACACCTGTTTTATGTGGTGCTAGGCATGGAGGCCAAGGATTCGTGCATGCCATGCATGCACTCTGCCAGCCAAGCTGTAGCCTTAGCCTAATTTTGTTTGTGGAAGGGTTGCTGCTGAGTGCCATGAGTGAAGCTGAGAGGACAGTTTACAGGACTTGGTTCCCTCCTGTGGTGTGGCCATCTCTAAGGCAAATCTCCATCCTACAGTGAAGGTCCTTAAGCTGAGAAAGGAAACAATTCAGTCACCTCAGGAAGTCCCTAAAACTGACTAGGCCCTGCCTTCCCCAAGCATGTGCAAGCAGTAATGATTGCTGATAGTTGCGGCCTGTGGGCTGTACAGTGAGCTACAGGTCCTTAGCTTTGTGAGCTATCACCTGTGCTGGGATGGGCTTTTGTCAGTATGGCTGTCTTTGAGTCATTTCTGCTCCTATAACCCCAATAAAACTCAGTGGTTCAGCAGGTTGGTATTGGTACTTTGGTCTGTGGTTGATTTCCTGTCTGGGGTGAGTAGTATTTGTTCACATCTTCCCAGATGGGGTCACACAATACCTTCCACCATGTGAGTCCTAGGGTATCTTAGGGTTTCTGTTGCTGAGAAGAGACAACCGTGATCAAGATGAATTTTTTATAGAGAGTTGTGAGCCACCATGTGGTTGCTGGGAATTGAACTCAGGACCTCTTAACCACTGAGCCATCTCTCCAGCCCCCAAGGTAACTCTTATTAAAGAAAAGTTAATTGGGGCTGGGTTACAGTTTCAGAGGTTTGTCATGGCAGGAAGTATGACAGCATATAGGCAGACATGGTGCTGGGGGAGCCAAGTATTTTATATCTTGATCCTCAGGTAGCAGAATGAGACTATGTGTCACACTGGGCTTAGCTTGAGCATCTATAAGACCTCAAAGCCCACCCCCACAGTGACACTGTTAGGCCCAACATGAGCCTAATTTCCAGAAGGGATGAAGAGAACTCAGGAGACCGGGTCTCATCAATGCAAAATCGCAAGAGGTTTATTTTAACCATTGCGCAATGGGGTCACCCTGCTGGTCAGCAAAGAGTGGCACTGGGAGACAAAGGCCTTGGGTTTTTAAAAGACAAGGGTGGGAAATTTTAGGGGTTGCAGTCCTTGGCAATTCAGGATTGGATGAGGAAGCTATAAAGTAAGATAATTGGTTAGTCTTAGGTGCTCAAGCTTGACCAGTCCTGCCAAGTGTGTATGTGGCTGCAATTAAAGGTGAGGGTGGGGGTGATTAGCTCATCCTTGAAGATCGGGGCTGTGGGCTTTTGGCTGGAGGTCAGGGGCTACTCAGAAGAAGGACTGAGGCCATCTGGGTTGGTTGCTAAGAAACACTATCTCGAAGACAAGGATCTGGTCATTCTTTTTGCTGAGTGAAGGTCATTGCTTACTCGATTTTTTATCTCTGTCCTCACAGATGGCCAGGATCACATTCCTTTGTTCTCTGGAAAGGTACTAAGAGGCTTTAGCTTAACCTAGGCCTAAAACTCAAAAAACTATAGGCTTTAGAAGACATACAGGTTACAAAGTTAGTCTGATCCTTTCATTTCCCCCTTCTCCCTGTAACTGCTTCAATCATAAAGCAGCTGTAGAGTGAGAATTTTATCTCAAGAAATTTTTTTCCTTTTGACTCAACATTTTAGCCTGTAGAATGGGACAATGGGCCGAAGATCCGTCTTTTGGAATTTCTTCAACACTGATGACTGGACTATTCATATCTCAGTTTGAAAGAGGCTGAAATGCTGGTCAAAAGTTGGGGAGAGTACATGGGTAGTTACCTTAGTCTGTAATTATCTGGGTTTTTATTTCCATTTTATGCCTAGTCATATTTACTCTTTGGTAATGTTGTCTTAGCGTAAGCACTTGCACTGCACTAGTCCTTTTCCTAGTAAACACAACCAGACAATTTATAATGTAGGGTTCAAACATTAAAAAAACAAGCAAAGTAGATAAGGGTCCCATTCCTTGAGTGGCCAGGGGGGGTTGTTTTTAACTGAATTTTAAGGATTCCTCCCGGATCTTTAGAGCTCCTGCCCAAGATACTAGAACCTCTTATTTTAATGCCAAAATTAAGGCCTTTTGTCCAGTCATAAGTTTTTTCTAATTTGGTAAAAATTACTAGGAGCCAGTCAAAGGCTGGGCAATGAGGCAGTCCTTAACAGTCTCTGGTTAGTTGATCCAATTGAAGAGACAGGGAGCAGTCATGTCAGCTTCCAAAAAGTCCAGATTTCAGCTTGTAGTCCATAGCTGATCCAAAAATAGTCAACCAGGTGAAAATCTGCTGAGACAAATTCAGACTAGAGACAGAAGTTAAGATTTGTCTATTAAATGGGAAAAGTGAGGAATCCCAACACCAGAGAAAAACTCATCTGGGATCTGTTTGAGCTATGCCAGATCCAAGTCTCATGACCTTTTGATTTTTGTGTGAATTTTTTAGTACACAAAAGGAAATATATATTTAAAAAAACTCAGAAAAGTAACATATCAACAAATCTAATACAATAACATTTTGAGAGTAATGGGCACCAGTCAGCTGTTTGTTTTGTATCTTTTATAAACAACTTAAGTGTGTCCACAGTCTGAAACTCTAACACTTTAACTGTGGGCCCTGTTGGTAATGAGCCATCAAAGGAGCTGAGCCACCTTTTGTACACTTAGACAGGGATACATTAATGGCTTTACTGTTAAACCCTGGATGCTTGGATTTTTCTTAACAAAGCAACTAGAAGGAATAGGTTTCCAATATTCCTGTGTCAAAGTCTACCCCAAAAATGGCAGATATTAAGAATGCCATAGTAAAAGCTATGACTTTTGGGTCAGATATATACATTAAACAGATGTTTTTAGCATGATGAGAAGCACCTTTAAATCTATTTCCAGAAAACAACCAAAGGAAATTAAAATCTCAAGCTTGTGACTGAATAGTAAGCAGTCAGTGCTCCATCAACTTATCAGAACTCTATTGATCAATGCCAAGATTCTGAACTTGTGAAATTTTGTAACATAAGCCCAAGAGTAGCAAAGGGAAGAAATATAAAATATCTCCCATTTTTAATATGTCTTAAATTAATTTTATATCATTATAAATTATATTTATATATTTTAAAACATTTAGACTCTCTAATCTTTCTTGCATTTATCAACCCCGAAACATTTTTTTCAGACCAAACAACAATTTTTAGATTCTCATAACCTGAATTCCTATATCCTCAGATTCTATATAAACTCTATATCTTTTTATTTAACTATTTACCATAAGACATTGGCAACTGATGTAAAGCCTGTGAGCAGGGCAAACCTGTTTCCCTTTCGACATAAAAGATATTGTACCTGGTAGTTCTAACTAACTAGTGAACTGTCCAATGAGCTGATAGTGGACCTAATTGTCTGCTATTTAGCTGCCAAGCTACCATTAACTTAGCCTAGCCTTCCAGCCTAGCCGTCGATGTGATCAGAGACCTGAGAAGGATAAATTATGAGCTAAGTAAATGCACCAATCTATGTACCAATCAAAATGACAGAGATGACTAGTTAGTCCATCACCTAGGCAGTGTCCCTGGCTCCTGTGGTCTCCTGGCTTCCTGAGCAGAGGCAGTCCAGCCATCAGGCATAGAGGATGAGAAACTGCTGCTGCGGAAAGAAGGAACATGAGAGATTAACCTTACCTTGCTCTCTGACAGTGTGAAACAATGACTCTCCAGGTGTCCACAGCTTCATCCACAGTTAGGCTGGGCTCTAGCAGTGGGCCAGTTGAGGTAGTTTTGCCCAGTAGTTAGCATACCACAATCCAGAGTCGCAATCATCTATCGTTGCACCCAAAACTCGGAGATCTTGGGGAGCTACTGCCAGGATTTTGGGACTCTCTTTTATAATAAGCTTACATATGTTAAAATGCCATATTCATCAGATCTCTGATAAGCTTGAGGGCCAGCATATCTAAGTTACTCTTTGTCTATTTTTATCATCTGTTCTACACTGTATCCTATAAAACAGAATGTTATACTCTAATTCTGGCATATTCCTTAGATGCATGTTTTAGAACCAAATTTCAAGTAGATCTATATAGGCAAACTTCATGGTTACCCATCCTAAATTTAACCTTAAAAAAACAACCTAAACAGAGGGACTAAGTAAAGCTCAATCTTTAGTGTAACTTTAAATCTGTTCTTTCTGGACTAAAATCAAAGCAAGACCTTTAATCAGGCACAATTTATAAAAGGGCTAGCAAATCTTATGAATTTTATCATCTTTTTTTTAACCTAACAGCAAATAAGTTTTAGAACCAATTGCCTAACAGAACAATACAGAATAAACAGAACAGTACAGAATATTTTTAAACTGTATGAATTATTCTGTCCATATCAAACCCGTCAGCCAGATTTTTTTTCTTTTAAAGAACACAAGAAATCATTCTGCAATGAAGAATCAGCAGCCCTTTAAATGAAGTATAACATATTTTACAGTTCTTTCTCAAATCATATTTGCAGGTATAAAGAACCAAAGCAAACATCATTCATATATTCATATGCCCCCTGGCCCACCATTTACCTTCAGGTTCATAGCTTTGTTCTTCTGGCTTAACCAGACATTCTTACTTTAGACAAGCTATTTTTTTTTAATATCCCTTTTCTTTATGATTATTCCAGTCTTTTTGCCTTCTCTCTTGCCTTCTAGACCACATAAAAACTTTCATCAAAATCCTTCTTATGGGTTCTTTCAGTAGTCTAGAATATACTAAATTATTTTATAGGTCTTTACCATCCTGACACAATACACTGTAATAACTCCAGTTTTCTTAATTGGCTCAAACAGCATGACTTGGTTTCACTTTGAAAAAGTAATAAAATAAATACTAAGGTCTTTTGACCTCCCCCAAAGGGTTAAGAAACTGTTTTAAGTTTTTTGTTAGACTGCCCAAGGTTTATTGCTTTAAAAACCTGATAAACTTTAAATGTTTTATCACTTTAAGTATCTAAACATTTTTTAACTCAATTTTATAATATAAAACAAAGTTTCATCTTTAGGAGTGAATTTACAGGGCATAACCATGATTTCAAAAGTCAGAACTAGATTTAAAACTCAGAATTTATCAGTGCACACAATTTAATCTTTAAAACCAGAAGTGGCTCCATCCTTCTGGCCCTGACACTGACTGAAGCTCCTGGGAGGAGGGATGGAAGGAGGAAGGGGGCGGGTGAATTGCCACTCAGCAGCTGGCAGAAGCAGGTCTTAGGCTGATTCTGAGGGTGTGAGCAGTCCGCCCACCCAGTCCTCCTAGCACCATCCCAGCTTAGCCCACGGTAGGGGAGGGAAGGAGACATGTACTGTCCCCTCCACGTAGAAGACATATAGGTTACAAAGTTAGTCTGATCCTTTCAACACAGTTCCCCCAGCAAGACTACCCCTACTGCAATAAGGCCATTTCTGCTGGCCATTTCCAAGCATTCAAACACACGAGTCTATAACCATTCAAACCACTACTTGGGTTTTGAACTCAGGTTTACCTGTCAGGTTTACCTGCAAGCCCTTTTCCCTGCTGAGCCACGTCACCAGTCCTCTTTAGAGACATCTTAATTCACACTTAAGCCACAGAAGCAGTAATCCTCACTTCGTAATAAGAGCCCTGCAGACTGATGGTGCTTGAAAATTGAGCTGTACACTTAACAACCTGGCAAAGTGGGCTGTGTGCCCAGCAGGAACCCTGCTGTCTCCACAAAGGCTCCACGAGGGCTTGGGGCGGTGCACACTTACACGTCATCTAGATCTTTATTTGAATGACATCTTTTGCTTTGTTTTTTCAAGACAGGGTTTCTCTTGTGTAGCTCTGGCTGTCCTGGAACTCACTCTGTAGACCAGGCTGGCCTCAAACTCAGAGATCCCCCTGCCTGTGCCTCCCGAGTGCTGGTGTTGACGGTGTGCGCCACCTAGCATGTGCATACCAGGCCCTCTGGGCCGAAGAGAGCCGCGGATCCTCTGGAGCTGTGTTGCAGGTGCTGTGCACCCCTGGCACAGAAGTTCTGGACAGCATGGAGCGCTCCAGCCCCTCATCTGCTCTCGGTCCTTCCCTCTGCCTTTGTTTCTTGCTTGCTGCATCTCTGTCTCACCCTGTTCATTTTCAGGCTTGTGAGATGCACCCCTGAGGCAGCCAGGCTGTGGAGTGTGGTGAGGGGAAGCCAGGCCTCTGGTGAGGGGAAAGCCAGTCCTGTGGCATTCTTGCAGGGCTGATATTTTCTGATTTGGTAGCCAGACCTGCCACTTGAGGCACCTTTGGAAATAAATTCTCAGGTTGTGTCTGAGGGTTTATTTCTGATAGTGGAGAGGCACTCACAGAGTCTTTGTGATTAGAGCTGCAGAGTGCAGTATGGAGGGCCAGCAAAAGCAAACTGCTGGGGCCTGCAGCTCAGTGGGCAGAGTAGGAAGATAGACACACTTGGAAGATGGAGGCAGGAAGATCAGGAGTGCAATACCATTCCTGACCACAGGTTAGCCTGTGCTCCTGAGAGCCTGCCCCAAAACTAAAAAGAACAGACCTTTAATCCCAGTGCTTGAGAGGCAGAAGCCGATGGATCTGTGAGTTCAAGGGTAACCTGGTCTACATAATCCCAGGATAGCCAGGGCTTTGTAGATAGACCATGTCTGAAAAAAACAACAAGCAAATAAACTTAAAAATAAAGAAAGGTCTGGGCAAGGTGGTACACACCTTTAACTCCAGCACACGGGAGGCAGAGGCAAGCTTCTGAGTTTGAGGCCAGCCTGGTCTACAGAGTGAGTCCAGGACAGCTAGGGCACAGAAAATCCCTGTCTTGCAAAACCAAGATAGATAGATAAATAGATAGATAGATACATACATACATACATACATAGATTTTTTTTAAAGCCCAAATGGGGAAGCCAGCCCTTCATAGACCCCACAGAGGATGTGACAGCACCAGCCTGGCCCAGGTCATTAGGGAGGTCCCACGTCTTGGCAAGCCTGCCAGAAAATTTTGAGGTACAAGTACATTTTCCTTCAGCACTCACGGTTCTAGCTAAATGCAGATGGAGGGTGGATGCTGTGGGAGACTGCTCAAGACTCAGGCAGGAAGATCACCCCAAAGTCCAGCAAGGGCACAGAGGACCCCAAGACAGCCACAACGCTGGAAATACCAGCCCCAGAGCTTCATAGCCAGAGTAGCCTCCACTTCCACGCTCCATGGACCCTAGTCCTGAAACCATGCCATGTGGGATTAGGGCAGTGGGTGGGAAGAAGAGGGGAATCGGCTCTCAGACAAGTGTCCATCAACTGCCCACCCTGTTCTCCTAAGAGGCGTGGGAGGACAGAACTGTGTAAGCAGAGCCAGCCAGCCAGGTCAGGAAGCTCTCAGAGGACTCTAGCCACTCTTTGAGTCTGTCAACAAGGACACTAAGAGGGACGCCACTAAGCCACCCTGGGCACAGGGATCGCCATCAAGCTGCCCCAGCCTGGGCTGCCAGGTCCCGCACAGGACGGTGTGGTGCCAGCCACCAAATCTGATCTCACTTGGAATTAAAAGCCATTTGTTCTCCCTGGTCACCTTCCAAGCTGCCCCAAAACCACCTGGGATCACTTTTCAGAGCACATGCAGGTAATCCAAGGCCTCTGGTGACCTGTGCTCACCCTTCAGTCAGTCAGGCAGTCCTGAATCACACAAGCCTCAGATCCCGGCATCTGCAAGAGGGCCCTGAGCTTCCGCAGGGCCTGCCTGGGACACAGCTGTGTGTAGCTACAGCCAGGGGTCTCCCGTTCACCTCCATAGAGTTCATGGCCTGGGTCCAACCCCATCAGGTCTGCAGAGAAACCTGCAGCCCCATGCTCTCCCATGGGTGCCCTGAGCAGCAGTTTAACCTCCCTGTGCTTCTTTCTGCATCTTAGAAAAAGATGTCCTCTGTCCCCGCCTCATGTAGCCAGAGGCACTACATTGTTTTTCTTTTTTTTTTTTTTTTTTTTTTTTTTTTTACTACATTGTTTTTCATCTGTTTGAGTCTCACGTAGCCCAGGCTAGCCTCGGACTCACAAGGTCACAAGTGTGACCTTGAATTCCTTCTTGGTTCTGCATCCTCCTAAGGCCTGCATGATAGCCCAGTCTCTGAACACAGCAATCCTGCTCAAGTGCTGTAGTCACAAATCTGCACAGCCATGCTTGGCCATCATGTGCGATAGACAGGGTCTTACTGTGTAGCCCAGGCTGGGCTACAGCTTGCACCCGTCCTCCTGCCTCAACCACCTAGCTACAGACTCTCCCTGATGGCTGTTTGAGGTGAGCCTATTTGGAAAGTGGCACTCCCAGGTGCAATGAGCATCAGCACCCAGAGGCTGAGGCAGGAGGATCAGAATCTGAAGTTATCCTCAGCTACATGGCCTGTTCCAGTCCAGCCTGGGCTACATAAGACCTTGTCAAACAGACAAAAACAAAAAAAAAAAAACAGGAAAGAGAGAGAACTGAAAGACTAAAACAAACAAAAATTAAAATCTTTAGAAGCCAGGTTCCAGGTTTGGGAGTATAGCTGCCTGGTAATGTGCTTGCCTAGCAGCTATAAGGTGCTGAGTTCAATTCTCACCACTGCAGCAAGTAAACAAACAAATGAATAAAAGTAAATAAATAAAAGTAAACATGCCTTTGATCCCAGCACTCAGGAGGAAGAGGCAGGTGGATTGCTGTGAGTTCAAGGCCAGCTTGGTCTACAAAGTCCAGGGCAGTCTTGACTACACAAAGAAACCCTGTCTGGAGAAACAAAAACAAACAAAAGGCAGGTTCTAGTCTTGACTGCTGGCCGAGGCAGCCCCATCCTGCCACACCCGGATCAACTGCCTCTTGCCAGACAGCTTGGCTTTAACCTGGCCTGGATAGGACCAAGATGGAGGCAGAGATAGACCATCTTGCCTCGCCAGCTCTGCTCTCAGGGGGTTGGGTTTTGGCTTTGGCCTTCAGGCAGCTGCCCTAGTCCTGACAGAACTTTGGAGAATTCCAGGGCTCAATTCAAAGTCTCAGGAGGAGAAGAGAGGACTAGAGGAAAGAGACAGGTGAGGGCCTAGGGTGCAACAATTATATGTGGACACTACAGCTTCCAGGGCAAGATTTTTGTTATTCTATTTTATTTTATTTTATTTGGACAGGTGGTGTTGCGAGGGCAGAGGGGACAGACCAGTGGGATTGGGCTGCATATGATGTGAAATTCACAAAGAATCAGTAAAAAGTTTGGGTTTTTTAAAGAGAATTTTAGAAACTTGGTAAAAAAAAAAATCCTGGGGCACGGGCTGGGGAGGCAGCAGTATCAGGAGAGTGGTGGAGACCTCTGTGGACCACTGGGCCTCAGTCATTCCCTAAGTGGCAATCTCCTGTTCCACACACATGCCAGTGACAGCAGGTTAGCATTATTTGTCAGCACAGATCTGGTGCCACCTTGGAGACCGCCTCTGGGTATGTCAGGGTGGTGGTTCCCAGGTGGGTGAGGTGGGACAGCCCATTTTAAATTCAGGCAGCAGCAGCCTTGAGCTGAACCAACCTGAGGCAGTGTTTATCACTCTGCTTCTTGTCCAGGATGTCATGTGCCTCACACCCTTTCCCTGCCATGATGGTCCCCAACTCTTGAACTGTGAGCCAGAGTAAGCCCTGGCTCTCTTAAGTGGCTTTTGTCAGAGTGTTTTATCTCAGGGACAGAAAAAGTAGCTAAGAGAAAAAGTTGATCCCAGGAGAGGGTTCAGCGTAGACCTGTGAATCAGACTCTTTCTTCCTTAAGTGGCTTTTGTCAAACACTTTGTCACAGCAATAATACAACTAAGATACATAGCTAACATGTGTTGAGGGCCTACTGTGTGCCGCTTCCTGGGCCTCTTCTTCTGTGTCCATGTTACAGATAAGGAAACTGAGACACAGCAATGAGACCCACTCAGCCTTGAGCACAGTTCATCCCTGAATGCTCCTGGCCTTGGGCTGCTCTGAGGTCCACACATGTGAGTTTCAGATGTCCACAGCTCCTCACGGAGTGCTGGGGAGTTGAAGTCTAAGACTTGAGCCTTCTTCCAGGAACATGGGAGTGGAGACACAGGACCTGGGTGCAAATCCAGGCTCTGAAGCTCAGAAATGGGACCCTTGGTGAGTCACAGCCCCTATTGGGGTCTCTGTTTCCTCATCTGTAGAATAGATAGAAAACCACTGAGAGTCAGAACATAAGCCAAACACTTTGCTCCCATCTATAAAAGAACTTCATTTGTTTACATTCCTCAGCCTTCCTATATCAAGGTTATGTGTCAATGCCTGGCCAATGAGATGCAGGCAAAAGGTCTCAAGGTCTCAAAGGCCTCTAGAAATCTTGGTCTTTGCTTATCCCTCTTAGCAAGGAAGTATAGGCTGGAGGCAACTTTGACATAAATAAAGGATTTCATAAACTCAGAGGAAATCCCATGGCTACAGAAGTTGAGCTGGACCTATCTCTGTGATGTCAACTTCTGGTCATGTTGCCCCTGATTCCAGCTCACACCAATGTGGCTTGCTTTCTTATGTTCACTGGCCCGTGGCCCAGCATGCTATGCATCTCATGAGCAACCACGGCCCAGTGGCCCATGCCAGCCAAAAGTGTCTGGCAGGTAAGAAGCAGGCAGACTGCTCTCACCAAGACTCTGGATGGGATACTAGTGACCATGGGCCCAAGGGGGTCCCCAGGCTCCCCGGAGGGAGCATAGAAGGTCTGGCAATGGGTACCCTGCTGGGGCTGAGCCCTGCGGCCAGCTTTGGAGTCTTCTGAAGGCCGTGCCGGCTCATCTTCGAAGGCTCGTGGAGACAGTTCATGGAGACCCCGACGAGTGGCCCGAACAGCTAGGAGCAGGGTGTGGGTGATTATTGCCACCAGGACCAGGGCACCTGAGCCCAGGATGGATGTAGCTGCTGCGCCCGCCTCGATCTCGAAGAGCAGCAGAGTGTAAATGGCCAATGCTGAGGAAGGAATGGCTCACTTACTCACTCAACAAACATTTGCTCTCCAAGCCCTTCGGAGGAGATCCCTTCAAACACAGAATAACAGCAGAGAAGCCAAGACTTGAACTCATGGATGATGTCATTAGCATGCCCATGTCCAAATGAGGAAACCAGCCAGGTGTAATGGCTCACACCTTCAATCCCAGCACTGGGAGGCAAAGGTGGAAAGATCTCTGTGAGTTTGAGGCCAGCCTGGTCTGCATAGGGAGTTTTAGGACCACCTGGGCTAAATGGAAGAACTCACTTCAAAAATGAGCAGCGAAAGTGACTGGACACATGGCTCAGCAGTTAAGAGGACGGGGGTTCAGGTCCCAGCACTGCACGGTGGCTCGGCAGCACCTACGCCCTGCTGCAGACAGGCACAGTGAACACCACACACACTGTGGGCCCCCAAAGCTGCACAGTGAGGGAGCAATGACGATGGGATTTTCCTTTTGTGCATTTTGACTGCATTCGTCCACTGTGTGTGCAGCATGCCACAGTGTGCACTGGGGTGCCGCTTGAGGGTCAGGCTCTCTGCAAGTGTGGGCCAGCCCCAGAGCTCCTGTGTAAGTGCAGGAGTGTGTAGATGCCTAAGTGCAGGTGTGAGTGCTGGTATGTGTCCACGTGTACATGCAGATATGCAAGTACAGGTGTCCATGGAGACCAAAAGGTGTCGGAGCTCCTGAACTTCAGGTGATAGCGAGCAGCCTGGCAGGGGTGCTGGGAACTTTGGAGGAGCAGTAAGTACTCCCAACCGCAGAGCCATCTCTCCAGCTCTGGTGAGGCTGCGAGCTGTGGCGGTTGTGAGCCGCAGTGGTCAACACGTGCCCCCCCGTGCCCCCTAGATCACAGAGTTCAACCACAATGTGGGAAAAACAAGAAGCCCCTCCAGGGCCTGGGCTGAACTTGGTAGCTAGAGCACTTGCCTGGCACGCACGAGGGCTGGGTACCGGTCTTTTTTGCCCTCTAACTGGTGAGGTGGTGCCTGTCACCCCAGCACTATGAAGGCAGAAGTGCCAGGAGCTTGGGGTCATCCTTGGCTACAATAGAGGGTTTGAAACCAGCCTGGGCTTCGTAAGACCCTGTGTACAAAACAATTAAAAGCAAAAGCAAAATCCCAACAGGACGGCTCAGGGTTCCAGCTCTCTGGCTGCTCTCACAGAGGGCTGGGAGTGGCTCCAGCACCTGGCAGGTCAGAACTGCCTGCAGCTCCAGCTGGGCTCTGGGTCTATGGCTCTGACTTCTGTGGGCACTTACACATGTGGACATCCCCACCTGTCCTCCCAAGGTTTGGGAAGTCAAAGCAAGACCAGGAGTTAAAGGCCAGCCTTGGCTACAAGGCGATGCCCAGGCCAGCATGGCTTACATGATAGACAGTAGTGACGCATGATGAGTATTAAGGGGCTCTCATCACTCTTGTATTGATAGGAAAACTAAGGCACAGGGAATATCCAAGAGAAAGTGTTGGAGCAAGTGCCTGAACCAGGCTCAGTGGTCCAGAGACCCGTGTGCACCCTGCACCAGGTCCCCGCCCTGCACACACCTGCTGAGTAGATGGCGACCCCACAGCAGAACAGGCCGAGGGCCGAGTGCCTGAGGAGGCGGCAGTCACACAGAAACCAGTCCGACCTGAGAAGGGTGACAAGAAGGGGACTCCAGTGACACCAGAGACCAAAGTCTAGAGACCGCCGACCCTCAGCCCTCCACCTGCCTACCTAATCAGCCATCCACCCACCCTCCTCCTCACCGCCAGGCACCGACATTTACCCCGCCATCTATCCACGCCCCCCCTCCCCCCGCTTGAATCGACTCACTTCCGCCCATCAGGGCTCCCTCCACAGTGGAGAGAGAGTCAAAGTTGGGACAGGGGGGTTGTTAACTCAAGGAGTCCACCTTCACGAATCTCTGAGCCAGGTGTCCACACCTGCACCCGAGCTCGGCGGCCTGAGCTGGCGATCGCTGGCCGGGCTGCGGCTTCCTGCGGATCCACACCCAGCAGTCCTGCCCTTCCTGAACCCCGCTTCGGAGCGAGGAGTCTCGAGGTTGGGGTGCAGCTCCGACCATTGGCATATGCCTCCCAAGCACTAGCACGGGAAGGAGCGTGCGCTGAGGCCCCGTTAGTATCACCCCGAGGAACCTGCGCGCTCTTGGAGCCCAGTTTCCCCCTCTGCAAGCAGAGCGGCGGCGTCCTACCTGCCAGACCCTGGCCCGCGTGCCAGCTCGGCGCCCAGGTGTCCGCAGAGCGCCACCAGCAGCAAGCAGCTAAGCCCGAGGACCTGCGCCAGCGCGGCCAGCGCCGTCGTCAGCGGCAGTAACGTCCCTGCGGCAGCTTCGGGTAGTCCGGCGTCAGGGTCTAGCTCGGGGTGTAGCCCGTCGGTGCGCGTTCCCCGCAGCTCGGCGCGCCCCGCCTGGAGCTGGAACAGCAGCTGTGCAGCCAGCAAGACCAGCACCGCGGCCGGGATGCCCAGTAGGGTCATCGCGATCAGCACTCGGCCTCCGTAGGAGCGGTCCATGGCGCGGGGCTGGGGTCCTAGGATGAGAATGGGAACGCCGCGGGGGCCTCTGGACTGACTCCTCGCGCTGGTTCCAGCTAGGGCGTGGAAGCTGGGCAAAAATGTGGGAGAAAGTGTTTCCGACTGCCCCGGGAAGGGGGGAGGCGGAAGGGAGAATGGAGGGCTTGGGGGTGGGGTCTGGAAGGGGCCGCTAGGTGAGCCGGAGAGGCGGGAGCTCCGCCTGCCGCAGGGGGCGGGGCCTAGCTCCTCAAGTTGCTGAAGATGAGGGGAAAAAAATACTCAGATAAAAGAGGGGCGTGGCTAAGGCGGGACCGAGAAGGCTGTTCTAGGAGCAGGTCTTTCAAGGCCCGGGCTAAGGGGCATCCCGAGGGCGGGGCCTGCTCCTGCACCTCTTGAGGGGTAGGGCCCTGGGGGAAAGGAACCAGAAAAGGAGTCTAGCAAGGTAGAGTTCTGACAGATGCTGGGGGGTGAGGTAGCATTTGGTTGGGGGTCCTCTCAGGGGCAGGGCCTGAAAACGGAGAGAATGGAGGTGTGGGGCCTGGGGCGGGGCTGTTTGGATTGACTCCCCTTAATGGGCGGGTTGGAGAGTGTGGGTGGCGATTGCAGAGTTGGGAAGGTGGGCAGAGCTCAGGAGGCAGAGGCCGGCCATCTGAGAGTTCGGGGACCAGCCTGTCTACACAGCTAGTTCTAGGCCGCTTAGGGATACACACAGAGAGGTTCTGTCTCAAAACAAAACAAAAAACAGAAAAACGAAAAGAAAAAGAAAAGGAAAGTGCAAGGAGAACCGAAATGGCCAGAGATGAAGCTCTGAGTGCCGGGACCCGGAAGCTGGACCTCTGGGTCCCTCGGTGCAAGCGCAGACAGGCGTTTCCCCATCTCCTGGGTTCCTCTTTACTAAAATAATAATAATAATAATAATAATAATAATAATAACAACAACAACAACAACATTTATTCATGTGTAATGAGTGTGTCATCTACCTGTACGTCTGTGCATGATGTGCGTGCAGGTACCTGGTAGAGACTAGAAGGGGCATCAGGACACCTGCAACTGGAGTTACAGATGGTTGCGATGGACCATGTGAGTGCTGGGAGCTGAACCTCCACCCCGCAAGAGCGGCCAGTGCTCCTAGAGAGATGGCTCCGTGGTTAAGAGTTTTGTTCCGCCAGTCTACAAAGCGAGTCCAGAACAGCCAAGGCTACACAGAGAAACCCTATCTCGGAAAACAAACAAACAAAAGAGTTCTGTTCCCAGCATCTCAATCAGGCAATCCACTACTGCTCTTCCCACCCCAGAGCCAGGAGAGCCTAAGCCCTCCTCAGGCCTCACCTTCACTCACATATGCTGCCCCATACACATAAGAGTTAGTCAGGCAGTGCTGACACACCCCTTTAATTCTAACACTAGGCAGGCAGAGGCAGGCGGATCTCTGAGTTTGAGGCCAGCCTGGTCTACAGAGCGAGTTCCAGGGCAGCCAAGACTAAAACAAACAAACAAACAAACAAACAAACAAAAAACCCACTTCTCCATAAATAAATGAAAATAAAAATTAATCTTGTTTAGTTTTGGATTTTGAGACAGAGTTGGACCTGGCTATGTAAACCAGGCTGGCCTTGAACTCACAGAGATCCACCTGCCTCTGCCTCTCAGGTGCCAGGGTTAAAGGTGTGCACTGCCACTGCCAGACTAAAATTAATCTTAATAAACAAATGTAAATAGTGCTTGTGTGGTAGACAATGCAAACCAGGCTCTGGCTCCTGGCTGTGTGTGTCAGCTGTTTGCTGCAGGTGAGCCAAAGTGCATCATCAGCTGCTGACCTCTCTGTCTTCTCTCCTGGACCTTAGTTGGTCTCTCATTGCTGTCCTTACAGATGCTGGAGATTTGCACTCAGGTTCTCAGGCTTTCAGAGTCCTGTCCTCAGATCCCTTCCACAGGTTTTTGTTTGTTTTATTGGTTGCTCTTTCTTTTTAAGATTTATTTTACTTTACATGCATTGGTGTTTTGCCTGCATGGATGTCTATGTGAGGGATCCCCTGGAACTGGAGTTACAGAAGGCCATGTGGTTTCTGGGGATTGAACCCAGGTCCTCTAGGAAGAGCAGCCAGGGCTCCTAACCACTGAGCCATTTCTCCAGCCTATTGGTTGTTTTTTCCAGACACGGCTTCTCTGTGTAGCCCTGGCTGTCTTAGAACTCACTCTGTAGGCCAGGCTGGCCTCGAACTCACTGTGTAGAGCAGGCCAGGCCTGCACTCCCACATCTGTATGCCTCTGCCTTCTGGGCTCCATCAGGGGACAGGCCTTGTAATAATTCACAGCACTCAGGAGGCAGAGGCAGGTGGATCTCTGTGAGTTGGAGCCCAACCTGCTCTACAGAGTGAACCCAGGACAGCTGGGACTGTGTAGAGAGACCTTGAACAAAACAGTTCACTTTCTTTCATTTGTGCTGCCCATGGTGCTGCCACAAGAACCTGGAGGCTTCCACCACTCTGCTTCCTGCGCCTCTTCCATGTCCTGTCAGAACACTTTTCAAATGGTTACTTTTAACAAACGAGATGAAACTTGCAAATAAGTATCCATTTTTTAAACTCAGTGTTTTGTTTTTGTTTTTTTGTTTTTAGCACATTTACAATGTAACCCCACCTCTGTCTAGTTTGGGAACATTATCTCTTTAAGACAGCCACATCCCATCACTCCCCACTGCCCTCATGCTCCTGGAAGCTTGATCAGCTACATTTGTAGTTTTCCCTGTTGGGGGCATTTCCTGCCAGGCAAAGCCTTTTGTGTCTGGCTGCTGTCACTCAATGCCTCGTGTGTAGCCTGTGTCAGTGCTCTGTTCCTGTTCCTGGCTGAGCAATATTCCACTCCGGACACACTACAGGAGTTGGTCCACTGGTCTGTGGGTGGACATTTGGGATGCATCTACCTTTTGGCAAGTGTCAGTTACAATGCTCCAAATCAGCTATGCATGCATGGGAGCCTCCAGCACTGAAGCTCTAGGAGTCATTTGCTGACTCCTATGTTAACGCCCGTGGCAACTGCAAAATTTTTACATTCCCATAAGCGGTGAATGAAGATTTCTTTTTTAATTAATATTTTAAAATTCCAGCCAGGTGAGGATGACACATTGCTTTAATCCCAGCACCTAGGAGGTAGAGGCAGGCAGATCATTAAGTCTGAGGCCAGCCTGATATGCACAGTGAGTTCAAGGACAGCCAGAGAAGCCCTCTGTTGAAAAAGCAAAATTACAGCAATAATAATTTTTAAATTCCCCATTTATTACTCTTTGTGGAGGATGAGGGTACAGTGAGAATTTTGGTTTCTTTTAAAAACACAGTGTGGGCTGTGGGGCTGCTTCACAGCAGCTGGCTATGATTTGCCTCCTGCTCTAGCAGAAGCATGATTTTACCAGCTGCAGATAGTTTCTGCCGAGTGTGTGACATTTGGAATTCTGGGAACTTTTCAGAGAATGCTAAGGTCCCGATGGGTGGGGTGGGTTGTTGGTGGTCGAATTTTAAGTAGTTGTGCACAAAGAAGAAATAACAAGAAGAAATTAGTATCCTGATGGCAAAGATCAACTTGGCCCAAGGAACTCGATGTCCCTGATCAGCAGGAAGTAGTCTAACGATAACATCGACCCCTTTCTGACCCCTGACTTTATTCAGGAAGCTCTTTCCTTTACTCTCTACCCCTTTTACTCTCTTATGTAGTGTTAAAGGGTTGGAAGGGAAGAAGAACAGGGGTAGAGAAGGGTGGAATAGAGAAGAACCCACAAAGTAGCAAAAGGTCAGCTACACATTGGTGGGCGTCAAGGGACAACTTGTGAGAGTAAGTTTTTTACACCACCTGGGTACCTGGGATTGAGTTCAGGTAGCCAGGCTTGGTGGCCAGCAGGCATTCTTAGAATTGAGCCTCAGTTTTCCTCACTACTCCAAGTTGGGAACAGAGGCGGTTACTTTTGGTTCCAACTCTGCTGGTTAGCAGCCTTCTCCCCTCATCTAGTCAGATTCTTGCCCCATAAAGTCAGGCTTGCCAGCTTACTCGCCCGCGCCTCCTGCACTGGGCCGGCAGGGGGCGCCGCAGGCAAAGCGAGAGCATCCGCACTCTCCTTGGCTCTGTCCAGAAGTCTCAGGGCCCAGGAATGGCGCTCCAGACGGAGGTCTCAGGCTGCCTGGAAATGGCCTTCGACTCCGGATCGTTCTGCACACACAGCTCTTTGTTTTGTTTTGTTTTGTTTCTTTTGTGGATTTGCGCACAACTTAAACTATTTTTGTAGGTGGTGGCGGCGCACGCCTTTAATCCCAGCACTCAGGAGGCAGAGGCACTCGGCTCCCAGAGTTTGAGGCCAGCCTGGTCTACAGAGTGAGACGTCCAGGGCTACACAGAGAAACCCCATCTCGAAAAAACAAAACAACACCCCCGTATTTTTGTTAGATATACTTATTTGTGAGTTGGGCCTGTGCGAGCCGCTGTAACCCTGTGGTCCACAACTTGCGGGAGTCGGTTTTCCTTCCACCACGGGGACTGAAACCGGCCTGTCAGGCTTGAGAGCAAGCGCCATCGCACTTTAAGCCGGCTCGCGGGCCTTGCCCCAGACCTAGGACGCCAACTAACGGGCGTGCTTTGTGGTGCAAGCCTGGCACTAGTGCTTTCTGCTTGTTTTATTGTGGACGGGAGATCTGAGGCCAGGGTTCTGTGCGCAGAAAGCTTGCCTAGCGCGCGCTAAATCCTGGCTACCTGCCCAGCACCTGCTCATGGGGATCCACGTTTTTTCGAGGACTAGGGGAGACTGGGGAGAGAAAACTCTTGTTTTTCTTTGGCTGTCAGTTCAGCTATTTGTTGGTTAGGCTGAGGCATGGTGAGTTCAAGGCCAAGCTGGGCTGCTGTCTAGGGAACATAAGGAATTAGAGGAGAAGGCTAATCAGAGACCTGCCCCTTTCCTGGGGGTCACCAGAGCCTCGCCTCTGTATCCAGATTCACCTGGGGAGGGGTCATCACCAGAGCTCCGCCCCTGCACCCGGGTTCCGCTGGGGGTCACCAGAGTCGCAGCCGCTCCGTCCCCGGCCGGCATCCCGGTCCACACGGTACTTGCGACGGCGCAGAGGCTCGGTGATGCTGCGCCTCGCGGGCTCGTCCAGGTCCTCGGGCTGCAGGAAGCTGCGGTCCAGCAGCTCTGCCGCCTCCTGCCAGTTGGCAAAGCAGGCGGGTCCCAGGCGCTGGATCTCGTCCGTCGCGTCGTTGGTCAGCACGTCCCCGCCCGGCTTGAGTACCACGACCGCAGGCAGGCGACGCACTGAGAATCGGTGGCCGAGGTCCCTGCGGGGAGTGCGCGTCAGCCAGCCGTCCCTGGCTGTCACACCCGTCACACCCTCCCTCTCCCGGGACGCCCCCTAACTCCGCCCCCCTGGCTTTCTGTGTCCACCTGCTGTGTGTTGTGTATTGTTTTCCTGCTGTCAATGAGAAAAGGGAGCGATTTCAAACATCGAGGCCAATTGAGGAATGTTCGGGAAACGTGTGGAATGAATGCATACTGTGAAAGGCTCTCAAATTCCCTCAGTCTGAGCAAAGAGGGGGTGATGGTTGAACTAAAATCTTACGGATGGAGGGGGAGGCGGGAGAACTGCAAAGAGAGTTCCTGAGAGTCAGGGTATGTGCAGAGACCCTGGGGAGACCCTGACTGCGGTACAGCTGGCATCTCACGCAGGCCCTTAATGGGCAGGTGTAAAATGTGTGTTCTTTTTCTTTTCCTGCAAATAGCAACCAGTTCTCTTAACTCCCTGGCCAGCCCTCCTCCCAGTTTTCAGGTTAGCCCCTTCAAAGGTTTCTCCCTCAGCAACCCAACAGTCAGCTTCTCCTGGCTCAACCTATCCCAACCATAATCTCTTCTCACTCTGTAGCCCAGTTCGCTCTCAGCTGTCTGTTTTCACTCTGCTCGTTTCTTCTCTTCTCTCCACCTACTCTCTCTTCTTTCTTCCTGCACCATCTTCTCTAACCCTACTCCCTGACTCCACTCCAGTCCTACACAATTTCTCCCAGCCTCTGCTGGCTTTTTCTATCCCCTCTTGTTCCCAGAAATCCAAAAAGCAAGTGACACTGAAGATCATATGGTCTAGCAGTTCTAAGGCTTTCCCAAACGGCCAGTTAACTAGCAACACACATACACAATATAACCCACACACACACACACACACACACACACACACACACAAGATAAGTCACACTACAGGCAGGGGCAGGGATTTCAGTGTTCCGAAGACACCAAGAAGCTGTTTTCAGCTCCTGGACCCCACGCAGAGAGAAACCCCCTTTGTGCCCTCCACTCTCAGGGATGATTCTCATTACGAAGCTATGTCCTGGAACTCACTATGCAGACTAAAATCTCACAGAAATCAGCCTGCTGCAATTAAGGGCAAATGTCACCACACCCAACTCACTCCAAGTACTGTTTTGTTGTTTTTTGTTTTGGTTTGGTTTTCAAGTTGGGTTTCTCTGTGTATCCCTGGCTGTCCTGAAACTCTGTAGACCAGCTGGTCTTGAACTCACAGAGCTCGGCCTCTTGAGTGCTGGGATTAAAGAGGTTCACCACCACCAGTGCCCAGCTTCAGCCAAATTTCTTAATCTATGATTCTTGCTTATTTGTTGTTGTTGTTGTTTTGTTTGTTTTTGTAGCCCAGGCTGGCCTCCACCTGTTCATATAGAAAAAGGTAACTTTGAACTCCTGATCCTCCCACCTTAGCCTCCCAAGTGCTGGAATAAGAGGCTTGCACACCACTCCAGGATCAGGGTGAATGAACTTTGTCCTTCACAGAAGGTTCCTCTAAGATCCTCGTAGCTGGTATTTCTACTATAGGGACAGAAATGCTGCTCATTTGTGGAGCAGAACCCACATAGCTGCACAGTGCAGGGGTGCCCCAATTCTGATCATGATGGGTGGAGTGGGGCCCTCATGACCCCTGGAGCTTACTGGTTCTGCCAGTCCTGTCAGTTATCTCCGGGTTCAAGTGAGAGATCCTGACTCAAGGAATACGCTGGAGTGACTGGCGCCAGCCTTTAACCCCACACCAGGAATTATACAGGCGGTACGTGTTTACAACACACATGCGCTCACACACACGAGTAAATATAAAAATCCTGGGTGTGGGAACTGTCATCCCAGCACTTGGAAGGCACAGATAGGATCAGGAGTTCAGGGCCAGCTTTGGCTACATGGCCAGCTGGAAGCCAGCATGGGCTACCTGAGACCCCATCACGTAGTAATTCTCCTTAACCAGAAAGCTGGAAGTTCTAACATAGACACAGGCTGTAAAGTCCTCTGTCAGCCGTGCTTACACAGTGACTCCTGCTCTCCCTGGCTCTGTTACCTCCCATGGCTCCACCCTCCCCGGTGAAGGCGCCTGCGCCTGAGCTCCAGGAATGAAGCAGCTCTCCTTTCCAAGGTGCCGTGTTGTGGGCTTTGACACCCTCTCCCAGGCCAGGCCCCTTCTCATCTTACAGCTCCTGAGTATGTGGTGGGATTCGTCTCTCTTCTTTTTCATTTTTTGTGGGATTTGTTTATTTGGGAGCAGGGTCACCCTACATAGTCCAGGTTAGCCTCAGACTCCTAATAGTCCAGCCTCCACCCACCTTCCTTGTGTATGCGCCTGGTACATTGGGTGTATGCAAAGGCTCCAACATGGAACTGTGTCTTCACAGATACCAGACAGGCACTGCAGTAACTGAGCTACCTCTTGCTTTGTTTTTAGAGCTAGACTTGAACTTGTAGCAATTCTCCTCCTTTATCTCCAAGTATTGGGATGGCAGGCTTCTGCTACCACCTCTAGCCACCATCGTGTGTTTTTCTGAGACTTTGCTTCCTATCTGTTCACTTCAGTGGGCTGTAGTAGAATCCCTCTCTCTGTGCTAGCTTCCAGTACCAGGACAGAGACACCTTCTGCAGGAAGCCCTCCCTGTCCCATCTGGGCTCTTACCTCCTCAGGTCATCATGGAACGGCAGGAAGAACCACTTCTCAGGCATGTCCCTGAGGAACAGATCCTGTTGCTCCTCGGTGGGGTCCTGGGACACATAAACCAGGGCCAGCTGTGCCGCCCGCAGCACGTAGAACTCATCAGTGAGCCGCACAAAGAAGTCTTTAAGGACTGGGGCAAAGGCCTGGCACCTGGGACAGGCCCCAGCACCGAAGAACAGGAGCACCAGACGATTCTCCAGCCGACGGCTCAGCTCAGCCTCAGTCTCCACTTCATCCTGGTCACTGTTGTTCCTGATCAGGGTGCGGCCAGAGAAGAGGGATACCATGGTAGCTGCGTGGGAGGAGACGGCCGCAGGGGAGTCTGCTGACTGGCCAGCCAGCCTCAAGAATAGAAACCTCAGAAGCTAGATTAGCCACTAATCCTCCTGTAGGTTGACTGCTACAGAACCAGCATTAGTTTTTAAGGGACCAGAAAGCCTCACAGACCTTCAACAGGGCCAAGCTGCAAGTTCCAGGACACCCTGGGATATATGCAAAAAAAAAAAAAAAAAAAAAAAAGGGGGTCTGGGGATGTTGGCTAAGTGGAGTCCCTGCCTATGATCTTCCAGTGAGGGGCTGGGACCATGGCTCAGAGCCTGGCTTCCATCACTTGCAACATGGGGGGGGGGGGGGGGAGGAGCAAAACCCAAACAACAATAATAACTAAATAAATACTACAGGCTCCTCCCTTCTCTTTCCCCTCTCATCACCCAGACTATATCAGGAAACTCAGAGGTTTCCAGCACCTTACCCCTCCAACTACCAAAACACAGATAAACTTTTCCAAGGTGAGTGTGTCACTCAAGGCAGCTGCAGTCTGGGCTCTGAGCAAGAACATGTTCTGGTAGAGTTCAAAGAAACCTTTTTGGTTTTGGTTTGGTTTTGAGACAAGGTTTCTCTGTGTAGCCCTGGCTGTCCTGGAACTCACTCTGTAGACCAGCCTGGCCTTGAACTCACAGAGATCCTCCTGTCTCTGTCTCCCAAGTGCTTGGATTAATGGTGTGTGTCACCACTACCTGGCCTTATTTTTGTATTTGAGAAAGGGTTTCTTGTAGCCCAAGCTGTCCTTAGATTCACTATGAAGCCAAGGTTGACTCTTATCCTCGTGCTGTACCAGTGTATGAATCCTGGTGTCTACAAAGACAGACAGACAATATTGTCTGTCTGCTGCCAGACAATAAATTCTAAGATTTATTCAGGAACCCACTCCTAAGCAGGTTTAGTTGTTCTAACACAAATTATGGCAGGCAGTCACACATGCACTTATGGAGAACAGAGGACAGCGGACCCAAGTTGGTTCTCTACTTCCACTGTGTCCTGGGGCTGGAACTGAGGTCATCAAGCTTGGTGCAAGCACCTCTCTTCAGTCCTACACATGCTCAGTTGAAGGTTGTTAGTTTTTAGGCAGCCTGTTTCTGGGTTGCCTAGCAACCTATGAGTCATCCTGTGTCATCTGCCAAGCAGTCACACCTGACAGGTGTGGTTCAGTGAACCAACCTGCCACTTTGTTGCTCTCTTGCTCTTCCCCTTTCTCTGTGGGGTGCCCCCTCCCCACACCAAGTTTCTCTCTCATCCAATAAACCTCTTTCATATAATACCTGTTTCTGCTGTGTGCGTGGCATCGTTTTTATATAACTACTAACAAGGGAGGTGGCTTAGCTGAAAATCAAAGATTAAAGGGACAGGAGCTTCTGCTCATGCTCAGCTTTCCCCATCAATTTCAAGCAGATGATAAAGGAAAGAACATTCTGAGGGTGTGTCATATCCTTGGTTGGTCACCAACACAGCTTTACAGGTGTCAGTGGCAGGAGACTTCCCTCCCTCAACCAAGGTCTCTGCTCCATTGCAGTCTCCAGCTGTTAGGTAACCAAGGACGACCTTGGATTTCCCACCTCCCTCCTTGTTAACAGGGTAAGGGAACCCAGGGCTACCTGCAGGCTAGACGAGCACTCTACCAACTGAGGCCTTTCTAGGTTTATTGTTCAGGATACCTCAGCCTTAAAAGCCTCCTTCCTTTCTCTCTCTCTCTCTTTAAAAAAGCTACCCTATTTTTTAACAATCCTACTTTATTTAGGGTTATTAAACACTTCTACCTCCCTTCCAACACCCAGCTCTGGGTAGGAGAGAAAGAAGGTTAGTGGGGACAGGGCCAGAGTTCTCTCTGCTACTTCCCACTGGGTGGGGTTGTTGGATTCTTTAAGGGACAAGACCAATATCAGTCATCCAGAAATCCAGGTAAAAAGCAAATCAGCAAACAGCAAATGCAGCAGCAGGGTGAATCAGCAGCAAGCAGTCCTCTTCCAAGCAGCCATGCCTTCTTCCTCTGGGCTGTCATATTTATACCCCTCAAAGTCCTCAGAATGTAATTCCACCTGGCAAAGACCACGCTCCACACGAAACACTTAACAGGTGTGACAAACTAAAATCCCCAACTTGGAATTTTAACAAAAAACATGTTTACATTTCATAAACCAAAACATCGACAACAACTATCCTTTATTTTTTCGTGTGTGTGTTTGTGTGTGTGTGTGTATTATGTGTCGTATGCTTAGAGGGTGAAGAATAACTTTTAGGAGTTCTCTTAAATCAAGTTGATCCCGAGGATCAAATGGAAGTCCCCAGACTTGACGGCAAGTGCCTTTCCCCTCTGAGCCACCTCACCAGCCCGCTAGCAACTTTTCAGATGTTTGGGACTGAGGAGCAGGTGCAGAGATCTGATGAGGGGTCAAGAGCCGGATGCTTACACTTCGGCACTCTAGACTTGGAGAAGAAAAGGAGGAGGAGAGAAGAGAGAAACGGGGAGGGCACGGGATGGTGAGAGGAAGTGGGGCAAAGGACACAGGAGATGTTCCAGGAATATGGAAACAGGAGCAGGCCATGAGCGAGGTGGAGGGCAGGAAGGAGGGCTGAATCTAGGCTGTAGCAGTCAGTAAAATGCCTTTACCTGTCAAATGGGGTGATTGCAATAGAGAGAGGGCCGCTCTAGAGACAGGTCTTTGTTGACTCCTGGCTAGCTGGGTCCAGTGTCTTCAGCTGCACCCCCATCCCAGCCACCCACCCTCCTCCAAAACACCAACGGCAGCTGCGGGCGGGGGTGGGGCGGCGCCTGCCCAGCGTTGGCCTTGGAGTGGAGCTGAAAGCCGGCCCAGGCTGGCCTCCTCCCAAGGAGAGCTGTGGGAAGGTCGGCCAAGCGGGTCAGAAAACAAGCAAGCCCGCAGGGTGGGCAGGGGGCGTGGGAGGGTAGTTGGGAAGGAGGGGCAGGGAAGAGGCACACCGGGGCGCTGTGAGTGAGAAGCGCTCAAGACTGCAAAGGGCTCTTCCCCTGAAGGGACCCACCAACTCTCGCTGAGCCCAGAAGTTCCCTGTCCAGGCCTCCTGCAGTAGTTTCTGCAAGAACCTGCGAGGGAGCAGCGAGGGCCGGAGTTCTGCAAGCCTGAGCAGGTTAGCCTGACACCAGGGACGGGGCACCCTAGCAGGAGACTAGGGATAGGGGCGTCTCTGGATGGGCCCTTAGGAATCTGGGGTGCAAACAGGGGTCTAGGGGACTCTTGCCCCTGGGGAGCAACAAAGTATGCTGCGGTGAGTCAGGATCTCCTAGGAGGCACCTGGAGTGCAAGAAGGGCTCATGTCGAGGAAGGATGGTGACCTGATATGGGCCTGACACTACCCTGGGTTTATAGAATGTGATTATAAGGCTTGGGGGAGGAAGAACTGGGGTGTGGTGGCTCCTTATCTTCAAGACTAAGGCCTCTGCAGCCCCCAGGGTGTGAATTTCGACTCTCTTGGAATCCGGAATGCCGAGAAGCCTCCAGGCTTGTATCTAGGACAAGCTAGGTCGCGCAAGGTCGGGCAAACTCCGGCATAGGAGAACCCTGGGCTGGACCTGCGCGCCTCGGGCGCTGGGGATCTTGCACGTGTTCTGGGTTTGGTGCCACGGAGCCACGCCCCCTAGAGCCATGGCCCCGCCCTCTGCACCTGCGTGTTTCCACTGCCTGGAGAGACGGGAAGCTGGGCCACCGCTTCGTTGCCCTGGAGACTCGTAGGTATTCCTGGGCCGGCCGCTCTAGCTCATGAGTTTCACGGGCTCTCTGGCCCTCACGTCCTCTCTATGGTCTAGGCCTCCGGAAGGGGCTGGCCGGCACGGAGTCAGGTGAGGGCCTGGGAGCGTTAGGCATCGGGGAAGAGAGGTTTGGGGCGGAGCTAGGTGCTGGGTGAGCCGCACGGATCCGGCCTCTCCGCGAACGGTGACTGACAAGGCCTGGAGGCGGCGCGGGAGGCCCAGGTAGAATCTGGGTCACGAAAGTCAGCTCGACTAGGAACTGGAGGCGGGCCCGCGCCCGGGGGCGGGGTCATAGGCACACCGGGGGTGGGGTCCTGGGTCAGAGTGGGCCTGTGCGGACAGAGGCGGAGCCATGGGCCCTGTGAGGGCGGGGCCATAGGTCTCACCTGGAGGGGCCACTTAGGGGAAGAGCGTGCGCGGGTGCGCTGGGGGCCGGACCCACCGGCCACATCTGAGGGTGGAGTCCCGATCAGTTTGGGGACTTTGATTTGAGGCTCGCACTTATGGGCGGAGGCAGAGATCTCGTTTGGGGGCGTGGTCTAATGACCTCGTGCTAGGTATTCGTTAGAGGCAGCCTTCGTCGGAACATCCAGGCTCTGAGGCAGTATGTGGCTTTTGGGACACAGATGAAGGGATTAGGGACTATTAGGGCGTGGCCTGAACCTTTGGCTGCCAAGGGCCCAGGCGTGTGCGGGGTACGAAGGCGACCCCACGCTTGGAGGTTTGAAGCTCAAGGGTGGAGCTTGGGAGTGCAATGTCCAGCCACATGGTCAAGGCATGGGGCGGGGTCTGGCATTGATGACGTAGAAATTCTGGGGCTGGGAGAGGGCGGGAGGGCAATCAATTGATAGGGATGTGGCCAATCCTAGGCCTCGAGGCGGGGCGAGTTAAGGAAGCTGGTTGGATTTTGGCCCTCCTGGAGCCTAGCTTAGAGGCAGTGGGGCGGGTCCTGGTTCCTAGGTATGCGCCCAGGGGAGGGGCCAGACTTCATAGTAAATGCTTTTATTTTTAGGTTACCGCCTGGGAAGATGTAACCTGGCCAGGGTCTGGGACATGTCCTGGGCTGGGTCAGGACTAGGGTTGGGGGCGGCGTCCGCGACTTCAGCTGTGTGCACCACAGGATGCGGGTTCCCGGAGCAGGAACTGCCTCGGTGGCCTCCCTGGCGGTGCTTTGGCTACTGGGACTTCCGTGGACCTGGAGCGCAGCGGCGGCATTCGGTGTGTACGTGGGCGGCGGCGGCTGGCGCTTCCTGCGTATCGTCTGCAAGACGGCGAGGCGAGATCTTTTGTAAGTGGATGGGGTTGAAAGTTCAGGGGTCATGGATGCAGGTTGTCTCTCTGGCTATCCAGAATCTTGCAAGGTGATGTGAGGGTCCTTTTGTGGCCTGGAATTGGTTTTATAGGCTGGGGACGGGGTCTGAAGGTGGAGTGACTGATTGGAGGGCTCTATGGGGTCCTGCAGGAGACAGAAAGGGAGTCTGGAGAGAACTGAGTACGCAGTTGGGACTTGGTGTGCTGTTAGATTGGTAGGTTGGTAGGTGGTAGGTGGGTAACTGGAGGGTTGAGAGAGCTGGGTGTTCTGGTGGCGTGGTGGAGACTGAGGCCCTAGGGGCATTAGTGGGTGACCCACTGTCCGGATTCTTGGAATGAACAGGCTTGGGGTGAAGGATTGTCTTGGGGACCCTAAAGGACTAAGGACTCTAAGGGTGTTGGCCACCTGGATGCTGAATGTGGAACTCTGGGCATTGTTCAGGGCCTGTGAGAAGGCCACCGTATGTAGCAGGGGGTCTCCGGAGGTGAGGCTCTCTGGGCAGTCATGGTGGGCAGGGAAGCTGGAGGCTCGGGTTGGCTTTCAGGGTATTGTTGAAGGGAGCTGGGGGCATTCTGCAGGAATCTTAGTGTTGCTGGGATTCAAAGTCTCAGGTCAACCCTTGTGGGTCCTTCTGGGTTCCTTCTGGGAAACAGACTGAGCATTGTTGAAGAATTGTGAGGAAATAGGCTTATGGGGAACAGAGCAGAACCGTGTAGGAATGGGGGCTGGCTTCTGCTGCCTTCTGCTTGCTGGACTTTCTTTTTTCTTCTCTCAAAGTATTGAAGAAACTTCATTCAGTGCAGATTAGCAGTGTGGTCGGAGGAGACTGAAGAGTGAGAGCCACGAGTGCATGAGGCACCCAGGGCATTGCTTTTGCAGACAGACTCTGGTGGCCTTGAACTCTTCATGGAGCCGAAGGTGGCCTTGAACCTTTACCTCTCCTCTACTGGGGTGATATACTTGTGTCAGCACATCTGGTAGTGGCAGTTCCGGGCACATAGCGCAGGGCTTTGTGCATGCTGAGCAAGTGCTGCCCACCCAGCCCAGCCCACAGCCTTTGTTTGACCTTTTGAGATAGGCTCTTAGGGAATCCAACTTCCCGTATTTTCTTTTTCCTTTTCTCTCTTTTCCCATGCCTCCCTCTGTCTTTCTTGCCCTGGCTGACCTGAAACTGGATATCCTCCTGGGGTAACAGGCTGGTGGTAACCTTAAAAAGAGTGGAGTCCATTGGGGAGCTGGCTCAGTACTTGGAAACACTGTTGCTCTTCCAGAAGGCATGGGCTTGGTTCACCACCAAACTCAATTTCTAGGTGATCTGCCGCCACCTTCTGGCCTCTGCAGGCTCCTGCAGTGTGACTCCAGACCTGGCTGGCCACTGGGAACAGCCTTTGCTTTTGGAATTATCTTCTCCTTTGTCTTTGTTGTGTTGTTTCAAGATTTTATTTATTTTATATGCATTGGTGTTATGCCTGCATGTACATCTGTGTGACGATGCCACATCCCATAGAATTGGTGTTAGAGACAGTTGTGAGCTGCTATGCAGGTTCTGGGAATTGAACCTGGGTCCTCTGCAGGCACAGCCAGTGCTCTTAACTGCTAAGCCCTCTCCCCAGCCCTCTTTGTCTTCGTGTGTGTGTGATGTTTTTGAAACTGGGTCTCACTGGAGCCCAGAATGGACTTGAACTCTTGGTCTCCTCATCTCAGCCTTCCAGTGCTGGACATCCCCCTCACAGCTGTGCCCAGGTCAGCTACTGTCCAGAAACATCTGTCAAGCCCTGCCGGTTCTCCCAAACCTGCTTTGCTGCCAGCCCGAGTCCTGGGGCTCCGGATGAAAGAAGCTGGGGGTGGAAGAGGCCCTGGGAAGGGCCAGGCTGGACAGAGGTGTCTTTGTACTCAGTGTGGGGGTGGCTTGGGCAGCTGCCAACCTGGGTTCCAGAGCATGTGGTAGGGACGAAGCAGTGATCCCTGCCTGCCAGCGTGGGCCCGCTGATGGGAGTAGCAAGCTGGAGGGAAGGGCCCTGGCAGGCCCGCAGTACTGCTGGAACCTGGCCTGCCTTACAGACCCACCATCTGTGGCCTAGTTCCAGAAGAGGTCGAAGCTTTTAGAAAGAAGAAGAGTTTCCTGCAGTCACAGCCCTCCCCTCAGCTGACACACCCACCATCTTCATGGGCAAGTAACTATGCTCTAAGCACACGTGCTCAGCACACATGGTGGAGGTAGAAACCCAGGGTCTGACTGTGGACCTTGGGCCATCCTCTTATTTCTCATTCAGGCCCCTGAGCAGCATGCTTTCTTTGAGGTGCCTGCATTGAGCGCCTGCTGTATACATCATTCACATGTGTACTATGGTAAAGCCCATGGAGGATCTTGGGAGATTTGTTCAGTTCTGAGTCATTCTGTCTTCTTGCTGTGTGACCTCATCTGTGATAGCTCACAGCTCTGAACCATCAGCTTATCCATTGAATCTCAATTGCGTGTGGACAGCCTTATGGTGGAGGGCAGCTTTAGACAGCACGGTGCTTGGTATATGCCAGGTGGTTAATGAATGCTGGGCTCAAATGTCTTTGCCTGGGTCATCTCGCTTTTGGTTTTGGTGGTGGGGTTTGTTTTTCTTACTCTCTGTTCACTAACCACACTGTGCTCTGGCTGTAGACTCGCTGTCCTCTGCTGAGGCTGGTCTTTGGCTGTGGTTCCAGGGATCTCAGTCTAGGAGCCAGGCTCTGCCTCCACAAATACCCTAGAGGTCGTAGCCTTGAGTTTCAGGCTATAAGGCTTTGACCACAGGATGAGCATGAAAAGTCAATTTTTTAAAATTGATACTTAATTTTTTTATTATGTTAGTGTGAGTATGTCACCATGTGTTTATCTGTGTGTGTCTTTGTGGTGTGCGTGTACCACATACATTCCTGTTGTCCCCAGTGGCCAGAAGAAGGCATCAGGTCTCTTGGAACTGGAGTTGCAGATAGTTGTGAGCCACCGTGTGGGTGCTGGGACCACTGAGCTGTCTCCGCAGCTCCCAATTTCATCTTGAGGCAGGCTCTTGTTTTGTAGTTAGAGGGAACTGGAGCCCCTAGTACTGCCCTGTCGCTCTGTGCTGGGATGGCCGGTGTGGGCCATCAGTCAAACTCAGGACATTTGCTCATCCACCGAGCAACACATGACTTGTGACCTCTTTGTACCCGCCTTCTTTATCACATGTGGTGAACCTAGCTCTCAGGGCAGCCACCAAGTTTTGGCAGCTTGTCTGCACTCAGTAAAGGCCACAGATCCTGGAAGACAGTATGTCTGGGGCTGCTTCCCAACACATGGTCGCCATGCAGGAACACATAGCTGTGACAGGCAGGCCCAGTTAACCAGACGGCTTGCCATGCACAGTACTGAGAGTGGGAAGTTGCTGGCTTCACTTAGCCTCTTGAGGGAACCCGTGCACATACAGCTGTGACTCAGATGTCACTCCTTTGGGTGAGTGAGATGGGTGAGGAGGCTTGCCTCCTTGCCTAACCACCTGAACTCCATCCCCAACACCTTCACTGTGGACAGAAAGAACTGACTCCCACACGTCTCTTCTGATCTCCACACGCACAGTGAATGAATGAATACATGAATGAAACTAAAAATTCAAAACTAGCCGTGAATGCCTATAATCCTAGCACTCTGAAGGCAGAGGCAGGCAGACAGCTGTAGGTTCGAAGCCAGCCTGGCCTACACACACAGAGAAAGCCCATTTTGAAAACAACAAAACAACAACAACAACAAAACACTAAAACCCAACAGAATTTAAAACTTAAAGTTATCCTCATTTTGCAAACATCCTAAAATGATCCTGCACACAGACGCCTGTGAGTGTGTCTGTCCCATTGCAAATTGCCTCTGAGTGACAGGGTGTTATGTGAGTCAAACCAGTAGACACATTGGCTGTTTTACACTATTTATTTTGTGTGTGGACCCGTGTGAATGCTCATGAGCATGTGTGAAGTCGGAGGACAGTCTGCACACCTTTAATCTCACACTCAGGAGGCAGGCAGAGGCAGGTCTCTAGGTTTGAGGCCAGCTTGCTCCACATAGCAAGTTCTAGGATATCCAGGCCTCACAGTGACACACTCTCTGAATTTTTTTTTTCAAGTTTAAAGACTTTTAAGCCAAGCATGGTGGCACATATCTTTAATCCCACACTCAGGAATGCAGAGTTGGGCAGATTTCTATGAGTTCTAGGCAGTCTGGTCTACAAAGGTCTCCGGACAGCCAAAGCTACACAGATAAACCCTGTCTTGAAAAACCTAAATATATATACATATATATTTATACACATATAAATATGTATATACACATATATACACTTTTAAACATTATAATTATATTTTTTGAGGCAATTTTTTTTCTGAGACAAGGTTTCTCTGTGTAGCCTTGGCTGTCCCTGACTCACTTTGTAAACTAGATGGCCTCAAACTCACAGAGATCAACCTGCTTCTGCTTCCCCGAGTGCTGGGATTACAGGCGTGGGCCCCTTCACCCGGCTTTGAAGTAAGGTTTTGAAGGAGGCCCTGTTTCCTGTAGCCCAGGCTAGTCTCACAGTCACTATCTATAACCCAGGCTGGCTTTGAGCTCATGGTCCACTGCTTTAATGACAACCTTTCTGATGACATTTATCAGTTCTCAAGCCCGAGTCCCTCTCCTTTTTACCTGTAAAATCCCAGCATGACGCCCATGCCTTCAGTGCTGATGACCACCCAACTCTTCAGCATGTGTGGCTTTGCTCAGACAGCAGCTGTTCCTGAGGGCTGCAGGGTTCCTGGTTGACCCACTACCCAGGACTCTACCCCCTTGGGGTTATCTATGGCAGGTGCTGAGCCATGGGCCCAGCCTTGGGCCTTGGCCACCTCCTTAAATGCTTTCCTCTCTTTTCCCTACTTCACCTCTTCTTTGTTTTTATTCATTTTTGGTTTTTTGAGACAGGGTTTCTTTGTGTAGCCCTGGTTGTTCTGGACTCACTTTGTAGACCAGGCTGACTTCGAACTCACAGAGATCCACCTGCCTCTACCATCAGAGTGCTGAGATTAAAGGCGTGCACCACCACTGCCCGGCCCCTTTGTTTATTTTAAATTTATTTTTACTTAATATTTTTTAGTTTTTAAAATTTATTTTCATGTGTATTTTCATTTACATGCCTGCATGTATGTATGTACCATGTGCATGCCTAGTGCCTGCAGAAGGCAGAAGAGAGCTTTGGAACAAACTGCAGCTACAGATGGTTGGAAATCACGGGTGGGTACTGGGAATTAAATGCAGGCTCTCTGCAAGAGCAGCCAGTGCTCCTAATCACTGAGCCTTCTCTCCGGTTTTCCATAGCAGTGGCTGGCCTCACACTCCCATTCTCTCCTGCCTCAGCTTCCTGAATGCTAAGATGACAAGTGGCTCGATTGCCACCATGCCACCTGCTCATTCCCTCTTGTCTCACCAGGAGAGAGAGCAAGGACAGGAAGTGAGTCAGCAGCAGTCCATGGCTGTGGAAAGTCCTGGGTGCCAGGGAACAGATGCTAAGGCAGGGCAGCACCTCTGCGTTCTGGAGTGTTTTCTGAGCACGGAATGGTTGAACCAAGGCCTGGGAAAGGAGTATGGATGCTAAGGAAAGGGCATGGCTTTTTTAGCCTGTGCAAACAAAGTGTAGCAGAAGGGTGTTGGGGTTGTTTAAAGAACCCCTTTGTGTCTGGGAGATAGTTGAGATGGGACCAACAAAGGGCATTTGTCTTTGTCCCCTCTGAGTCTCACCCAGACACATAGGAGGTGCTAGCTATTTGAAGAGAAAGGAAAGAATCGGAGGCTCGGTTCATAGATACTCGCCTAACATGTCCTTGCTCCCCTTTCTAGCCACCCTCACTGAGCTTAATGGCACATTCCTCAAGACCTTTGCACTGGCTGTGTGGATGGCACCCATCTCCTTTCACTGCCCCGGCTGTCAAGAGCTCTCATTTTGACTGTTCTCTTCCTTCCCCAGCACAGTCAGTTCCACCCAGTGCTCATCACTGAGTCAGCAGCCTGAGGGGGTGACAGACAGATGAGGGAGGACGTGAAGGAGGAACAGATGAGGAAAGGGATGAATGAGTGAAGGAGGCTGGGTTCTGTAGCTTGAGGCAGGGTTGCCATGAGTTCAAGGCTAGCGTGGGCAAGCAAGGAGCTATCAAGTGGGAGTCCAAGGCACTAGCAGGCTTGGTGTCTCCTCTTGGACTGCCTGTGGTCACCAGCTCTGGGTGTTCTGTGTCCTCTGATGATGGGTAGGATACTCAAGGGACATCCCCAGAGAGAGGAACAAGGATGAGATCTGAGACCTTCCTGATAGTCAGGTCTGTCAACCAGGTATCCAGATGCTGAGGCAAGAGGAATGCAGGCTCCAGGTTAGAGGGCAGTTTGGGAGACACTCAAAACTAAGAAGAGGGCTGGGGAACCAGGCGGTGGTGCCGCAAACCTTTAGTCCCAGGATTCAGGAGGCAGAGGTAGGTGGATCTCTTAAGTTTCAGCCCAGCCTGGTCTACAGAGTGAGTTCCAGGACAGTCAGGGCTACACAGAGAAACCCTGTCTCAGGAAAAAGGGGGGAGGCTGGGGGCATGACTTGAAGCCCTGTATAGAATACCCAGTGAGGGGTTAGGGCGTGGCCCAGGGGTGGAGTTCTGCTTGGAATCTTCCAGTGAGGGCCTGGGTGGTGTGGCTCAAGGGTAGAGCCCAGGCCTAGAATCCCCCAGTGAGAGAAGTGAGGTAGTAGATTGCTTGCTAAGCCTGTGTTCAATTGCAACATCACAGAGCACAAAGAATTTGACACCCTATGCTCAGGGCACCAGGACAGCCAGGGAAGTCTATTTGGTGACTAATACTCATGTGGTAGACAAGCTGGCTTTGTAGATTCATAGCTTCCCGCCTGGTTTGTAAATGCTCCCTGCTCTAAGATACCAGCCATTAAAGGACTAAGCATAGTGGTTCCCCAGTTGTCCTGGGGCCTATAATAGGGGCACTAAGGCTAGAGGCATCTTTAGATAGTGACACTGTCCTCTTCTCTGCAGTGGCCTCTCCGTTCTGATTCGGGTGCGGCTGGAGCTGCGGCGACACCGGCGAGCAGGAGACACGATCCCGAGCATCTTCCAGGCGGTGGCCCAGAGACAACCTGAGCGCCTGGCGCTGGTGGATGCGAGCAGCGGTGTATGCTGGACCTTCGCACAGCTAGACACCTACTCCAATGCAGTGGCCAACCTGTTCCGCCAACTGGGCTTTGCGCCGGGCGATGTGGTGGCCGTGTTTCTGGAGGGCCGGCCTGAGTTTGTGGGGTTGTGGCTGGGCCTGTCTAAGGCCGGTGTGGTGGCTGCACTGCTCAATGTCAACCTGAGGCGAGAGCCCCTGGTCTTCTGCCTGGGCACATCGGCTGCCAAGGCCCTCATTTATGGTGGAGAGATGGCAGCGGGTGAGGCCTGGTGGATATCATGAGGGTGGGGACCTCAGGACCTCAGGGATAGGGAAATTCTGGCCAGGGGTGCTCCTTAACTATGACCCTGAACCTCTGCACCACAGCGGTGGCGGAGGTGAGTGAGCAGCTGGGGAAGAGCCTGCTTAAGTTCTGCTTGGGAGACCTGGGACCTGAGAGCATCCTGCCGGACACACAGCTCCTGGACCCAATGCTCTCTGAGGCGCCCACCACACCTCTGGCGCAAGCCCCAGGCAAAGGCATGGATGGTAAGTGGAGGGTCCCCTGCCATCTCTGCCCTGTGTCGTCCTCGGTTCTCTGGTGCCCAATGCCTGCTTCTTCTGCAGATCGGCTGTTTTACATCTATACCTCGGGGACCACGGGGCTTCCTAAGGCAGCCATTGTGGTGCACAGCAGGTGAGCCGGGGCCATAGTCTGCCAGTGCTAGGACTCCCAGGGTTCCCTTCCTTTTTTCTCCCCTCTGCCTGAGCCACACCCATCTCCTGCTCAGCCTCTTGCAGCTCCCCTCTCCTGCCATCCCCACCCCACCTTGGCCTGCATCCTTGAGGGTTTCATATCCTAAGTCCTGGTTCTGCTTTTGCCCTTCTGAGTCAAGTTGTGGCTTTTGTCCTCTCAGTCCCCAGCTCTTCCTCCAGCCTACCATGGTCCTTTAAGCCTTGGAACCTTCCCATGCGCCACTCCCAGGTCGCCTTCCCAAGGGGCCCAGGGTCTTCTCTCTCCAGACCAGGTGGCCCCTCCCCATATGTGTCACTTCCAGACCTCCTCTGGTGACTTGCCTCTCTCCACAGGTACTACCGCATCGCGGCCTTCGGCCACCATTCCTACAGCATGCGGCCAGCTGATGTGCTCTACGACTGCCTGCCGCTCTATCACTCCGCAGGTACGCGGGCACCCAGGGGCGTGGGCAGAATCCCCCAGCGAGCCTCACAGCCACCCTCCCTCTAGGGAACATCATGGGCGTGGGGCAGTGTGTCATCTACGGCCTGACAGTGGTGCTGCGCAAGAAGTTCTCCGCCAGTCGCTTCTGGGATGACTGTGTCAAGTACAACTGCACGGTAGGCCCTGCCCCTTCCCAGGCTCCGCCCACCACAGCAGGGCCCCGGCAGTCTTCCGGGCTAGCTCAGGCTTTGTCTCCGCATGGGGAGATTCTTCTCTGCGTGACTCATCTGGGCCCAATACCTGCTGTGGTGTGGCCCCCTGACTTCCCAAGCCCCACCCCTCCTGCTCAGACACGCCCCTCCTGGCCTGGGTCACTTCTTGCTTAGCCAATTCCACCCAATTGCCTAGGCCCTGCCTCTCTCTTAGGCCCCACCCCACTCAGTCAACCAAGGTGCATCCTTCAAGGCCTGTTCTCCTCTATCCCTGCTGTAGCAGGCCAATCCTTTGTCCTTTCTGGCCAAGGTTCATCGTCTGTGTGCCACACCTCCTTGCAGGGCCACACTAATTATAGGCAGGCTGTGTCCCACTGCGCAGACCCTGCTTCTCTTATTCAGGCTCTTTGGTACCAGACCAGTCCATGCTCTGTCTGAGGAGGTGATCCTATCTAGTTAGGCCCTGCCTACTCTGCCTGCTCACCTTGATGGTGGGGAAAGGGGACCACCCTGTGTCCCTGGAACACTAAAAAATCTTTCTGGGTAAATATTTTGGAGCCTACAGTATCATCAGCAAAGATACTGTACCTATTTTACAGTCAGGGAAACTGGGACCATAGTGCAGCTGGGATGGAGCCAGGTGCCCGAGTGCCTCCAGGGGCTGCCTGTACAGTGCTGGGCCCTTTCTGATGGGGCAGGAGGCCAAGAGTAGGGTCAGCCCTCTGGGCGGAGAGAGTCCTTGGTGAGGGTTAGTTAAGCACAGTCAAGGCACAGAGGCTAGGGTGCTGGGAGCACACAGGAGGCCCCGAGCTCCTTCCCACCAGGCCCTGCTTCTGATTGGGCCTTGCCTGGGCCCTTCCCGGCCACCCGCAGGTAGTGCAGTACATTGGCGAGATCTGCCGATACCTGCTGAGGCAGCCTGTTCGGGACGTTGAGCGGAGGCACCGCGTGCGCCTGGCTGTGGGCAATGGGCTTCGGCCGGCCATCTGGGAGGAGTTCACGCAGCGCTTTGGCGTGAGGCAGATCGGCGAGTTCTACGGTGCCACCGAGTGCAACTGCAGCATCGCCAACATGGACGGCAAGGTTCGCAGCTGTGTGGTCAGGACGGCGTCCGCCGCTCCCACTGCCCGAGCACTGGGAGCGCTGATCGGGGGCTGCTCACCACAATATCCACCGCAGGTCGGCTCCTGCGGCTTCAACAGCCGCATCCTCACGCACGTGTACCCCATCCGCCTGGTCAAGGTCAACGAGGACACGATGGAGCCACTGAGGGATGCCCAGGGCCTCTGCATCCCGTGCCAACCCGGTGAGCATGGCCCTTGCCCAGTGCCTTGGGGAGCTGGGGTCTTCACGGCTTCCACCCCAGTCAACCTACGTGTCACCTCCTCCAGGGGAGCCTGGTCTTCTCGTCGGCCAGATCAACCAGCAGGACCCACTGCGTCGCTTCGATGGCTACATTAGTGACAGTGCCACCAGCAAGAAGATCACCCACAGTGTTTTCCGAAAGGGCGACAGCGCCTACCTCTCAGGTGCGGAGCTTGTGATCCTGCTGGCTGTAAGGACGTGAAGCCTGGTCCCACCTGCCCCTCTCCCGTGCAGGTGACGTGCTGGTGATGGATGAGCTGGGCTACATGTATTTTCGAGACCGCAGCGGGGACACCTTTCGCTGGCGTGGGGAGAACGTGTCCACCACTGAGGTGGAAGCTGTGCTGAGCCGCCTGCTGGGCCAGACGGATGTGGCTGTGTACGGGGTGGCTGTGCCAGGCAAGCTGGGAACACGGGGTGGGTGTAGGGTGAGGAGCCCGGGTAGTCCATCCAGAAGGTACTACAGGTGCATTAGTGCCCTTGGGCCACACAGCTGATTGGCCTGGTTGCTGATTGGATTGTGAATCCCTTCCCCTCTCCAAGATTGAGCTTCAGTTTGGGGGTCCCTTTCTCAGGATCAGAAGGCTGGAAACGGCCCTTTTAACATGGGAACTGCAGGTACTAGTTGGGAAGTCACAGAGTAGAGACCAGGGCTAACTGGGGGCAGGGTGTTTTCAGCTGCACCCCCTTTGCAGGGGTGGAGGGGAAAGCCGGTATGGCGGCCATTGCAGATCCGCACGGCCGGCTGGACCCTAACTCCATGTACCAGGAGTTGCAGAAGGTTCTGGCGTCCTATGCCCGGCCTGTCTTCCTGCGTCTTCTGCCCCACGTGGATACTACAGGTACGCCCTGCCTCGGGGCCCATGGGCTCCTGCACCCCTGTGTGAAATAGGGGCCCATGGCACCTGCTGTGGGTGGCTTTCCTTAACTCTGTCTGTGCACCAGGCTGTGCTAGAACTCACTTTGTAGCCCAGGCTGGCCTGGAACCCAGAGATCCACCTGCCTCTCAAGTGCTGGGATCAAAGGCATGCGCCACTCCTGCCTGGCTCCAAGCCCTTTTCTTTTTCTTTTCTTTATTTTTAATAATGATTTTATTTTATGAGCATTGAATGGCGTTTGCCTGCGTGTATGTCTGTGTGAGGATGTCCCTGGAGCAGGACAGTTGTGAGCTGCCCTGTGGGTGCTGGGAGTTGAACCCGGGTCCTCTGGAAGAGCAGCCAGTGCTCTCAACTGCTGAGCCAGCTCTCCAGCCCCCAGCTCTTTTCTTAATAGGCAAGATAATCTTTTTTCAGATGAGTGTGGTGGCTCCTTCACATAATCCCGATACTCAAGAGGCAGGAGGATCATTTTGAATTCGAGGCCAGCATGAACTGCAGAGACCCTATTTTTCAAAATTAAGAACAATAACAAAAACACAAGCTACCTCTTTGGGGCTTTGGGGGTGCAGTTCCAGATACAGCGACTCAATACAGAGACAGCTGCATGAAGTGCTGAGAGAATGGGTCTTAGGAGCAGGAGCAGAAGGGTGTGGAACCAAGGAGGTGGCCACTGCTGAAGGAAGCCCTGAGCAGAGCTACCTCTCCCCTCCCCCACCTCCAGGCACCTTCAAAATCCAGAAGACCCAGCTGCAGCGTGAAGGCTTTGACCCCCGCCAGACCTCAGACCGGCTCTTCTTTCTAGACCTGAAGCAGGGCCGCTACCTGCCCCTGGATGAGGGAGTCCACGCCCGCATCTGTGCCGGCGACTTCTCGCTCTGAATCTGCCGAGTGGGATGGTCCTGGACTGATGTGCCCAGCGCCTGATAATCCTGCCCAGGTGCTCCCGCCTGGCCGCTGGCCAGTGAGCCGTGGGAGTAGGAGACTGGGGCCTGAGCTGCCGGGTAGCCCTCTCCTACATCCATCCCATCATGCATCCATCTGGCCTCTTTCTCTTTTTCTCCATCTCTTTTTTTCGCTACCCACCAGGAACTCACAGCACATGCTGGCTGCTGTGTCCTGCAGTGGGACCAGTGTTCAGGGGTCCAGGCTGCCAGCTGTGACCCAGACTGGTGCCCAACTCCCTTCCCTGTTGTGCCTTAGGAACCCTTCCACGGTTCCCCTGTAGAACAAGTGGGGTCCCTGGTTGGTAGTGCATTGTCACAGCGGTGAGCAAATTCGGCGTCTCCCACTGATCCTAAGTCAACTGGAAATATTTTTTTGTCTTGAGACAGGGCCTCAGTGTGAGGCCTCCACCTCGCCACCCTGCTGCCTCTGCCTACAGAGTGTACTACACTGCAGCCCCAGACTAACGACACTTATGCACTCTGACCCTCCTAGGCCCCACTTAAACCTCATGTCCTGGAAACTTTCAGAACTGACTTGACCTCTTGGATATGGCTAGTGCTGGTTCTGCCCACATATGTCAGTTCAAGGGTCCCCAGGTATCCCCTCTGGAGGCCTTGACTCTGGCAAAGCTTCTGAGTCCTCACATTACAGCTGGAGAGCCTCAGGGAGGTTGCTGTGGTGTTCTCTTGGGCACCCCCTGGTGGCATCCTGGGTGTGTTTACCTGAGGCTTTAGTGCCAGTAGCCCAGACCCTGTTGCTTTAACACTCCAGGTCTCATCTTCTGGCTCCCATGGTCCCCACTGGGATCATTGGTAATTCATCTCAGTCACCAAACCAGGCCTCTGCTCTCCTTTATTTGCATGGGCCCAGCCCCATGAAGGGTGTGGACCAGGCAGCTTCCACTGGCTGCCCTGAGGCATCCACACACAAATGTCATTATGCTGTTGGTTTTAAGAAATAAATTTGCCAAGCTATGACACCTGCCAGAGTGCAGCTCTGGTCTGACTTGAGGGCCAGGCCCTTTCTGTAGTTCACACCTGAGCAGACTGCAGCAGGCCCCATAGCATCTGTTCTAGTGAGGGCTCCTATTATGATGATGAAACACCATAACCAAAGCAACTTGGGGAGAAAGGGGTTTATTTGATTTCCATATCCTGAATCACAATCCATTTAGGGAAACCAAAGCAGGAACTCAAACGGCAGGAGCTGATGCAGAGGCCATGGAGGGGTGTTGCTTACTGGCTTGCTTAGTCTTTCTTATAGAATCCAGGACCACCAGCCTAGGGATGGAATCACCCATAGTATGCTTGGGTCATATGCTTCAATCATCAGTCAAGGAAATGCACCACAGGCTTGCCCACAGGCCAATCTGGGGAATTTTCTCAGTTGAGGTTCTATTATTCTGAACAATGATGGCACTTGCAGGAAGTTGATGTAAAAGCTAGCCAGCACTAGCTGGGCATGGTGGGTCACACCTTAATCCCACCTCCCTTAGGCAAAGGTAGGAGGATCTCTGTGAGTTCAAGGCCAGCCTTGTCTATAGAGTGAGTTCCAGGACAGCCAGAACCGTGTCTCCAAAAAACAAACAAAAAGCAAATTAGAAAAGGGGGGGAGGGTTGCAGAAAGCTGGCTTAGCATAAGCCATTCGTGCTCTTCTAAAGGACTTGAGCTTTGCTAAAACCATCTGGGAATCCTACACTCTTCTCACCTCTGCTGGAATCTGGCATGTACATAGATGCATACACATACGCACACAAAACAAGCATAAACTAAAAAATCTAAACAATAAACTAGACATGTAGTTCCAGGGACAAAGCTTTGCAAGAACCACTTTCATGGGCTGAGGCATCTTAAAGGCCCCATTTCTACCTTCTCAACACCATTAGCAAAGCTTGGTGGTTATGTTATGTTATTTGGGGAAGTTACTCTGGCAGCAACAGGAATCTGACCTCCAGGCCAGTCAGTACAGACCAGGGGAGCTTCAGGCAGGGGTACCAAGCAGGCATTCAGCAGATCTCCCAATCCCTGAATTGGGCCTTGGTGCCCCAGGGCTGGGTGATGCATCTATCAGTAGGGGCCAGCAAGTGCTGAACAACAGCCTGGTTCTGTCAATGCGGCCAGCTAAAATGAGCCAGCCCTGGGATTGGCACAGTACCCATTGCACACCTGATCAAGTGGCAGTGGAGTTGACACCAGGCACAGCTAGTGAGAAGCAGGCCCAAGGGTGTGTTTGTTTTTTCGATGACACTGCTTGAACCAGTGTTTTAGAAGGGATAGCCAGCCAGGGCAGCACAGTGAGATGCTTTTTCAGAACAGAACAAGCAAAATAAAAAAGGATAGACAACTAGGAGCGAAGAAGGCTGTCATCAAAGCCCTTGGGAGATTGAGACATCAGGATGCTGAGTGTCAGGTCAACCTGGTCCCCACAGCAACATCCTACATCAAACAGCCAGAAGAAAACACCAACGCCAACAATTTTTGGGGTGTTTTTTGTTTGTTTTAAGACAGGGTTTCTCTGTGTAGCCTCGGCTGTTCTGGAACTCACTCTGTAGACCAAGCTGTCCTCCAACTCAGAGAGGTCCTCCCGCCCCTACTATCCCAGTTGTGGAATCAAAGGTATGTGTCACCACAGTCCAGGAATGCCAACAGTTTTTAATTGCTTCAGTTTTAAATTTAACTTTTATGAAGGGCACAGTCCTGTGAACCAATCCGTATGTTATTCACGCTGATAGGTTCTGGGGTTCACTGTCTCTTTTCTCCTTCCTTCTCCCCGTTTTCCTTTTGTATCTTCCAGGATAGAACTCTGGGGCTCATGCACACAAGGTGGTGCTCTATAGCTGAGCCACACCCCAGCTCCTCACTGATAGATTCTCGCCAGGGGCCCACCCCCGGGCCACACCCCCAAGCCCTCATGGGAGATTCTAGGTAGGTGCTCCACCCCTTCACTGGGACTGAGTGCTTGGATTTTGGAATTCCTCCCCTCCCTTCGGGCCTCACCCCCACCCCGGAGTTTAGCAGGATCACACAGTACCAGTCAGTCTTCTGGTCATTATGACTCAGTGGTTGAGAGCAGAGGTTTCAGCTTCCAGAGGAGAGTTAAGCTTTCCACCATCCACATGCGAATCACAACCGTCTAACTCAGTCCCTGGGGTATCCCACGACCTCTCCTGGGCTCTGTGAGCAACAGGCACGCAGGTGGTACAGAGATACACATGTGGTTGAAACAGTCATGCACTTAAAAAATAAATAAATAAATGAAGAATAAAGGGGGAAGTTAGGGAGGAGGAACCAGATGGGGGCTTATTTAGGTCTTCATGGTGAAAGCAGCTGTTACCTTCAAGGTTCACACTCAGGGAGTCCCAAAGGTTCCACATTGTCCTAAAATAGCAGGGGCAGCGAGGAAGCACCTGTTCAAGCACACAAGTAGGGGCAGTTTCATATCCAGAAGTGACAGGATGTTCAACAGTTGCACAGAGTTCTCTGCTGCGGACAGCTGTGAGCAGAGGACCTTACAAACCGCAGCATCCGCTAGGGTAACACAGAAAAGATGCGTGCAGTTGGGACAGTCGAATGTGGGGAGAGCCATGCAGGCACACAGATGTCACGGGTGTGTGAAACAGAGTCCCACTCCTTAGCCCATCAAACTTAGCTGGCCTCAAACTCACGGCCCAAGTACTACCATGAGTGTAAGCCAGCACGCCTGGTTTATTGACCTTTTGATGCTCAGGTTGGTGTGCTCTGTGCATCCGACCGCACCACGGACAACCGCTACACCCTCAGCAGTGCAGCTGCATCCGGGTCACCCTAGGCCTCCGACTGAGGAAGAACGCTGGCGAGCGTGAGGCCAGCCAGAGCTACATGACTCCGCCTCAAAACTAAACAACATAGGGGCTGGAGAGATGGGTCAGTGGATAAGAGCACTGTTTGCCCTTCCAGAGGTTCTGACTTCAATTCCCATCAACCACATGGTGCTCACAACCATCTATACTGGAATGTGATGTCCTCTTCTGTCATGCAGGTGTACATACAAATAGAATAACATAAAATAAATAAAAATAAATAAACAACATGAGAGAAATCAGCTTAGCAAGGCATACCCCGCTCGTGGAGGCAGCGTGGACTCCCTGCCCACCACTTACCCCGAAGCCCTGAGTACATTGGTATTTGGGGAACAACTCCACCAGCCCGCCAGACCCAGGTTAGCTTCATGCGCGCAACTACGCATGCGTCTACAGCCTCGGCGCAAAGCGCTTGGGCACACAGTATTCGCCGTTGCGCATGCGCACTGGCATCCACCGGGAGCGTCACTGCTTCCCCGCAGCCACCATGGCTGTATCTGCATCGGGTCAAATCTCAGTTTTCTCCAGCCCGCAGGAGCTGGGCGCGTCGCTGGCGCAGCTGGTGGCACAGCGGGCCGCGAGCTGCCTGGAAGGGAACCGTGGCCGCTTCGCGCTTGGCCTCTCGGGCGGCAGCCTGGTCTCCATACTGGCCCAAGAGCTGCCCGCCGCCGCCGCTCCCGCCGGGCCCGCGAGCTTCGCGCGCTGGACCCTCGGCTTCTGCGACGAGCGCCTCGTGCCGTTCGAGCACGGCGAGAGCACGTATGGCCTCTACCGGGTGAGCGCTGCGGGGGCGCCCGCCGCCCTGGCTATGGGAGCTGCCGCGGGCCACGCCTAGCCGGCTCAGCCGCCGAGGAAACGCGGGCTACGGGGGCCGCTGCGGGCCACGCCGAGCCGGCTCAGTCCTCCAAGGAAATGCCCGGGAGCTGTTTCGACGCCTGCGCGCGGGCTTCGGGCCGCCCTGGGTCTTGCTGAATGAGCAGTGACGTCCACCCAAGCCCGGCTGTGGGACCTCGATGGTCATGGTTGTTTGTGTATTCAGACTGCCTCTGGTGTCCAGGCTTTGTTGGGCCTCAGTTTCCGCATCTCTAATACGAGCCTTTGGGCACCGCTTCTGGGATCTGACGGCCACTAAACCCCCTATAGGGTCCAGTGAGCCCTGCTTCACTCAGGGAAACTGAGGCATGGAGGACTGAGCTTTGAGCACCCCTGGGTGTTTGTGAGTCTGCCACCACCCTCTAGGGGAAAGTGGTCCTGAGGCGGGGGCCACCACTCTCACGTCAAGGTGGGGAAACAGGCCAGCAGGTCCCTCAGTTTTGAAACTGCACCACTTTTAACGCGGTGCCTGCCCCAAGCACGTCATTTCACAGGGGGGTGTGGGTACTAGCACAAGGTTCAGTTGGTAGAGTGCTTGCCTAGAATGTAAAAGGTCCTAGGTTTCATTTCCAGTGTAATATATACCGGGGGTCATATAAACCTGCCATCCCAGCACTGGGGAAGTGCAAGCAGGAGGATCATGCCTTCAAGATTATCCCCAGTTACCCAAGTGAAGACCAGACAATTTTGATGCTGCCCACCCAAGAAAACTAAGGGCACACAGCTCTGACTGAGGGAAGCAGGGTTTTGCCACCAGGCGGCATCTGTTGACACTTTGATGTTAAGAGTCCACACACACAGGCAGACAGATGGGAGTGGATGCAGCAGCCAGTCCAGCTCTGCCTTCCTAGCACACACACCTTCCCTCAGTCTGTAGCCCTATGCTCCTCTGCTCTCCATTCAGGGCCGTCAGCACCCTGAGCCCTGGCTGTGAAAGCGTGACTACTCTCCCCATCTGCTCAGGGTGGCACCCTTGTGTTTTGACATTCACGTTTGCTCCAAGCTTCTTCCTGCCAGGTCCTCTAAGCTTGACTTAACCTGAGAGCTCGACATGGGGGACACAGGCTGGGTGGCTGCCCAGTTCTCTGAGTAGATCAGTCCTGGGGTTCAGTGAGGACCCTCTTTCTAGGGGCCTACTGCTGTACAGCCAGTTGCCAGCTGTGTGCTGGATGCAGCCAGGCTTAGTTCCTGAAAGAGGGTGCCCTGGGCAGACCTGGCTTCTGGAGGAGGGCACCTCCGAGGGGTTGGTCAGGCTGCAGAGCAGGCCCAGTGTGACTCAAGGTTCCTGGCTGTAGGTGAGTCCCTGTCTGGGCAGTGCTGTGCCCAGCATCCGGTCACTCAGTGTGTCACTGACTGCCCGTCCAATTCCACAGACGCACTTGCTCTCAAAGCTGCCCATCCCAGACAGCCAGGTCCTCACCATCAATCCTGCCCTGCCCGTGGAGGACGCCGCAGAGGACTATGCCAAGAAACTGAGGCAGGTGGGTCCTGGACCAGGTGGAAAAGCTAATAGAAGACTGCCACAGCAGTGACAGCTTAGGGACACAGGCCGTGGCTCTGGGGGTGCCCCACAGCAGGGGTGCTCATCCCACCCACTGAAAAGGAAACTAGCCTCCAGACTGGATCTGACTGGTATGGTAGTGTGTCCGACCCCAGCACGTGAGAGACTAAGGCAGGACACTTGTCCAGAGTTCAGGGCAGCCTGGGCTGGAGGGAAACACTCACTCTCAAAAAACCTTACAGACTTCACAGCACACCACAGCTGCCCTGAGCTGGAAAGCCACTGTAGTGTATAGAGGCTGCGATAGGAAACCCCATGCCGAGTGACACTCTTGGTGGAAGGTGGTTCAAGCAAAGCTAAAAACCTGGTTCTGTCACTCTGTGTCACCCTTGAACCAAGCACATGCTCTGACCGACTATCCTCCCATTAGGCCTTTCAAGGAGACGCCATCCCTGTGTTTGACCTGCTGATCCTGGGAGTGGGCCCTGATGGCCACACCTGTTCCCTCTTCCCTGGCCATCCCCTCCTACAGGTGAGCATGGGGACCTCCCAGCCCTGACCCACCTTGGCCTGTGTCAGCCTCCCTGGCCAGCCCTGCAGAGCGTCTCCTCCTGTGGGCATGGTGGTGCATGCCTGGCATACCAGCACTTGCTGTGAAGTTGAGCAGCTTGGCTGCAGAGTAAGGCCCTGTCTCAAAACCCAGTAGAGTAACAGGAAAGCCCGTTGGTACTGTAAGCTTGGCGCCTGGCGGGGTCAGGTTCCATGCCACTAACACAAACACAACAGAAGAGTAGAAATGACCTGTCCCCACCCGGCCTTCTTCCCCTAGGAGCAAGAGAAAATTGTGGCTCCCATCAGTGACTCTCCAAAGCCACCACTGAAGAGGGTGACCCTGACACTGCCAGTGCTGAACGCAGCCAGAAGTGTCATATTTGTGGCCACAGGGGAAGGCAAGGCAGCTGTGCTAAAGGTAACAGATGGCCTGGTCAGCCAGGGGTGGTCATGGGGCCCAGAGACAGAATGTGATTCCAGAATGTGAAAGGGAACTCAGGAGACTACAGGGCCTTAGGGTAGAGTCCCTGCACCCCTGTAAATGTTGGCTGTGGCCACCTGTGTCTGTAACCTTTGAAGGGACAGGATGTCAGGGGCTTCATGGCCACTCACCTAGCTCCAGGCCCGGTGTGGTCACTGTTTTAAGGGAATAAGGTGGCAGATGATAGACACACATACATTTAAAGGGGATAAAAAAGGTCTGGACTGGAGAGGTGGTTCACCAACTGGTGAGTACCCACTGCCCTTCCAGAGGACCTGAGTTCGCTTCACAGTCACCTGTAGCATCAGTCCCAGGGGATCCAGCACCCTCCCCCTGCCTTTGTAGGCACCAGGCAAACTCACCAAGCGCAGACATACATGCAGGAAAAACACCCACACAGATAAAATAGAAATAAACAAAGCAAAAAAGAAATTACAAAAGGTGGTGGGGGCAAAATGGGGAAAGGTGCTTGTCGCCAAGCCTGATGACCTGAGGTTAGTCCCCACACTACCTATTGTCCCCATGCTGGCTCAGGGTCTGAGGTGGGTCCCGGGTCTCCACACAGCGCATCCTGGAGGATGGGGATGGCATGCTGCCCGCCGCCATGGTGCAGCCGTGCACGGGTGCTCTCTGCTGGTTCCTGGATGAGGCGGCTGCGAGGCTGCTTTCTGTGCCCTTCGAGAAGCATTCCACGCTGTAGGGGCTGCTCAAGCTGTGTGTGGGCACTTCGGGCTGGGGCTGCAGGAGTAGACCATCTGGGGATTAAAGGGTGTTGCTGGAACTCTGGTCCCTGTGGTTCTTGGTGGCAGAGGCCCAGGTCGGGCTGATCCCGAGCGTGGTTGAGTGAGCACTCGGGGACCAAGAGGAGTGCGGAGCCCGAGTCCTGGCCCCACAGGGACAATAAGACTCTGCTGCAAGTCAGGTCACATTCTCAGCTCCAATGCTCAGAACCAGCTTATCTCTCGGTCCACAGTGGCTGCTTGTGTTTCAGCTGTGGTGACCACGGACCAGCTACTAGAGTGAAAGGGAGCATAATAGGGCTCACCTGGACCCTCAGCCAGATCCTTCAGGGCCTGTGAGGATGCACTGTCTCCGAACCAGGTGAAATAGCTTGAGTTTCTGATGATACCACAGGGTCACATAAGGATGTGAAAAGTATCTGGGGTGACTCATGGGATGTCCCTTAGACAATTTTTTCTCCTGCCTCCTCTTGCAGAGACTGGGATGTGGGCACAGTGGTTGGAGCTCAAGCACCTTGGAACATGAAATGGGTCAGTGCATCACTGGCCTACCTGTTGTCCTGTTCTCTACCAGTCCCAGGGATCTAGTTGGGAAGGCTGGTGGGCTTGGGCTAGTAGGAGTCTGACAGGGGCATCCTCAGGAAGGTCACAGGAGGCTGGCATGAGGTGGGAATTGAAACCTCCCTGAGCCAACTTGGCAGGTAGGGTAGCAGGATGGGGGCAGAACCACAAACGTGAAGCTTCTTGAGTTGTCTGGTCCCGGAGGGCTCCTCAGCTATGACGCTGAGGAAGTGGGATGAGCTGGGGCAGAAGCTAGCTGAGGACAAAGGGAAGGAAGCTCTCTGCAGGTGACCAGCCACCCAGCCACCTGAAAAAGGGAAGTGTGGGTGTGAGGACCCCATGTGAGCAGCCTCTCATGGAACATGTTCCATTTCCTGCGTCGCATCTCAAGGGGGACCTTACTGCCTCATACTTCAAGGTAGCTGCTTAAACTGCAGCCATCATGCCTGAATTCCAGCGTCTGGAAAAGGAAAAGGAAATTGTCTAAGGGAACATCTTCCTCTGTGGACAGATGCTGATGGGTGTGCAGGGGGAGAGGGGTTGTGTTCCCTGCACACTGATAACCCATGTTCCAGTGTTCGTTTGTTCAATTAGTTATCCATTTCTTTTGTTTTCTGAGACAGGACTTCTTGTAGCCCAGGCTGACCTTCATTACCTGAACTGTCTCTGTTTTCTGAGTGGTAGAATGGCAGAGATGTACCACCCCACCCATCTGGGCCAGGACATTGTTTTTTTCCCACACTGCCCTGGGGCTGTCCCTACTACTCCCCACAGAAACCACCAGTCTTGGTCCGGCCTGTCCCCAGGGGGCAGGAGGAGGCAGGTGCAGACAGGAGGGGTTGGAGGGTGGTGCAGAACGGCAGTGCCCTCCTGGCACTTGGGCCACTTAGCTGCCACCCCGCACCCTGAGCAGAGGGACCCAGGACAACTCTGCATAGTGGCAGAATGGGGGCCCGGCCCTCCAGCCCCCTGAGCAAACGACAGCAGCAGCAGCTGAGGGGTGAGCAGGGGTTGGGGCTGGGCAGCGCTGCCGCCACGGCAGGCCACGCTGGCATGAGTTCCTGGTGCAAATATGTGGTTTGTTGTAGCTGTCTCTTGTCTTGTCAGGGGTACGCTTTCTAAGAGTCCAGATTTTTGCTTTGTTTTTTGAGACAGTTTCTCAGTGTAGCCCTGGCTGTCCTGGAACTCCTTCTGTAGACCAGGTTGGCCTTGACCTCTGCCTCCTGAGGATCTGGGATTAAAGGTGTGTACCACTATTCATGGGGCATTGGAAGATTCCAGATTTAAGTGAAAGTTAAGTAGCTGGGTACAGTGGCGCCCTCCCAGCACTCCAGAGGCAGAGGCAGGCAGAACTCTACAGAGTGAGTTCCAGGACAGCCTGGGCTACGTGAGACCTGTCTCAAAACATTTTTGATTTGTTAGGGAAGTCTAGGGGTCACTGAGGGCTGGGGTAGTGGGACAGGTCCCCACCTGACCCCAGATGGTCTTCACGGCTAGGAGGCCTGCCTGCATGGACACTGGGACTGAACTGGACTTACCTCATGGGAGGAAGACGCCAAGGCTGGGCTGGCTTCAGGCTCCCTGTACCATCCTACACCTGGACACCCCCTCCCCCCAAAGGAGGTGGCTAGGCCAGCTAAAGGAGGGTGTGTTGGCAGCAAGTGTGGGAGCAGCATTTGGGAAGGAGAACAGCCCATGCAAAGTTCTTTGTGTGCTGCCAGTCATCTCTCCGGCTAGGCCTGAGTGCTACCTGCTCTTTCTGTGTGCCACTGGGCAGGTGAACTCAGGGCCCCATTCTCCTAAGAGGCAACAGCATGCTTGGATGAGACGCAGACGTGTGTGCGCGCGCGCATGCGCGCGTGCGCCCATGTGTATGTGTGTGCATTAGCTGTCCTCTTACACCACCTTCCACATTTTTCACTGCCACTAACCCGACCAGCCAGCTTGCTCAGGGATGACGGGCAGGTGTCCTAGCCACAGTGCTGGTCCCTTGTCCCCACAGGTCAGATGGATAGCCTGCTGAGGACCTTCTTGCCCTGTTACCGAAGGCAGCTGGCTGCAGTGGTGATCAAGCACATCGCTCAGGAGTTGGGACCCAAGGAGCCAGCCAAGTGTCAGCTGTCCCACACCAAAGTGAGAGCCGCTGAGGATGAAGCTCCTTGCCAGGCACCCCTCAGGGCTCATGGTGACCCAGCTGATATGAGACTGAGGGTGTGGGGAGCGTTTGATGGCCTCAGGGCCTTTGCAAGGTGGAACAGGAAGCTCTGAGGTGGAGGAGGCCTAGGAAAGTGAGTCCCAGGCAGGTGGCATAGTATGTGCAAAGGCCCTGTGATAGATGTGAGGGGGGGCAGCTTCTGTGTGCACCTGCCCAGTCTGTTGCAATCACAGCACCAGAAGAATGCTCCTCAGTAGGACCCCATGTTTCTTGGCCCCTGTCCCTCTGACTCTGTGCTTGTCAGCTCCCTGCTCTTGGCAGTAGATTTGTTACTGATACCAAGCACCTGGAGCTGCGCTACTTCTGGGTTTCCAGGACTCCATCTGTCCCTACCTTGGGAGAGTCCTTGACAGATGAGGAAACTTGGGACTCCAGGTAGAGTGCACAGGTGTAGTTGGAACCTGGCATTCCCCACCGGTTTCTTTTCCTTCATGATGAAGGGAGGTTCTGTGGACAGAGGCCTCACCTCTGGGGACTCCCTGTCCCCTGCAGGGCATTACCCATACCTTCTATAATTTTGTTTTACCTGAGACAGAGTAGCTCTGCCTGGGCTAGTCTTAAATTTGCTGTGTAGAGAAGGCTGACCTTGAACTCCTGACACTCCAGCATCTGCCATCCAAGGGCTGAGCTGACAGGCTCTGGGTAGCAGCTGTTGCCTTTCAGCTTTGGGAATGTGGCTAGTATGGACAAAACTATATTACACATGTTTTCTCTTGGGTCTCCATAGCCCAGGCTGCCAATAGGCTACTTGGCAAACTGGGACAGGACAGTTACTGGGACCCAGCAGTTGGTGCACCCCCTCCAACCTTCCCTCCCTTTCAGGTCATGTCTGAATCACTTAATTGTTTAAAAAGAAAAAAGCTGAGTGTGCTGCATTCGGGGGCAACTCAGGAAGAATTCAGATGACCCCAAAATCTATTTAGTCTCCAACCATAGCCAGCATCTCCTTGCAGAAGCTGCCTCGAATCCGGGAGCACCAAGGACCTTTGACCCTGCTGTGGGGCCACCCGCCACAGTGGCAACCCACTTTCTGTGTTCTGCGTGGAGATGGATGTCTGGAATGGTTCAGCCACAAGGAGGTGAATGGACTAGAGGGGTTGGTGCCAGTGCCTCAAGGGTGGAGGCCCTGCCTAGAATTCCCCAGTGAGAGGTTGAGGGTGTGGGCAATAATGGGCTAGTCCTAAACTGAACAGATGCCACAGAGGGCAGCAGAGTGTGTGGGAGCAGGCTGTGCACTGGGAAGTGATAACCAGTTGGTCTCAAGTCTTTATCTGGTCACAGGAGTTTGAGGCTGGGGCCCGTCCTCTGGGCTCTGCAGCCCTGACTGGGTATACGCTGCTCACTTCCCAGCGTGATTACCTCTGCCTTTTGGATGACCTCTGCCCCAGCTCCTCCGGTAAGGACCTCTGGATCCCCTTAGTCATTTCCCTTCTAACCAGTCCTAGAGCATTCCACTCTCCCCATGCACTTAGTGAAGCCAACTTGGGCCTTCTCCACTTAGTGCCAGTAGCATCTTCCTACCCACAGTGTGACCCCAAAGCATCTGCAGGTGTTGCCATCTGTCCCTTGGTGGGTGACATTGACCCTTGAGGGAGTGCTCTTGCTTTGGTAAGGAAAAGAAGTTCCCACTGTCCCCGGAAGGATATCGGTCAATGGAACAAAACCCAAATAGCAAACTGTCTAAAGATCAAAAGTCACGCTGGTGATGCACACCTTCACTCCCAGCACTAAGGGGGCCAAGGCAGGGTGGGTTCTGGCCAGCCTGGTTTACACAGTGAGTGTCAGAATGCCAAGACTGCATAACGTTCACAACCATCCGTAATTCCTGTTCCAAGGCGTGAAGCCTTCTGACCTCTGCAGCCACCAGGCATGTCCTTGGTGTGTCTACATACATATATATTGGGAGAACATTCCTACACATAAAATAAATAAATAAAAATTTAAACCTTAAAATAAAAGCCAGGCATGGTGGCACAGGACTTCAATCCCAGTACCTGAGGGGCAGAGGCAGGAGAATCTCAGTTCAAGGTCAGCTAAGTCTATAGAGTGACAGCCAGGGCTACACAGAGAAATCCTGTGGTAAAATAATAATAATAATAATAATAATAATAGAAAAAGTGGGGCTGGAGAGATGGCTCAGAGGTTAAGAACACTGGCTGTTCTTCCAAAGGTTCTGAGTTCAATTCCCAGCAACTACATGGTGGCTCACAATCATCTATAGTGAGATCTGGTACCCAATTCTGGTGCAAAAGTACACATGCAGGTAGAATGTTGTATAAATAATAAATCTTAAAAAGGAGGAGAAAAGAAAAAGTAACAAAGTAACAAAACAATACAAAAAAGTCAGGGTTGGAAAGGTGGGTCTCACAACTGCCTGAACTGACGCCTCTGACCTCAGGCACTTGCACACACATACACATGATTAAAAATAACAGGAAAACCATAAAACCCAGTGTAAGCAACCATGCAAGGAGACAGACACGGTGGGAAGCAGCGTGCAGGCTTAGAGACAGGGTGCACAGGCCAGCTGGGGCCCTGGACTTTGAGTTTCTTCCACTCTGTCCCTGTTCACCTGTCCTGACGAAAACAGTCGTTCTTGCCAGACCCACATAGTATTAGGTCCCTGCTGTGTTTAGTTTTTGAGACAGGGTTTTCAAGACTGGCCTGGAAGTTCAGGCTGCTGTCTAGGGAATGAGCAAAGGCCTGAAGGGCCTTTCTTGCTTTCAGGGGACCTCGTCCAGGAGGAGTCATTGCAGCTACTGGAGGAGCCGGTGAGGTTCGTTCTCTTCCTTGTGCACCCCTTCCGGGCTCACCTCTGCTTCTACGTGGGCACTCGGGGGGCGCAGCGCGCCTGGAGGCTCAGCCTGCAGGGTGCCATCCGTCTAAGGGCCACCGGTATGTCCCTGGTGGATTGGGGTGCAGGTGTGGGGGGATGGGCATAGGTGCGGGGCTCCCTGGGGAGGGCCGGGGTGCAGCGTGTGGCTGATCCTGTCCTCAGTACTGCAGCGCAGCAAGGCGCCTGCGGCCTGTGCCTTCTTGGACGCCGTGAGGCTCTATCGAGGACACCGAGGCTATTCCAGTGGTGACAGTGAGATGCTGGGTTCCGATGCGGAGGTGAGTGGTGTCCCGCAGGCAAGGGTGGTTTCTGCCCCTTACCGCACAGCACCCCAACACATGCCACCCCTGCAGGTGCTCAGCGCCGAGCTGATGCGGGAACTGTTGCCCACGCTGCGTCCACAGACGCTCCGAAGTTTGCGAGGTGCGGGACGAACCCGAGCCCGGGCCTGCTCAGAGGTAGGGAGCAGGGAGGGGAGAGGAGGGAGAGAGAAAGGGAGGGAGGGAGGCTGCCGCGCGCCCCACACGCTCGCCACGCACCCCTCTACTCTGCAGTTCCTCGACGCTGTGCACACGGCCGTCCTGGCCTGGGCATCCGCGGGGCTGCGAGCCTTCCAGCCAGAAAAGGACGCGCTGCTAGCCGCACTAGAAAGGACGGTGCGTGCAGACCTTGAGCAGATCCTGCAGCAGCGCGCGCAAAGGGCGGGGAGAATAGAAGGTGAGCGGGGCCGGACCCGAGTAAAGGGCGGGGCCACAGGTGAGAAGGGGCGTGGCCACGTGGTTGATGGGGCCGGGCAAGAGGCGGAGTAGGAGCTGGGGAGGGTCTAGTAGAGACAAAGGCTAGAAGGCTGCTTGTGGAGTGGGGCGGAGCCACGGAGTAAGGGGTGTGGCCTGGGCGAGTTGGGACAAGGGGCTGAAGGAGGGGCTTATGAATATTAGGGGCCAGCTCCTAAATAGGCTTGGAGTGTCTGAAGTTGGACCTGGAGCTGCCTGGAGGTGGAATTAGGGCGGAGCTAGCAGGGAGGACCGAGGGGCTGTGTCTGGCTGGTATAAAGCAGAGCCTAGTAGGGTAGGGCCGGGTATAGGAAATAGGCTAAGGGAAGTAGCTGATGGGGCTACCCAGGCCTGTTAAGTTGTGGGCCATGTAGGGAGGCATGAGGCCCCTGTGGCCTTGCAGCGTCTGCTCTGCTTCCGAGTTATCAAGACCCGAATTTGAATCCCCCTCTGCTTCCTTAGCCTGAGCCTTTGGGCCAGGTCTCACTGCTCCTAGCCTCAGTTTCCTCAGCTGTAAAGTGGGTATCCAGCTGGCCTGGCTCAGTGCACATCTCCACTCAGCCGATATCCGGGACGCTCTGGAAGCGTGCCTGTGCCGTGTGGTGAACCCGCAACTGCCCCAGCTTACCGTGGCCCTGCTGAGTCCCGTGGAAGCCATGCTTGGAGCTGTTCAGACCCTCCTCATCCGGGGGATGGATCGACTGTTTAGCCACCTGCGCAAGAATCCTTCTGGCCCTCGACTGCGCAGGGAGGTGAGCACATGAGCCATCAATGGGCCGTAACCCTTGGCCTGTCTGTAACAGAACCCGTAGTATTTTCTCATCCGGTTGGTGTTCACGCTTAGGTTTATGAATTTGGGGAGATACCGTGGGACCCAGAGCTGATGCAGGCCTGCTACCGGGAAGCAGAGAGGAACCGCAGCCACCTAGCCCAGCTGGCAGAACCCTTTGGCTTTCTGAGGGTGCGGAGTCTGGTGTTTGGAGCACAGGACCTTGTACAACAGGTGAGAAGAGTGAATGGGAAGAGTGCTTTGGTAGAGAGAGAGAGAAGTGTGCATTTATGGAAAACTAATGGGCCCAGCTGGTAGGCAGGCAGGGCCTGGAGAGGGTGTAACGGGAACCTCAGCAAGTGTGTGAGCAAGCATAGACACAGGAGCATGGCTTGGTTTGGAACAGGAGCATGGTTTAGGGAGCCCTGTCTGCAGTCTATGAAGCCCTGTCTGCTATCTATAAAGGACAAGAGTGAGGGAGACTGAGAGAAGTCCTGACCGGGATGGGGTGGTGTGAGGCCTGCCCCAGTATCTCAGAGGTGGAGGCTGGAGTGTCAGGGTTGTTGTTCTCAGCTTCACAGTGACTTCGAAGTCAGTGCATTTTTTTTTAAGATTTATTTATGTATATGAGTTTTCTATCTGTTTCTACACCTGCAGGCCAGAATAGGGCTTAGATCACATTATAGATGGTTGTGAGCCACCATGTGTTTTCTGGGAATTGAACTCAGAACCTCTGGAAGAGCAAACAGTGCTCTTAATCATTGAGCCATCTCTCCAGCCCCGTGCCAGTGTATCTTATGTACAGTCCTGTCTCAAACAGAGAAGAAAGGTATGTTTTGAAGGCTCAGGGATTGGACATGGACATGGGGCAAGAAGAAGGAGCAAACTGAGGTCAGCCACTGTGCCTGGCATGGTTGTTCAGTCTGTACACTGCACATTAGTGCTCCAGGGAAGCTGATCTCCCGGTAGTACAATCTTCAGAAGGAGGGCGATCTTTCCCAAGTCTAAAGCTTAGAGGAATAGGCAAGGGACAGGAGCCCAGTGCAACTGCTGGGCTCAGGCACTAGGAATCTAAGGCCAGAACATTAGGTTCTGGGGTGCTGGGTCATCTGGGCACCTCCTTTGCAGCTCATGGCGTCCGCAGTCACCACCTTCCTCCAACTGGCTGACAAGTGTCTGACATCGGCTCTGGACTGCAGCCAAGCAGTTGAGCAGCTGGAGAAAGTCAGGGGCCTCGTGCTGAAGGTGAGGGGCATGGGAGGGACCTCAAGGCCCAGAGTTCTATGGGGCCAATACATAGGCTGGCTGTGACCCTGCAGAAGTTCACCTCGGACAGTGAGACTGCGCGGTGGAGCTTCACCCGGGACTGGCTGCTGGGAATCATCTGGCCTTTCGTGTGGAGCCAGCTCAGGGTGAGCTGTAACCTGGTGAGTGCGCACCTGAGACATCGCCTAGAGGGAACAGAGAGCTCCCCAGGCTAGGTGGGGCTCTCTGGGCTCCCACAATGCCTTTTGCTGTCTCAGGAATCTTGGGTCTACCCTAGGTGCCTGCTCACAACCCACACTCCCAGAGTTCTATCCCAGCTGTGCTGAGCATGGGTCTGAGGTTATAGGGAGAACTGCCTGTGCAAAGGTCCTGGGACAGGGGTGGGCCTAGTATGCTAAAGTTAGGGAGCAGTCAGTTGAGGCTGGAGTTGAGAAGAAACAGAGGGAAGGGTGTGGGTAGGGAGGGCCCTTCTGGCTACCTAAAGGTCAGGGCCACTAAGTATGGATACTAACAGGACTCTCCAGGGGCAGCAACTGTGGTTAGGTCCCAACATTTGGGAGTCAGGATTGACTGTGTGAGCCTTAGTCCATTTCTGATTCTGTGACACGTGCTATGGCATGTGGGATTGTGGGTGAGCAGGTCTGTAAAGAGAGGACCCCGGCAGATCAGGGTAGGGCTGGGAAGCACAGGTCCTGCATCCAGCCTTGGTCCTATGTGGTTCTAGGAGCAGTCCGAGGTGGATGGGGACATTCTGGCCGTGGGCAGCCAGGTTCTGACCACTGAGGGTGTCTGCAGGGATGTCATCCAGGGTCTCTTGTTGCAGAGGATTGACCGAGGTGAGCTCCCCAGCTGGGGATCAGGGGAGTCTGTTTCCCTGCCCGTGTGCATGGAGCTTTGTTCATTCCCTGTCCTTCTGTGGATGCTTGCACAGGCCTGAAGGGTCCTAGGTGGACAGTGATGGAGGTCCCTGAAGGGGAGTCACTGGAATGAGATTCTCAGGGTTACGTTGAAGTTCTCAGGAAGATGAGCAAGGCAGTTGTCAGCAAATGTATTCATTCAACAAATGCTCCCTGATAGCGGAGGGTTAGAGCTGGAAAGCCACTCAGGAGCTCCCAGAAGCTCACAAAGCCTATCTTTGAAGACAGTAGAGGGAGGAGGGACCCAGAAGGCTAGAGGAGTGGCAGAAACACACAAATGATGCTTCCCCCCCCCCCCCCCGTAAGCCAGGGAATGGGAATGAGGTTGTGTCTTTGATGTGTGGGCCAAACAAGAAAAATAGAGCTGAGGTCATGATTCAGGCCTGGCATCCAAGCAGTCCTCCTGCCTCAGCCTCCTGAGTTTCTGAGCCCACATGCTCAGGAGAATACAAGGTTTTTTTTATGATTTATTATTGGTGTTTTGTCTGCATGTGTGTCTGTGTGAAGGTGTCAGATGCCCTGGATCTGGAGTCACAGACAGTTGTGAGCTGCCATGTGGGTTCTGGGAATTGAACCTGAGTCAACTAGAAGAGCAGCCAGTGCTCTTAATCCCTGAGCTATTTACTTCCAAGAGTGGAAGTTTTAAATGGCTCCAAACTAAATCCAGAAATGGGGAATTGGATGAGCTTCTGACCCTAGAACTTATACAAATTCCACCTGCAATTGATTTGTGATGTCTGCATAGAGCAGCAGTATTGGGTGGGATTGCTAATCTCTTGGCTAGGTGGAATGCAGGCATCGATTAGCAATGTCTGCTCTTAATGAAGCCTGGACAGAAGTTTCTGAGAGCCAAAAGCTGGCTTCCTCAGATGGGTTTCCTCTCTTCTTCTAGAGGTGAAACAAATTCTTAGTGCCAGTGACAGAAGCTGCTCTCCAGCTGACTTCTCAGCACCACAATGGGACCAGGAAGGAGCAGGTGAGGATCTCACAGGTTATGGGCTATGGCACGGAAAGGCTGTGGGTGTGCAAGGAGGGTATGTGGCTGTTTAAGAGTATAGCAAGGGTGGTGTGGATAGAAAAGAGTAGACTTTATTTCCTGAAGTGGTCAGGCTGGCCAGCATCATGATGAGCAGGTGGAGAAGCTGCAAGCTCGGACACACACATGAGTAGAGAAGGAAGCAGGCTTGTACTCCAGTTTCGTGGCCTGGACGGTGGGGTGTCTTGGCAGTTACTTTCATCATTACTGCAAAGGGAGACAAAGGCACTTTGATGCAAGGTAACTTGGGCTCACTTGTTACAGAGCCATTACTGACTCTGACACTCAGACCTTGTTGAGGACCTAGTTAGTTTCCACAGCCATGTGTTCACATGAAATCACATGAAGGGGAAAAAGTCACAGAAAGACCCTTGCCTGGTCAGGTACTTATATACAAGGAACGTAAGTACTCAATGCATACCAAGGCGTGGACCTGGGCTGTGCCTTTAATGTGTTCAGCCCTGTGGGTAAGTCCTGATGGGGACCTCCGGGTGTGGAGAGGCGTTTCCGCAGCCACCTCCCCGGCCAGTTCATGGTGATGACAGCTCACTCAGCTCATCTTGATTTGTGAGCCTTGTTCCTGCTCTCTCCTTACCTGTGTGACTCCTCTAGGCCCCACACCCAGCTTGTGACCTGAAACATGTTGCCATTTCACAGATGAGGAAGCCGAGGTTCAGAGGTGAGAGAGAGACTTTCTCTGGCAGCCAAATGCAGCCTCTCCACCCAGCATTGCTTTCGAGACCACTCCAGACCTGAGTCTTCACCACACCCATCCAGACCAACAATGGATGTGACCTCTGGGTCCAGTGTGTGAATGCTTCTGGCTTTGTAACTATTATACATCCAACAAAGCATCATTGATAGTGTATTCCTGCTAGAATCTGTACACTCAAGTGCTGACCTAACCTGGGCTACCACAATAAGACCCTGTCTCTAAAACACAACCCAAACCCTCTGTTGATATGATACATGTAATCCCATTGTTTTCATTTTTATTTTTATTAGTTTTTACTTTTAAAAAATCCATGGTTTCTTAAAGTTTCTTTTAAAATTTATTTATGTGTGTGTGTTGTTGTTGTGGTTGTGGGGTCCACTTAAATCCAACATAACTCAAATACCAGGTCAATGTAGGTGACAAAAATGTATTTTAATTTGGCCACTATTGATCAATCAGGGCTGCAGAACAGACTCAGAGGCTGAACTATGACCCTGGAGGGACCTTGTACAGCATATTTAAAGGATGAAACCATAGAGCTAGTGGGAACAGTGGTCTGTAGCATTGTCCAATAATATTTTTGTTATGGCCCAAGTCTCGCAGACCCCAAAGACCACCAAGGAGTTGATTCCAATGCAAACACAGTAGGGTCTTTATTATAAGCTCAAGCTTGGACCCACACCTTGACCAATGCAGCGGTTCTCAAGTTTAGAGCGCCGAGTTCAGGGAGAGAGGGTTTTTATTTAGGGTTGCAGCAAGGTTTGGGAGAGTCCAGCTTGACAGTTCTATGATAGATTGTTTGCCCTCCCTGGAGGGCCAAACTGTAATTGTTTTATTCAACTTATTGTTTTACTCAACCCATTGTAAAGAACACCTGAGTAAACTCCGGGTTTTCACTGATTAGCTGTTGCTGGGGTGATGGTTAAATCTCACCAGAGGTGAGTGGTCGAAGCACATTTTTCTGGGTTTTCTCCAGGCTATTCCTTATCTTATTCTTGGAATTGGTGACTTATGGCCTAGCTCCTGGGACTGGTGACTTTGGGGGTGAAGAGGTTCAGGCCTGGTCCTCTCATTTTGACATAGGGGGTTGAGCAAGGGAGTTTCCATCAATCAGGGTTTGAGTAGGTTCCTGGCCTGAGAACATGCCTGGGCTTGTGGATGTCAGAGGGCACTTTACAGTAGTTGGGTTTTCTCTGTCCGTCTAGTGGGTGCTGAGGTCCTCAAGCTTGGTGGATGCACCTTTACCAGCTTAGCCATCTCCCTAGCCCTTGTTTTTTTACTTTCTTCCCCTCAAGATAGGGTTTCTCTGTGTAGCCCTGGTTGTAATGAAGGTTTTGCTTTCGTTGCAGGTTATGAAAATATGCTTTTGTTTTAATCCCAAGTGTGGGATTTTTATTTGGGCTATAGTTTGTCCACATTTGTTTGTTGTATTTGGCAATTAATATTTACTATTAATATATCTTTTAGTAAATCTGTGGTTATTCCTAAACAGCCGTATAACCAAATCACCACACAGAGACTGGGATTTATTCAATTAACCTAGATCACAATGCTGGGCAATAGTTACTCCATCCTAAACCTCCAAGTCCATGTAGTTTCCTACCATTCAGATTTTGCCCATTATACTTGCTTTTAGTGATACCTTAGGTCCGGTTCATTTTCTCCACGTGGTTCCATGACCTCTCCTCTAGCGTCTGCTCTCCCAGCTTCTGCTCTTCTTCCCCTTCTACTCCTTCCTCTCCTCCCACTGTGAACCAGGATGCCCACCCTATCTTCTCCATTGCTCAACACTGTGATCTAGGTTAATTGAATAAATCCCAATCTCTGTGGGGTGATTTGGTTATGGCTGTTTAGGAATAACCGAAGCTTTACTAAAGTAATATCAATCGTAAATATTAAACACAAAATACAACACCTGTTAATTGTCACATGCAGGGCGTGATATTTGCAGCTGATAACAGCCTTCCCCGTGCCACATGGAGTTGGGTGTGGTCTAGGACTCTGAGAATATAAATATGAGGCCGAGAAAGTGACTGTGAGGTGTTTAGTGGAGTTCAGTGTGTTGGTGTTCGATGTTGGCGAGAAACATCGAGAGAAACGCTTCAGAGCCCAGCAGTGTGAAGGAGCCTGCTGGCTGCGTCTGTGCTTGGCAGCAATTGGTAAAGAGCCTTAAAAGAACTCCTTAACCCTAAGTAGCCTGAAAAAGTAAAGGGGTGTGAGCCCCCTCTCCCCACTAACCTTTTCTCTCTCCTAAGGTTGGGGGTGTTGGTGGAAGGGAGGTAGAGGCCTAAACACCCCAAATAAAGTAGAGGTTAAAGCAAGCGCACCACCCGTAGTTTTCCAGTACACATGGCTGTTTTGGACTCGCTGTAGACCAGGCTAGCCTCAACTCACAGTGATCTTCCTGCCTCTGCCTCCTGAGTGCTGGGATAAAAGGCATTTGCCACAATGCTAGGCTTTGTACTTTGTACTTTTATCATCGCTTGATTTCCAACTGCATGAATGACTAAATTGAGCTTTAAAATGCCAGGGCTGTATGCTTGGTTGGCCAGGACCATGCAGTAAAGCCCTGCCTCCAGCACAGGCCACTGCTGTTGTTGCCCACAGGGACACTTGAATACCACCTGAGTGAGGGCTGGGGAAAAAAGAGAAGGGCGACACAAGGAAGACGCAAGTCTAGACTCTGATCAGGGTGTCATTTAATAATTGTAAAATCAGACTTAAATAGCAGAAATTTACAAGCAGTTTTTCAGGGTAGCAGCTTTACTTGGCAAAGCATCCGAGAATTCACTCAAGGTTACACAGAATTTGCTATCTGGTTCCCACTGTTGCACGGAGTTTATTATCTAGTTTTCAGGGACAAAGTTCTTGCTGCAAGGATTGCCAAGGTCAGTCTCTGAGACACTGAGCTTTAGGTTAGATCCATGTCTGCCAGGGCTAGGAGGCAAAATCCCACTGCTCAGACTCAGCACCAAACAGCAATGTGCACTCCAATTTGGCTACCAACTCCATTTTGGCTGCCACACACGGGGATCCAGGATGTGCTGTCAAGGTTTGGGGACCAGCATTGCCTTCAGCTCCTCACCCTGACTCAGGGTCCCAGCCTTCTCAGCTGCTTCCTGGTGGGTCCAAGGGCCCCTGATGCTCTTTGCAGGGCCTGGAGGAAACAGAGGAGAGGGTGTGCATGGAGATGGAGAGATGGGTGGACAGAAGGATGGAGATCCAGGCACTCCACCTGTTAAGTCCCAGGTATTTTATTTTTAAAATTTAATTTAACTTATTCATCTTGCATCTCGGCTATGGAGGAAGTCTGTGGTGACCCAGGCTAGAATGCAGAGCTAATTCTGGAAACAGCTGATGCGACAATGTGTCCAGCAGCCAAGTCCTTCACAGTAGGAAGTGCCCTCTGTCCTTTCAGCGTACTTCCTTAGTGTGAGATTTCATGATATCCACAGGGTGTAGAGTTCACCTTTGGTATATTTCAAAAATATTTGAAGATTTTCAAACATGTGCTCAGACTGCTGCCATGCATATGTCACAACATGAACCAGATTAGCCCTCCCTCCAGAGACACCCAGGCCTGGATCTTAGATGGGGCAGCATCACACATTTCTTTGATAATGGGTCTGGATAGTTTGTAACCAAGGCTGGCCTCCAATTTTCACAGATCTTCTTGTCTCAGCTTTCTAAGTGTTGGGATTTTAGGTGTGTAACCCCAAGCCTGGAGAGAAATAAAATCTTTCCTTTAGTAGGTTTTGCTTTTACTTAAAATGTAGTCTGATGTAGTCCAGGCTTCCCTGTACCTGTTTGTGCAGCTGAGGATGATCTTGAACCGTGTCTTGTTGTCCCCCTTCCTGTCCCACCCTGTCCCCCCTTGCCCTGGATGTGACAGGTCAGCCATCACTGGCTGAATTACTATTTAGAAATGTTAACATGATAATGGGCAAATAAACCCTGGCAGGACGTGGTGGACCACACCCTTAATCTCAGCAGAGGCAGGAGAATCTCTGAGTTGGAGGCCAGCCTGGTCTACAGGTCCAGGACAGCAAGGGCTGCACAGTGAGACCCTCTCTCGAAAAACAAAAACAAAACTGAAAAGTCTGGAAGCGTTCCCATGGAAACATGGGCAGTGTCTCCAGAAAGCCTACTGAACAAAAAGAAGTCTGCCTTGTAGCTTCAGCTTCATAGCCTTGGGATCACTCTGATCACTCATTTTACAGAAGGACATGCAGGGTGCTGGGTTTGAAGGCAGTTTGTGAGTCCCCTCCCCCCAGGGTCTTCAAGGCTAGGGACCAGGATAGGAAAATAAATGTTGATTTCATTACTCTCCTGGCCTGGGGTACATGCCTGTTCCAGAACACAGGAGGCTGAGACAGAAGGATCACTGTGAGTTTATAGTAAATTGGGGCTATACAGTGAGTTCCAGTGGGACTAGTCAGGGCTTACTTAGGCTACTTCAAAACACCAGAAAAGATGCTCTAGTGAGATGGCTCAGCAGGTAAAAGTGCTCCAAGGAATGAAAAGAACAGATTCCCCAAATTGTCCCCTGACTTCCACACCCACTCACATGCACACAACTTTAAAAGGAAAAAAAATACATTTAGGATTTGTATGGACGGATACCTCATGAGTTAAGACCACCTGTGCTCTTCCAGAGGTCCTGAGTTCAATTGCCAGCAGCACATGGTGAGTCACAGCTATCTGTTGTAACTCTTGTTCTAGTGGATTTGATACCCTCTTCTGACCTTCCTGGCCACCAGGCACACACCTGGTATTTGTGGGCAAAACACTCAGACACAGAAAGTAAAAAGAATTCAAATAGGAAAGGCCTTACACAAGCCACTGCACTCTTACAAAGGGAGGAGGACAACATTTTGGAGTTTTTGGCTCCTCCACCGATTATTTGTCTGTTTGTTTTGGTTTTCGAGATGGGTTTTTTTCTGTGTAGCCTTGGCTGTGTTGGACTCACTTTGTAGACCAAGCTGGCCTCAGACTCACAGAGATCCCCTGCCTCCGCCTCCTTGAGTGCTGGGATTACAGGTGACCAGGCCCAGTAGTAGGAGCTTTTTCCAATGCCTGCCCTAGCTCCCAAATAAATAACGGAGACCTACCAGATTTATTCAACAAGCGTTAAGCTCTATAACTTGGCAGAAATTCATCTATTTTAGTTCTGTTAGTGTGGTTGGCTCTCAGTCATGTGCCCTTTTACTTGCCATCTCTGTCTTGCCTTGGCCTTCTGCTGTATCTCTCTGTCCTTGTGGTGAACACCTCCTTATCTTCTTCATGGCCACTTCTCTGTCTCAC